CAAAAGGTTCAAGACAAAGAGAGAATATTAAAAGCAGCAAGAGAAAGGCAGCTAGTTACCTACAAGGGAGTTCCCATTAGGCTGTCAGCTGATTTCTCAAAAGAAACTTTGCAGGCCAGAAGGGAGTGGCAAGAAATATTCAGAGTGATGAAAACCAAGAACCTACAACCAAAATTACTCTATCCTGCAAAGCTGTCATTTAGAATCGATGGACATATAAAAACTTTCCCAGACAAGAAAAAGTTACAGGAGTTCATCACTACCAAACCGTTATTGTATGAAATGATGAAGGGTCTTTTTGAAGAAAAAGATAAAATGTATGAACAAACAAAATGGCAATGAATACATATCTATCAACAATGGAATCTACAAACAAAATGAACAGGAAGAACAGAAACATTCTCATAGATACAGAGAACATTTTGTTGGTTGCCAGGTGGGAGGGGGTTGGGGGAATGGGTGAAAAAGGTGAAGGGATTAAGAAGCACAAATTCATTGCTAGACTGACAAACCTCAAAGGGAAAGGGGTTGGGGGGGTGGGAAGAAATGAACCAAAGAACTTATATGCATAACCAATGGACACAGACAATAGTGTGGGAAAAGGCGGGAGGGGGGTGGGAGTGGGGAGGAGGGGGTCAATGGGAGAAAAATGAGGAACATCTGTAATACATTCTACATTCAACAATAAAGATTAAAAAAAAAAAAAAAAAAAAGACAAAGAGAGAATCTTAAAAGCAGCAAAAGAAAAGCAATTAGTTACCTACAAGGGAGTTCCCATAAGGCTGTCAGCCGATTCCTCAAAAGAAACTTTCAGGCCCTAAGGGAGTGGCAAGAAATATTTAAAGTGGTGAAAAGCAACAACCTACAACCAAGATTACTCTATCCTGCAAAACTATCATTTGGAATCGATGGACAGATGAAGAGTTTCCAAGACAAGAATAGCTAAAGGAGTTCATCACCACCAAACTAGTATTTTATGAAATGTGGAAGGGTCTTCTTGAAGAAGAACTAGATAAAAAAATATGAACAATAAAATGGCAATAAATACATATCTAACAGCAATTGAATCTACAAACAAAATGAGCAAGCAGAACAAAAACACTGGTAGATACAGAGAGTTTTTGTTGGTTGCCAGATGGGAGGGGGCTGGAAGGATGGGTAAAAAAGGTGAAGGGATAAGAAGTACAGATTGGTTGTTAGACTGATGAACCTCAAAGGTGAGCAGGGAGGGAGGGCGGGAAGAGAGAAACCAAGGAGCTTATGTGCACAGATGCATAACCAATGGACACAGACAATAGTGTGGGGGAGGCAGGAGGGGGATGGGAATGGGGAGGAGGGGGTCAAGGGGGGGAGGAGGGACATCTGTAATACATCCAACAATAAAGTTAAAAAAATAATTTAAAAAATCTGATGAACCATTCTCCGACCCACTTTGGAGAGAACAACATCAACAAAAAAGAGTCCAGGAGATTATTAGAGACGTTTATTAAAGCTGGGGACGGTGACACGGGAACGGCCCAGGACAGAAGCAGCAACACGAGAGCGTAAGTGGGACTCGGCCCAGGCGGCTGGACCCCCGACCCCCGGGGGCGGTGCACGTTCTCTCGTCCCCGGTCCCCTCTCGCTCCCTCTCACTTTCTTCCCCTGTAAAAATCAACAAAACATATGTTTTTACAAAAAGGGGAGCAACAAGTCACCTCCACCAGGAGGAGAGGGGCGAGCTGGGGTCCACCCTTGGCCTTGCCCCGGGGCCTTTCCAGACGTGACCTTAGAAACACCTGAGGCCGCTGCTTCCCGGGACACGCCCTGGGGAAGCCCGCGGTCTGCACCCCTGGTTCGGGGCCTCCCACACGTCACGTCCGGATGAACCGCACAAGCCTGGGGAATTCAGGGCCCCCCCAATGCCCCGGGTCCCAGAGGCCCCCCAGCGCCGGGCCTTCTGGTCGGATCCCACGCGCAGGAAGTTCGCATCCGGGCCCCGCAGGCCGAGAGGGGCTCCGGGAGGCCCCCCGGAGGCCGCCGGCCCGGGACTCCCCTTGTGCCCCCCGCGAGGAGCGACGGCAGCACCGCGGGGCGCGGACCGCCCAGCAGCCGCGAGAGCGCGGCCCGGGGCCCAGGCCGGAGACGCGCAGCAGGCGCCCCCGTGCGGCCGCGCCGGGCAGGGCGGGTCCCGCTCGGGGCGGGGATGGGGCGCACCTCGCGCCTGAGAGGTTCCCTCCCGATTCCATTCAACTGAGGTCGCAGGACACACGGGGTGACGTTGTCTGATGCCTGGGACCCTGGCGGGAGGGGGAGGGAGCCTGGTCCTGAGGGAACCGAGTGTGTCCGACAGAAGGCAGCAGAAACCTGTCAGTGTTGGGCGAGTGGGGAGTGTGTCTCGATACCGAATTCATGGGTGTGGGGGGGACACGCAACATCTCCTTTAAGAGAGAACAGCCCTGGCCGGTTCGGCTCAGGGGTTGGAGCGTCGGCCTGCGGTCCGGAGAGACCCGGGTTCGGTTCCCGCTAAGGGCACAGACCTCGGTTGCAGTTTGTCCCCGGCCCTGGTTGGTCCTGCGGGTGGTGACCACTCGATGTGTCCCTTTCCCGTCGATGTTTCTCTCTCTCTCCCTCCCACTCTATCTGAACAAAATATGGAAAAAATGTCCTCGGGTGAGGATTAGAAAAAAAGAAAAAAACCAAAGAGAGAATATAGGTATCGTGTGGGCTATAATCCACCGATATTTCCTTTCTGCTGCTGCACACAGACACCCCTCCCCAAGGAAAGTCCCGGGGACCTTGGGCAGGGGGACAGGGGTGATCTCTTCCTTCACCTCAGGAACAACTTGCACTTTATTTGTGACTTTAACTGAAGTCCATTCATCAATCGGCGGAGTCATCTTTCCCAACAAGCAGACGGGGTGAGTTGGGGTGTTATTCCACTGTCCTCACATTTCTTTGCTAAATATCTTGCATGAACTCTGAAATCAACAGAGCCCAGAACGGGGGGTGATCTTAGAAAACACATTTCGTGTCTTTTAAATTGGGTTTCACACAATCTCGGGGTTCCGAAGAACCAGCATTGGGGGCCAGTGGCACCAGATGGGCTCTCCACCCCCTCCAGTCATGTTTGTTGTTGTTGTTAATCCTCGCGAGGATGTCTTTCCGTTGATTTTGAGAGAGTGGAAGGGAGGGAGGGAGGGAGGAAACAGCAGAAGCGAGCGGTCTTGTGGCTCTGCAGGTCCAAGTCCAGACCAAGGTGCCGGCAGGGCCTCTCACTGTCCTCATGTGGCCTTTCTGCAGCGCACCTGGGTGGAGACAGCTCTGCTCTGTCTTCTTAGCAGGACGCCGACCCTACCCTATTATGGCGCCACTTTTTCCCTTATTATTAGTGGCGTCAAATAACCTTTACTGTGTTTATTAGCCACTTGCATTTATCTTAGTATAAACTTTTCCTTTGAATTCTTTGTGCATTTTTCTTTTCTTTCTTTTCTATTTAATTGATTTAGTTTTGGTACAGATGCTCCCCCCACCCCCAGACGGCTCCACTCTTCAATCTTAATCACCCTATCACTAGTCACACTTCGACATGCAAATTTTGGGAGGACTCAAACATCAAATCCATAACAGACATCTTGTTTGAAAAAGACTTAGACTCTCGATAGTTTGGAAACCTCTGCCCTGTCAGAGCCCCCTCGGATTGAGGGGAGAGGGGAGGGGCAGCTCAGAAGACCTGTGACTCACCCCTCCTGCCCTTCCCGCGTCCTGCGGACCCCGTCCAGTGTGGAGATGCCCTGAGCCCACCGTCCCCAGCTCCATGCAGACTTGGGCTTGGGCTAAAGGTGTCCTTGACCACATCCGGCCAGCCTGCTCCAACCCGTCTCTTCTGAGCACAGGTGGGCATGATGTCTGGGGACACTGGCCACTCTTGCTGGGTGTCTTTAGGCCCTCTCCTCCTCCACCCTTTCTCTGAGTCTGGGTTCATCTGTCTCCCCTCCCCTCCCCTCCCCTCCCTCCCCTCCCCTCCCCTCCCTCCCCAACCCTCCCTCCCCTCCCCTCTTCTCTCCTCTCCTCATCTGTGTTTCCTGTCAAATGCCTGAATGTCTGCTCTCCAATAAAGACAATCTAAGGATCCGCAGCTGTGGGGGCTGGGGCAGCATCTCTTGGCCTGAACCCCATCGCGTCCTGGCCACCCGAACAACCTGTGTGTGAGCACAGCTGGGGCCAGGAATGTTCCCTTTTGGCCCCACTCCGGGGCCTGAGACAGGAGCCCAGTGCGAGAGCTGGCGTGAGGCCAGGTGGCTCTGTCTCCACAGCAGCTGGTGTGGGGCGTGGTCTGGAAGAGAGCTGGGGGAGGCTGCCCCCCCCCCACCTGCTTTTGCAAAATGATAGAACTGACCTGGGCTCTGTGTGGACTGTGTGTGAGCTGTTTGCGTGGCCTGATGTTACTCATCTGTGAAACCGAGGGTCAGGTCCTGGTGCGCAGGGACCTTAGAGGCTGTTCTGGTGACCACCCCACCCCACCCAGCCCTGGGGCTTGTCTCTCCCCTTCTGCTCTGTCCTCCCTGCCTCCGGGGTGCCCTCCATCATCAGACCTGTGGAGCTCTTGTCATTCTGCCAACCGTCTCCACCTCCCTCTGGGGCAGTGGGGCCCAGATCTGTGACCTTGTCCCTGAAGGGCTGACCCTGGAGGTACAGACGGACACCCAGGGGTGGGGACTCCAGCGTCAGTGTCCCCAACCCAGCTGCCCACGGCTCTGCAGGGAATGTCGGAGCTGCAGCTGTTGGGACGACAAGCCCTGAGCCCGCACACGGTCACCATGGAGGAGGCTGGTGGGACCCCCTTTTCAGATAGCTGGAATTTTAACAAATGTTTTTGATGGGAAGGAATCCACACGCAGCTCGCTGTCCTTGGCGAGTGCTGATGGACACTCTCCGTGAGCTCACACGCCGGTCATACATTCCTGTTGCCACATCTTGAAGCTAAGAAGGAGACACAGGCAGCGAGTGACTTGCACCAGGTCACAATTTAATAAGCGGTGTCTGGGTGCTGGAGCTTGGGCTGAGCTCCCACCAGTCACCCTGGGACTCTACTTCTTTCTACCCGGGACTCTGCCTGCCAACAGTTCTGTTTCAACGAGCAGCTTCTATGTCGTGGTGCATGCACATGACCTTGTCCACCCCTCACACCAGCCTGTGCAGTCCGTGTGAATGTCCCCGTGCCCGGGGTCAGGAACAATGACTTTCCTGCGGTCTCCAGCCTCTGTGTGGAGGGCGATGACTAACATTCAGGTCTCTCTGGCCCCCAAGCCCCAGCCCCCATCAAGCAGGCCGGTTTCTCTGAGTCCCCTGCGTCCGGAGGAGGGCAGGGCTCAACGGGGCATGAGGGATGGAGGGTGCCTGTCTGGAGCGTGGTTTCTGAGGCGGCTGCTAGGACTCCGCCCAGAGTGGCAGGCAGGGTGGGTCTGGGTCCGAGCAGCACCACGGACAGACTCATGCGCTCAGTCCCGCTTACTTCTCTGCGAGGACAGGCATGGCCAGATCCCTCTGAGAGCCACCTCACTGCCCAGGCCGTAGTGCACAGCGTTGACCGTGGGCACTGTTTTGGCAATAAGAGCAGGTACCTGTCATGGCAAAAACATCAGGAAAGAAGTTTCAAAACCTCTGCTCCTCTCCCTGGTCCCCCCTGGAGACCCCAGCCCCTTCCTCTCAAAGCCGCCGATCACGTGTCCTGCTGCCTCAGCCCCCCTGCCTGGCTGTCAGACGACACATGGGAACCAGGCGTCCCCGCACAGTCCGGGCCCCAGAAGGCACATTCCCTCTCTGGCTTCCCTGCCATCGCTCGTGAGGCCTAGCCCACGTGGTCTTCGTGACAGGCAAATGCCCAGTGAGTCGTGAGTATTCGAGGGAAGAGAGAGAGGACTGTCATGGAGGCAGTAAGCAAGAAGGAGATGGGGTGGGGCAGAGACACGAAGCCGGAGGGGGCACCAGCTCTGGGGGTGTCCTACCATCCGCAGCCTGGGGGAGAGGAAGGTCACGTCCGTGGCGGCTGCGCAGAGATACAGGAGGGCGTAGGGGCCCCAGCCGAGCAGCAGCGTCCTGGTTGGCAGAGTGGTGTTCACCTGGGGACATTGTCATGGGGGGGCACTGATGCTCTGCAGCGGCTGCCAGCCCGGTGAGCCCAGGGACCTCGTAGGCACCAGCAGGGTAACGGGGCTGTGGAAGGTGCTCAGCCTGCGGAGGGACTTGGGACCAGATGAACCTTTCTGCCGTGTAAGGTGCACGACCCCGAGCCTGTCATTTAAGCTTGCTTGACCCTCTCTGCCTCGCCTGTGAAATGGCCGGACACTACCTGACTGGACTGGGGGCAGCGTCTGGGGGCAGATGACGAGCTTCGTGCCTGGCTGAGCCCTGGGTTCTGTGTGTGGCTGTGTGCACGAGGCCCCCGGGCTGGGCTGCCCTCACACGGTTCCCAGAACCAGCCCCCCCTCAGCACTGGCAGCCCCCTGGCTGGTCACCTGTCCTGGGGTCAAAGGGGCCACCGGGGAGCAGGCGCTGTGGTACCACCGGCGGCCACAGGGGGGCGCGCAACTCGCAACAATTCTAGGGTGGAAGTTGCCTGTTCTGCTCCTCAGACGCTCAGGGGAGACTCCCAACCTAGAAACCGGTGTCTGTTTTCTCTGCACTGTGTCTCCCTTCAGCAAAGAAGCTGGTGTGACCTCGCAGCTGAGGCCCCCGGGCCGGTGCGTGGCAACTCTGCTGATGGTTAAAGTCCACCCGGAAAAAAGGGCATTTTTGTGGCAGCCTCTCCCGGCTGGTGGGCTAGTGGGACCTCAGTGAGCGACTCGGCGCACCCAGCAGGGCTGGGCCTGGAGCCCAGGACACAGTGCGGTCCCAGCACAGCCCGCGCCCTCCTTCTGGGACCTCAGGGGACCCCGGTCTCAAGCTAAATAATTTGTACAGCCCTTGCCCAGTTCACAGAAAAAAATAAATGTTGCATATTAAGTGTCTCGACGACAGTATTTCATGCAACATGAGTGACCACCGGGCGGGAGAGTCCCAGACCTGGGTTCGAGCCAACTCCGCTGTTCCTGGTGGTGGCTTAGCTAATCGCCTTCAGCCTCGGGGTCCTCTCAGTGTCCAGGGATGAGACACCCCCCTCCTCTGAGGGTAGCACTACACGAAATGACACAGTTCAAAACAGGTACTGTGCACATGTGGGTTTGAAAGACTTGGCGCTTGTTTTGATTCCTCTGCTAGAGATTATCAAGGTGAAAGGGGTGTCACTGTGGAAATTCAGGGGCGGCCCGAGGGGCTTCATCTGGACTGTTCCTTCTCCTGGACAAATATGCTGGTATGATGTGGAGAAAAGCCCCTGCCTGTGATCAAGCTAATCATCTCAAAGCTACTCAGAACAGCATTTGCAAAGTGCGTGATTTTGTGCCAATCCTCTCGTTCTTGAGAAGAAAGAAATGTAGCAGTACGGATGGCATCCGGCAGGGCACCCGCTCTCTCTCGGGGTTACAGGGTCTGTCTGGTAGGTCTGAGCCATCCTGCCCCTGCCTCCAGGTCTTGGCGACCCCAGCAACCCCAGGAAGGGGGCCATCTTGCCCTGCACCCCAACTCTATGAAAGCCGGAATTTCTCCGGATTGTTGACAACACAGGAAACCCCTGAGGGGCGTCTGCCGCTCATGCTTCCGTGTGTCCTAGCAGGACAGAGGTTCCTTCTGCTCCGGGAGCTAGGCCTTACCTGGGGGTGGCCGGTCTTCCCCTGTTTCTGCCCCATGAGCCGGTAGGATGTGAGTGTGATGAAGAGAGGCAGGAGGAAGTTGAAAAAGGCCATGACGAAGAGGAAGCTGGTGAAGTTTCTGCAGCAGAGGGTGGAGGAGTAAGGGTTGTCTCTCAGGGATGGTGGCCCCCAGGCAGGCCCCTCCGCCTTCGCTCTGGACAGTCACATGCAGGGAGCTGCTCTCATCACGGGGGTGCTCAGAGGTGGATGCTCCTGGGTCCCAGCTGAGGTCCCCTCAGAGCCAGGGAGCCACTGGGTCCCCGGAACCTGCCTTAAGGAGCCAGGGAGCTGAGACGAGGTAGGTCCTCCCTCAACAAGCCGTTGGGCCATCCAGGGCTCAGCCTGCATGGACCCCACGCACGGAGAGGGGCACTGCTGTTTGGAAGCCATGTCTCCCCGAGGGAGACGTCAGTGGGCCGAGAGGAAGGAGCGCTACAGGCGTGTTCCTGGCGCAGGGACTTTAAGGGAGCCTTCGGATGACGGAGATGGGACACGTGTCACTGGACCCCGTTGGGACATCGCTGTGTCATGGGAGGTGGAAGTGCTGACCTTTCGTCAGGAGGACAGGTGTGGGGCAGGGATGCCTGACTGGACCCGGGCTGGGCGATGCCTGCAGGGAGTGTTGAGGGACCGGACCAGGGAAGATGCTTCACGAGTTCATGTGAGCAAACATGTAAAGGGGATGGATGCAGCGTGGTCCCAGCGGAAGAGGGGGGCTGGGGCGCCTGCGACCCCTTCTCTAGTGGGTCTCCCTACGTCCTGGTCTCCCCTGAGCCCCGTGGTGGGCAGGATTAGACATGGCTCCATGTCCTCACTGCAGTGTCTGGAACGGGCTTTCCCGAGTTTCACGTCAACCTGCAAGTGGGTGTCGTCGCTACGGGGCTGGGACCGTCTGGCAAACGCTGACATTGCCCCCCTTGGATTCCAGCTACGACATCGCTGTCATCAGGGCTCACGGCCGAGAGTCCCACGGCAGGGACCCTTCGTCTCACCTGTCCCCCCTGGAGTAGTCCAGGGTGCAACATGTCCCCAGGGGCTCGTAGTCATAGTGGCCCCAGCCCAGGAGGGGCAGAGCAGCCCAGAAAGCAGACGACAGCCACACGAACACCACCAGGGACACGGCCGTGCTCCACGCCAGTCGGCCACCTGCGTGGACAGGAGGGCGGTTGAGAGGAGGGGCCAGCTCTCAGCGAAAAAGAGTGGACTTCATGGTCATGCAGAATGACCCCAAATCCTGGCTCTGATGCTCAGCAGGTTAGTGCCTCAGGCGAGGTAGGGGTTTCTCCGAGTCTCACGTTTGTTCTCCAGGAATGGAACCTTCTGCATTAGCAGGTTGCTACGAAGGGTAAAAGGGAGGCTGGCTGGGAAGCCCTCCGAGTAGGTGCTCCATACCGTCCTCTCGAGCACAGAGGAGGGGCGGTGAGGAGACAGGTGGGCTTCCCAGCGCTGGGTTAGGAAAGGACAGGCCCAGAAAGCAGACGACAGCCACGCGAACACCACCAGGGACACGGCCGTGCTCCACGCCGGTCGGACCCTGGCTCAGGTGAGGCCACTGTGGGAGGAGCGCGGACCCTGGACTCACCACCTCCTGCTCCGAGCAGCCGCCACCTCTGCCTTCATGACACCCTGAGAACTCTCAGCGCCCCTGGAGAGGCTAGGTCCTGACAGAATGTTTGGGGCGACCCGTCCCGCTGACCTGACCTCCTCCACGGCCCCTCCACCTATGCCCCTTGCAGCCTCGCCCAGCTCTCCCCACCCAGGGGCCCCTCCTGGGTCTCGCGACAGACAGCCTCTCCCAGGTACCTTCCCTGTCTGTGGTTTCCGTTCCGCTGTGGACCGGGCTCCAGGGCGAGGGGCCGGGCTCCAGGGCGAGGGGCCGGGCTCCAGGGCGAGGGACCGGGCTCCCAGGGCGAGGGACCGGGCTCCCAGGGCGAGGGACCGGGCTCCAGGGTGAGGGACCGGGCTCCAGGGCGAGGGACCGGGCTCCAGGCGGGTCTGACCAGCAGAGAAGAGGTCTGCAACCCCCTCGCCTGACATTGGATTCCACTGACAGCCCCAGATGGACTTTGCTTGGATGTGTCCTCCTTCTGGGAACTGAGGGTTCATGTCCCCCACCCAAATCCATACACTGAAGTCCCATGGACCACGTGACGGTATCTGGGAGCGGAGGACTTGGGAGGTGCTTAGGTCGTGAGAGTGGAGCCTCCATGACGGGCTTTGTGCTTTTACAAGAAGAGATAAGAGAGAGGTGACCTCTTTCTCCCCCCCGTGAGGACGCAGCCAGCAGCACCACCTGACACCAGGGGAGAACTCGCCAGAACCCTGCTGCACCTGGTCTCGGACGTCCAGCTTCCAGAACTGCGAGAGACGTTTCTCCTGGATGAGCCCCCAGTCCGTGGTGTTTCCGGCCCAAGACCACCCCCATGTCACTCACTGTGGGCACAGCAGCCAATAGCCACTCTGCCCATGTGCTGCATTAGCTGCTGTGGCTTTGGAAACAGATCGCCAAGGTGACACAGCCAAGGTCGTCCAGGTGGGGTGGAGGAGCCCAGGCCCCTCCTCCCCTTCCCTGTTGTGGCAACTCTGTGCCTCCAGAACAGCATAGGCTTTGGTCTGGGTCCCCCGGACAGGGTTTAACTGCTCTTCACTGAGGCAGAGAAGCCTGTTGCTGTCAGAGGTGTGCGTACGTGTGCGTGTGTGTGTGAGTGTCCGTGTGTGCGTGCGTGTGTGCACGTGTGAGAGTGTGTGTGCATGTGTGCGTGTGTGTGTATGTGTGAGAGCGTGTGTGTGCACGCGCATTTGAGAGTCTGTGTGTGCGCGCACGTGTGAGTGTCCATGTGTGCGTGCGTGTGTGCATGTGTGAGAGTGTGTGTGTGCGTGTGTGTGCGAGTCTATGGCAGGAGCAAATCTGTGATTCCAAAGGGCCCATGCCCAGGGCTTCTGGCCATGTGGACCATGTACCCACAGGCATAACCACAGCTCCAAACCTGGAGACCAGGCTACAAAGGCAGAGCCGAGCTCTGGAGGCGCCCAGGCCAGGCCCAACCCCAGCTCTGCCCCTGTGAGCTGTGTGACCCTGGACAAGCTACTTAACTTCTCTGAGTCTCTGCTTCCCAGTCTGCGCGCTCGGGGCTTGCTGTGAGGGTGAGCTCAACCCCGCTCACTGCAGTGGGTCTGCACACTCCGGCATGGGTGGGATTCTCGAGCTTACGAGTGAGCATGTGTTTAATGCCTGTTACAGTTCTGAGAATATTACAGCTATGGTGTCACAGATATTGTTTAGAACAAGATAAAGCAGGTGATGAGAATTTTAACAGTGACTCACTCCCAAGAAAGAAATATCAAGTGAAGAACAGCAGGTGATACACTAATGTGGCCAAGTTTGAAGAAGGTACTTGACAATATGGCTTGAAACCGAGAGCTGGACTGGTTTTCATGAAGCTTCAGCACGGCAGAGGCTCTGTGGAAGTGTGAGGTGTGGGGCTCATACACACACACACGCACGCACAGACACACACACACATGCACACACATACACACACACAGAAACGCACGCACAGACATGCACACACACTCACACACACATGCACACACACACAGACGCACATGCACAGACACACACACAGACATGCACACACATGCACACACGCACACACAGACGCACATGCACAGACATGCACACACACATGCACGCACACACAGACATGCACACACACGCACAGACATGCACACACATGCACACACACATGCACACACACATGCACACATTTATGTGCCCACGTACACACCACTTCTCTGCTCCCCAACAGTGTCTGTCTTCAAGGACATTCTCTGTGCCCATGATCTCATTTGGTTTTCAGAATAAAGCTGGGAGATTGATCACAAAGATAATCTTGCCGAGGAGACAGGTTCAGAGAGGACCCCTGACTTGCCGAGGCTTCAGCGAGGGCACAGACAGCCCCCTCCTTTCCTGAGTGTCTACGTCCACCCTCGCGAACACTCACCCCACCCAGTCTCCCCTGAGCTGGGAAGCACTCAGCAGACTGTCACCCTGATCACCCGCACTGCATGGACGTCCCTCCACCCTGGGGCCCAGGAACGTACGCGTGCGGGCGTGATGACAGCGCCCCCAGGCGACTGCGGCGCTGCTGCAGATGCTGGCCAACGCTGCCGCAAAGCCCTGGAATCCGTGTGCCCGGCAGCCCTCCGGACCATAGGGCCAGCGCCTGCGGGAGACACTGGGCGAGTGACCCCGCCCTTCTGTGCCTGTCCTCCCCCCACGTTGGCCCAGCTCCTCAGGAAAGGTTGTTATTACCCGTTTTCCTGTGAGGACACTAGGGCCTTAGATCTCAAGTCACTGGGGTGCAGGGATGGACCCGTGTAAACTGCCCCGCTCAGCACCCGGTTGGAACAAAGGTCTCTGTGTGAGCAGGTGTGTCCCTTGCACCCTGGTCAGGCGGACAGCTCAGACCTTTCTTCTAAGATGGGGAAACTGAGGCTCGGAGGAGACAAGGTACCCAGCCAACGTCCCAGATCAGATGAAGGCCGAGGGGAGACCTAGGCCTCCCAACTCTTGGCTTTTTGGACCAAGCGAGACAAGAGCTCCAGCTGCCCCCCAACACCCTGAGCAGAGGCAGGAGGAGATCACAGCAGGAACCTCCCTGATGTAGGCCCAGGTCGCGCACCCCGTGGACTCCAGCCTCCATGGTCAGTGCCCAGTGTCCAGTCCACCTCAGAAAACAGCCTTGTAAACACCGCTGAGGCCGGGCTGGACCCCGGCTGGCACACGGGAGGTCTTGTCAGATCCTGTTTGCTTTCACAAACACCTAGGGCGTCCCAGGCACCAGTGGTTGTTTTAAGTTATTTACAAGTAGTGAGAAGTCAATACTGTTAACCACCTGCGAGTTAGGTAGTGATACCCAATCTCGAGAAGAAGCCAAGAGGTGAGACTCGATGAAGCCAAGACCTGGACGCAGGCAGCTGGGTCACGGGGCCCGAGCTCCCAATCCCTGCGGTCTGCTCTCTTGGTCAAGTTTGAGCAGCTCCTGGGCCCCAGAAACTCCTGTTCTCTGGGGTCTCGACTGGATCCAGCCCCGGTCAGCCCGCCCTCCCACTGGGGTCATTTTCTGTCGCGGTGCCCGGAGCTCAGGGGCTGGCGACGGGCTGGTACCGGAGGAGGCTGGACGTGGCCGCAACGAGGGCATTCACGCTGATCCCACTGTCCGCCAGAGCCAAGCTCAGCACCAGCAGGTGGCAAGGGGTCCGAGTCTCCGGATTCTTGCAGAAAGAGAGGATGGTCAGGCTGTTGAGGCTGAGACCGGCCAGAGCTGGAAGGCAGAGGGGCTGGTGAGGCCCACCTGGTCGAGACCAGGGCGCGGGCTGGACAGAGCCTGACCCCGCTCTGCCCTCACCCTTCACACTCGACAGGACTCTGAGCATCAAACCCCGCGAGGGAGCCTGGCCCGAGGCTGAGACCGTAAGGCACACACCCTGCTCCCGCCTCTTTCCGTCTAACGAGAAGGCAGACCAGGAAGAAAACCAACAAGGTACTGCGTGGTTCACGCTGGGACGTCACAGGCACGGACAGCCCCTGAGCGCGGTGCTCAGTGGGCCACACAGCCCTGTCCTCCCCTCTCCACGGGGAGACTGTCCCCCCCGCTTCAGCTGGGGAGCAGGCTCAGCGACACCAGCTCACTTGCCCCAAGTCCGCAGCTGGTACCTGTGGAGCTGGGAGTGAGCTCAAGTTTTTCGGGGTCCAGAGTGTTCTGCGGGGGGGGGGGGGGAGGGACTCGCGGAGGAGGCCTCAGAGGACGGCAGACGGAGCCGACCTTGAACTTCAGCTTGGCCACTCGGGGACTCTCAACTTCTCCCTTCTTAAATGAGGTGTGGAAACCCCCTGCCTGCAGAACCGTGAGCGTTTACCAGGAAGACCGGGTCAGAACGAATGTTCTAGGAAGAGGGACGGCCGTGCAAACGCACACGGTGGTGCGATTCCAAGGCCTGTCGGAGGACAGAGAGGGATGCTAGACTCGGTCCCCGGAAGACAGGAGAGAGGCCGGGTCTCCAGGACCAGCCCCCCCACCCCCCTGCCAGCGCTCATGGGGTGAGAATACGAGCGGTGCTGTCTCTGCGTCTGCTCTGAACCCGGGTCGCACCCCCATCAACCTAGTCTCGGGCCGGCCCAGCTGCAGGGTCTGCAGGCCGAGCTCTGGCCTCAGGGAGCATCTTAGGGACTCTGGGTTGAGGCTGGCACCTCACGGACCCAGGTCACCCCTAGACTGGAAATGCTTAGGGCCGAGAGAATGGAGACGGGGGCGGTAATGGGGGTGCTGGAGAGGCTGGTGTCTGCCTCAGCGAGCACGTTACACCCATGACCCCACCTAACCTTCATCGCACACACTTGGAACGCCAGGGCCCCGGGGGCTCAGTGACCTGGTCACAGTCACTCAGGCGCAGGACTGTCTGTCTCTAGAGCCCATCAGGGTCTTGATCGTACACAAGATTCTTAGCAGAATTTCCAGGAAAGAACAAAACAATTTTCTGGCGAGAGGGACAGTGCAAAGGCTGGAACCCAAGTTTTGGGCCCTGAGTAGGTGTCCCCTTCGCAAACCCCACCTCCCTGACCCTGCGGCTCTCTCCCTGGGCTCCCAGCCTGCAGCTCGTCTCCCACAGGCGCGGCATCAGGAGCCCCCTGGATCCAAGTACCGAAGAGTAGGTTTGGGGGTCTCTCCTTGCCATGGCCTAGGTTCTGGGAGCCCCCTGGGTTCCCCCACCCCAAATTCCACCCGGCTCACCTTCCACCAGTAGCACCACCCCCACAGCCAGCACCTCCAGTTCCCCAAATCCTGGGGGCAGGGAGCTGGACTCTGCCATCCTCGCGTCCTCCCCGCTGGCCCAGCTCGGCTCTAGCCCCCCAGCCGGGCCCCTCCCTTTATAGGGCCCCTCACGTGCGCACACAGGCAGGTGCTTGGGCTCCTTCTCGCCCCCCCCCCAAGAAGAAGGAGCCCATTCAGCAGCGCACAGAGCAGCCTCTGTGACCCCGGACTGCAGCAGATCCGCCCCTGTCAGCCCCGCCAGGCAGGATTAAGGACCAAATGGAGCGCGTGGCCGGGGGCCGAGAGGGCAGAGACCTGCATGACCAGGACGGGCTGAGGAGGGACTTGAAGCTGCGGCTGAGCCTGAGAGCTGTTCGGAGCCGGGTCCCGGCAGGTTTGTAGGTGCTGCAAGCTGAGGGCCTGTGTGCACGTGTGTGCACGTGTGTCTGGTCCACCTGGTCACTTGCATGTCCGCACCAGCGAGGGGAAAGGATGAGGCTGGGAGGTCGTCTGCTGCCATAGGAAGAATCTCACCTGGGACTGGAGACCTGGGCTCTGGTTCTGAATGTGCCAGTGACTAGCTGTGTGGCCCGCGGGGCCCTGGGTCTGTTTCCTCTTTTGCAACGTAAGCGGCTTGTCACAGGCCCACGTGAGTCTTGGTGGGAAGAGCCCCCGAGGACACAGCCTTCGGCTGCAGGTCTGACTCCAGTGCTGGTTGGGCCGGGGGCTGCTGTGCACCCTCCTGTGTGTGGCCACAGCCCACAGAGCGCTCTGGCCTCGGCAAGTGCAGCCCTGGCCCAAGGTGCCTCTGACTCGCGGAGAAATTTACGTCGGGAAACACTGACCTCGAGCAGCTGGACCTGTTTTCGGGTGAAGACGCCGAGGCCCAGCATCTGGGTTTCCCAACCCGTCCGTGAGCAGGTGCTTGTGAGTGTTAAAAAATTGGGGTCCTTACTACACCTGAGAGTTTCTGTTCTCACAGGCTGTCGAGGGCTGGAAATTTGGATTAATTGTTGTAAACACCCCAAGTAAAGTGACATTACTTCCCTTGAACACATGAGGACAGAGGCCAAGAGGAATCATGTAACGTGTCAAAGGTCACAGCCCGTAAGCGGAACAGCTGGGACTTGAACCCAGGCAGCGTGGTCCTGGGCCCTGGGCTCTTCCCGACGCCTTCACTGCCTCAGCTCATGGCCTTTTCACTACAAAACAGCGAAAAAGAATTCCCAGGGCTTTTATCAGAGGCCACGGTCTGATTTCACCTCCTCTAAGCCAGGCCCCTTGGGGGTCGGACGGCCCACGGCCTAGAGAGGTTTTGCAGGTGGGCAGCAGCCCAGCCAGCTGGTCCAGCAACTGCTTGCCCTGGGTGGCGCCCACCTGCTCCTGTCTGCCAAGCCCTGGCCTCTCTGGGCCTGTGGCTGTTGGTACAGAAGGGGGTGCCCCACCCCCACTCTCAGGACCGGCTCACTCCGGGAGCAATAAGCGGCTGAGTGTGGCCGAGCTCCCTTCCCTAATCCCTGGCCTGTGGCGTTTATCTGATGGACTCAGGGGGGCGTGGGGGCCGCAGCGCCAGTGGGCAGCAGCAGGTGGGGGAGACGGCCCAGGGACAGGCCCTGCCAGGAGCCATGAGGGTGGCGTCTGCTGTGCTCTGGCTCCTGGCCCTCGGGGGCCCACCCCAGGCCTGGAGCTCCTGCCCCCCTCGGTGCAGCTGCAGCCTCCACCTCCTGGGTGATGGCAGCTCGGCCAGGTATGGGGGGCCCAGCCCCCACTTAACCGCAGGTATGGGGGGCCCAGCCCCCGCTCCACCCCAGGTATGGGGGGCCCAGCCCCCGCTCCACCCCAGGTATGGGGGGCCCAGCCCCCACTCCACCCCAGGTATGGGGGACCCAGCCCCCGCTCCACCCCAGGCTGTGGGAGGTTTGGTGCAGGTCCTCAGAGTGCGGCCAGGATGAGGGGTCCTGTAGGGCTGGTCTGTGCTGAGTTACGTCTGGCAGCAGGCATGGCTCTGCCCAGAGGTACCAGGTCCCTTTACAGTTGGGGGTGGAGGTGGGGGTGGGGCACAGGAGTATCAGCTCCAGGAAATCCTTCCTGAATCCTCCTCCGGGATCCTGGTGGACAGGAACCTCCTTAAGGTCCCAGGAAGTCTTCCCCTTGCCTCTGTCTTTTCTCCCTCCCTCCCCTCCCCCCCATTCTCTCTGTATCTCCTCAGTCTCTTTCCCATTCTCGTTTCCCCTCCCGAGGTTACCCACTCAAGTCCCAGGTATTTCTTACCACCCCACCCGGGTGGACCCCCAGCCCCCTCATGCTCTGCCCCTTTGTGTCTCTTCGGGTACAGCCCTCGGGAGCCCCAGCCTTGACCCCCTTCCGGGGGCTCCTTCCTCCTTTCCCAGCCCCCCAGGCTCTGAGAGCACCTCACCCCTCCTTGTCTGCCTCACGGACGACGGGGACCCCGCTCTCCCACCGCGGCTCCCTCTCTCTTCATGTCTTCAAACCGTCTTTCCTCTGACACCCCCAGCTTGTTCGTTTGTGAGCCCGAACCCGCCTCGCTCAGGACTTCAGCCCCAAGTCCACCCCTTTTCCCTTGTCCTGGGTGGGTGTTGGGGAGCCACTGACGGGGTCTGGCCGGGGCGACTCTTTCAGGGATCCTGGCAGTGGGTGACGAGTGGGTGGAGTACGAGGGGTGGCAGAGAAGAGAGACCCGAGAATAAACACCCCATGTGGTTTGAAGAACAGGAAGAACTCCATTCCCCCCCAAATCTCTGGAGCTCCGATGCATACGGATCCTCAGCGGCGAGGACTCTCTTCCAGGGGACGAGAGTGGGTGTTTCCCACCCACTCTTCCCTTCCCCCCAACCCAAACCTTGCTCCTTGCAGCAGCCAAACCTCTACTGTCTGCAAATGTCCTGTGGCCAGTGCTCCTCTTCCTGTGAAGCTGGGCTCCTTCCGGGCCTAGCAGTGCCCGTCCCTCCGGAGGGCTCCACGCACATGGGGAGAGCAGCCGCGGGTGGGCAGGAGCCGCTTGGTGGGGGGCACTGGCAAACAGAAGAACAAGTCAAGCCCCGCTGAGTTGGAGCAGAGTTTGTGAGTTAAGCTGATGAGTGGGGTGTTCTCCAGGAAGGTGTGAATGAGCACGCGTCTGACATCCCACGAGAACGGCCTCCCTTAACAAAGCAAACTCTGCCGTCACCTCCAGTGCCCAGAGAGCCCTCCAGCCCGACTGGGGGCTGCCCAAGGGCGGGTCCCTCATGCCAGCCTCCCAGCGGCCTCCCCTGAGAACTTTTCCGTGTTCCGTGTGTGACTGCTGCTGTCTGTGAGCCCGTGTGCCCTGAACTGCAGGCTCCGGAAGGCAGCCCCCACTCTCTCGTGCTCTGCCAGCCTAACAGAGCAAGACTTCAGGTGCCGCTGTCTGGGCCGAAGGCGCAGGGAAGGAGCTGGTCAGACAGACGATCACACCACAGTGCGGGGAGGCGGGGACGCAGGCTGTGGGCAGTGGGCTCCTGTGAGGACAGATTGGCAGGGCTGGTACAGGCTGGGTCCCCTTTAAACCCTCAAACCACCTGCGATGTGGAGGCCATTATCACGGGGAAATGAGGAAACTAAAGGGGTGCAATGTGCTCAAGGACACAGCCGGCAAGGCAGGAGCCCAGATGCGAATCCAGCTGCGGGACCGCGGGGTCCCAGCTCTTACCCCAGGGACAGCTCACGTTCCCTGAGTCAGCAGAGGCCGAGGCCCCTGTGGGCGGCCTCCACTTCTGATGCGCTGGGTGCACATTGTTTAAAAATGAAGAGAAGCCCAAATGGTTACAAAAACGGAGGTGTCATTTAACAATCAACACTGTTAACACACTTGCAAAGGGACAATGCGAGGATGGCCCAGGGCTTCATGAGCCCGGCCCTGCGGGTGGTGCGGGCTGTCCTGGGCCCACCACAGTCTGAGCCTGAGGTCCCTCAGGCCAGGGACAGAGACCAGCTGCCTTCCCCGGACCCGTGAAAGGCTCTGAGAGCAAGACGTGCCCTCCCTCCACCCCCGGCTCCCCAAGACAGGCGGCTGCAGGCTCCCGGCCCATCTCCAGGGCCCAGCACAACCTGGAGCGCGGGTTTGGGGGGCCCTGTCTCAAATATCCCCATTTCTGTGACCAGGACAGTGGTGTGCAATGACCCTGACATGACCCTGCCGCCCGCGTCCGTGCCGCCGGACACCTGCAGACTGCGGCTGGAGCGCACGGCCATCCGCAGGGTGCGCGCCGAGGCCTTCCGACCGCTCGGCCGCCTGGAGCAGCTGTGGCTGCCGTACAACGCGCTCGGCCAGCTCAGCGCCCTGATGCTGCGGGGCCTGCGCCGCCTGCGCGAGCTGCGCCTGCCCGGGAACCGCCTGGCCGCCTTCCCCTGGGCTGCGCTCCGGGACGCGCCGCAGCTGCGGCTGCTGGACCTGCAGGCCAACCGCCTGTCGCAGGTGCCGCCCGAGGCCGCGCGCTTCCTGGGGAACCTCACCTTCCTGGACCTGTCCAGCAACCGCCTGCTGAGGCTCCCGCAGGAGCTCCTGGCCACCTGGGCGCGGCTGCACGCGGGGCCCCTGCTCCCAGGCCAGCACACCAGGCTGGTCCTAGGTAAGAGACAGCGCCGCCCTGCGGCCTCGTGCCGGTACCGCCCCGCTCTGAGTTTCCATTCTTTACCTGGGAAACAGAAATCACACCTGGTCTGGGTTTGCGTGAAGACTGAGTGAGAGGCACGCACGGCGAGGCCAGGAGCCTGAGCGCCTTCGGGCTGCGGGGCTCGGATCCCAGCTCTGCTTCCAGCAGGCCCTGTGCTGGCTCCGCTGCTCTGTGCCCGGGCCCCTGGAGCAGGGAGGTGAGGAGAGCTGCCTCAGAACCGTGAGCCTTGTGGGTGCAAAGCAGCGCTGAGCACACAGGAGGTTGCTGGGGCTGCCCAGCTTCTGGGGTGCTGTCAGCAGTGGCCTCCGGCCGGCATCCCATCAGGGACAGCCTCTCCCGTGGCCACGCACCCTTTCTGGGGACAGACCCATCCAGAGACCTATCAGATGGGAATCTAAGGCCCAGCCACCACGGACAACTCTGATGGCCTATTTCAGCTCCAGACCCGCCCCCCCTTCCCCATGCACACCCACCAGGGATCCACCAGCCTGCACCACAGTTCCCCGCCCCCTCCTGCTGTCTCGTTCCATCTCAGTCTCCTGGGAAACCCAACGTCAACAGTCTTCAAAGCATGTGGGTCCCCCTCCCCCTCGAGAGTCCTCTGAGCACCAGGTCCTCCCATACTCCTTCCTAATTGGTCAGTCCTTACTGGCCATCAGCATCAGTGTGGCATCGAAGGGTCCCCCCAGCCCCCTCTTGCTCCTCGTAGAACTTGACCCTTAAATCCCAGGCACAATACCCCTGTGTTGCAGATGGACACACATAAGCTGCAGGTCAGAGAGTGGAGGGTTTGCACCAAATGCTGCTGTCATACAGGCTGGTTCCCTCTCTCCAGTCCGGTGAGGGCTGGGAACCACAGGTGTGGAGAGGGGAGGTGTGTCGGAGCCGAAGAGAGACCACCTAGCCAGGTGTGCCTGTCGCCTGCCTTCGCCCCGACAGGGCCAGCACGGGGGCTGGGACAGTCTCAGGGGTTCAGGGCCGCTCTGCCCCGGGCCCGGGAAAGTCTCGCACAGACGGACAGCTCAGGGCAGGGAGCAGCCAGCCCCGGTCCAGTTCCATCCGCCCTACAGAACTCCTCGCCCAAGTTGACCTGAGTGTCCTTTATTTATTTTTTAAACTTGGTGACTGTTCCGACAACCAAGTCAGGCAGCCAGGGCAAGGAGTGGTTACCCCGTGTTACAAATAAGGAAAAAGAGGGACAAGAGACCTTCAAGTCATGCAGCCAGCCCCCCGAGACTCACTTCCCAAAGCAGGGTGAATGGGCTGCCCCGGCCGGCCCTCTCTCTCCGAGTCTGTCCTGTTCCCAACAGACCAAGGGCTGACCAGGTGAACCTGACCTCTCCTGCCTGGCCCGGAGAGTGACAGGTGGGGACACAACATTCTGGAAAATTAGTTTTAATGTTAATAACACAACTCCTGCATGGATATATGCAAGCATTTGAAGTATTTCAGAAAAGGCTAAAGACACTTGCTTCCTCTTCCAATTCCAGTTCCTTCTCCCCTCCGAAAGGGTGGCCACAGTACATCTACATACACGTACATGCACACACATGACACACATAGAAACTGTGTCTGTGTTACATGCACTGTTATGACATTGTATGTACCAACCAGCACTAATTTTTCACCCAGCGGTATGTCTCAGAGATCTTTGCTATTTACTACAAAAGGATCAACGTCATGTTTTTAAACTGGTGCATGATATTTCGCACTATGTGGACCTTTAGGTTGTTTTCACTATTTTATTAACACCTGCGATGCCACAGAGAATATTCTGTGTGTGTGTGTTTTATTCCTCACCTGAGGGTATGTTTCTACTTATTATCAGATAGAGTGGGAGGCAGGGAAAGAGAGAGGGAGAGAGACAGAGAGAAGCATCGATGTGATAGAGACACATCGACTGATTGCCTCTTGCACGACCCGACCAGGGCCGGGGACAAACCACAACTGAGGTACATGCCCTTGACCGGAATTGAACCCGCAACTCATTGGTCCGCAAGCCGACGCTCTAACCGCTGAGCCACACCAGCCAGGGTCACAGAGAATATTCCTGACCCCTCAGCCTGGTACGTGCAGACAAGTGTTTCTGCAGGACAGGACCTGAGAGGTGGGGTGACCAGCGCATGGGATGTGCTGTACATGAGATACTGTAATGTCTTTCTGATCGTCTCTGAAGTGGCTGGGGCGGTTCTTGTCCCCCACCTGTCGTGGGTGAGACCACCGTGGGTGCTCACGCTGCAAGTTCGAGTGCCTGTGACTGTGAGCACAATTCTAAGTGCAAGGACGCATCAGTAAGCAAAACTGATGGAAACCGCTTTCTCACGGGCTAACAGGTGAAATGGCCACAAGGTTTAACTTTCGCCAGTGTGACAGGTGACTGTTCCGCTGTCCTCTGACTTCGCCTGTTGCATTTGGGGACTCTGCTGTGACAGTTGAAAGCCAGCTAGCTCACCACCAGAGGCAGGCATGATGAGTCTGGGGGCTCAGATGTATCATTACGAGCATTTAGCCAATGACGCAGGGGAGGGCGGGGCGGGAGGAATGAGCATCCTCCCAGCTGGTGCTCAGAGGACAGAGTCACGGACACACAGCAGGTCGAACGAGCCTGTGCAGCACTCACACCCCCTTCCAAACGTGTGCAAACGTGTGTACGCACAGGCGGAAGATGCCGGTATTACCAGACACACCCTCGTATTTAGTGACAGTCTTTGGGGGATGAAGAGGACAGCACGCTAAATGCATTTACTTGGCGTTTCAGGAGCACAGACACACACAGAGATCTGTGCCTTCGAGCTGAGCACACATGGTACCTCTCCCTCCTTCCCTCTCCCTCTCCCTCCCTCTCCCTCCCTCTTTCTCCATCTCTCCTGGTTTTTGAACGAGGGCTGCAATGATCTGCCTTCAGTCTATAAAGATGTTCAATATTAACATAAAGAACACAGGGATATGACATCACGTTTGATTTCCTGGTTTCCTCTCTTCTCTCCCTTTGCGCCAAAGAAACTCGGGTCGGAACAGCGGCAGTGCCGCTCTGGGAGGGTGGGGCAGGTGGCAGGGTCCCAGCACCCCCAGCAGTGGAGTTAGGCACATGGCGATTATTGCAGAAACACTCCCTGACCAACACCCTAAAAGCGTCAGGCGGAGGGTGACAGTGGTGATGTGATGCTGCACGTGTGCTGTGGCCACCCAGGGCTCGCTGTGACTTCTCCTCATTGACGCTACGGCAGCCCTGAAAAGGAAGTGGTGCGATCCTTTGAGGTGAAGAACCAGGCTTGAGTTTGCTCAGCTAGCGAGACAAGGAGCTGGCCCGTAGGCCAGGCTGCTGACTGAGCTCAGGAGCTGCCTTGTCCTTCCTGGGAGCTGAGTAGCCAGGGCTGACCTCCTGCCTCTCATCCCTGCAGGGCTGCAAGACAACCCCTGGGAGTGTGACTGCCGGCTGCATGACCTGGTGCACCTCCTGGAGGGCTGGGCCCCAAGCCTCGCCCTCATAGAGGCGGGGCTGCGGTGCGCCAGCCCACGCGGCCTGGCTGGAGTGGCCTTCAGCCAGCTGGAACCGAGGAAGTGCCGGAGCCCGGAGCTCCACCCGGGGGTGGCCAGCTTCCGGTCTCCTTTGGGCAGCACAGCACTGCTGCGCTGTGGGGCCACCGGGGTTCCCGGCCCCGAGATGAGCTGGAGGAGGGCCGATGGGCACCCACTCAACGGCACAGGTGCGTGAACTGCAGAGACTGCTATGCTGGATGCCAGCCTGGGGCGGGTGGGCCAGTGTCCAGATGGGCAGAGTCAGGTTTGCCAAAGAGCAGGAGGTGGGCGGAGCCAGGCTGTTGACTCCCCTCCGGAGGTGGGGCCTGGGGCAGCGCATGGTCCCATCACGTCCACAGCCGCTCTGTCCAGACCCAGGACCCACCTGAGAGGCGCAACATGCTGACTTTCGGTAGAAGAGACTTTCTTATTGTATTTAATGTTCACGGTCACTTTTCCAGTCCTAAATATTCAGACGGTATCTCTAGGAGTAACTCATGACCTGAGCTGCCATCCACGGAGCTCTTCGTTGGTTAGATCATTAGTGCACGATGTCACCGCCGTGAAAACAACGTCAGGGTCCCGCTTGTTCCGCGTGTACGTGCGCGGAGGCGCTGGGAGGTAAACGCGGGGCTGGGAGCGCGATGCGTCCGGTGACTGCGCAGCGAGCGCATCTCGCTGAGGACGCAGAGACGGTCCTGTCCGGCGCTGCTGGAAGCAGGGCTGCAGGGGTCCGAGCTCAGGACCTACATGCAGGACAGTCGAGGAGGCTTCCTCAGCGTCTGACCAGAGTAGCTCGCGTCCCTCCCAGCTGTTCTCTGGCCCCGTCAGGGGCTGGCAGACACGGCTCTCGAGCAATGGGTCTGAAATCAGCAGACACAAAGCTGAAGGTGCCCTGACCAGGCTGGCCGTGGGGCTGGGCAGCGATGGGCCTCTGCCCGGGCCCACCCTGTCCCCCTCCCTCCGAAGGGCCCTGAGGAACACAGCTGAGCACCTCGGATCTGGAAGACAGATTGTTCTCAGGCTCGGACGCAGCCTGGTCTCCCCAGACTTGAGCCTCCCCCTCCCTGGGCAGTCTGAGCAGATGCACGAGCAGATTTCTTGGGACAGCAGGGTCTTAGTAGAGTCCGGGGGCTGTGAGCTTGGCCTGGCAGGAAGGTTGGGCAGTCGGGGCCCTTCCTCCTCACATGTGTCTCTCCCCCGCCCCAGTGCGCCAGGAAGTCTCCAGGGACGGCACCAGCTGGAGTCTGCTGGGCCTGCCTGCGGTGTCCCACCTGGACTCCGGCGACTACATCTGCCAGGCCAAGAACTTCCTCGGAGCCTCCGAGACGCTCATCAGCCTGGTCGTCACTGAGCCCCAGACCTCCACCGAGCGCGGCGGCAGCCCCGAGGCACTGTGGGTGCGGACAGGCAAGGGGGCGGAAGCCGCCTTCTTCAACAGCAAGCTGGTGGCCAGGCATGTCCCCCGCACCCCCGAGCCTGCTGTCCTGGCCACCTCCCCTCCCGCGCGCAGCCTGAAGGGGCCGATGGTCCAGCACTTCCCGATGGGCGCCTCGGGAGGGCGCTCGCAAGGGCCGACGGGACCCCAGGAGACCCAGATGGTGAGGTCTCTCAAGGTGGTGGGGGACACTTACCAGAGTGTGACCTTGCTGTGGAAGGCCCCCCTGGCTGGGAACTCAACGGCCCTCAGCGTCCTTTACGCCGTCTTTGGGCAGCACGACATGCGGCGGGAGGCCGTGCCGCCTGGGAAGACCAGGGCCACCATCCGCGGGCTGGTGCCCAAGACCAAGTACGTGGCGTGTGTCTGTGAGTGGGGCCTGGTGCCCCGGAAAGAGCAGTGCGTCATCTTCTCCACCAACGAGGCGGTGGACGCCGAGGCCACGCAGAGGCTCATCAACGTGGTGGTGGTCAGTGTGGCTGCGGTCATCGCCCTGCCCCTCACGCTGCTCGTGTGCTACAGCGGGCTCCAGCGGCGCTGCCGCAAGTGCCACGCCCGGGGGGCCCCTGAGGCCGCCGGGGCCTACGTCAGCCTGGAGAGGCTGGGCCACAGTGAGGACGGCTCGGAGGCGCTGTCCGGGCGCAGCCTCAGCGAAGCTGCCGGGCTGCTCTCCGCCCGGTCCAGCCTGGACGCTCAGCTCCTGGGGGCCGGGGCGGGCAGACGCATCAGCGAGTACTTCTGCTGAGGGCCTGCTCCCCCGGCACACACATGCCCACACGCCTGCTCCGACCCCTTCCACCCACACATCCGCTCCTTCCGCGGGCCGCCCGCTCCCTCTCCACGCACAGACCACAGCGAACACAGCGAGCAGGTCCTCGTGCCCGGCGCGTTCTGCGTGCCGTGCATGCTGGAGCCCATTGAGCTTCCGCAGCAGCCGCTTGTCATGGATCCCGCAGGTCTCCCCATTTTCCTGGAGAAGAACTGGGATTAAGTAACTCGCCCATCAGTCCGTTTGGCTGCATAACAAACAAGCAAAATCTAAGAGGCTCAGAACAGCAAGTAGGTGTTTTTACACAACCTACAGGTCTGTGTGTCCACTGCGGTGGCTCGGCCCCATGTCCTACTTGGGCCCCGGACGGAGGGCCAGTGGCTGCCCGGGGAGGTTCCTTTCACCGAGAAGAATGAGCAAGAACAAGTGACGCCTCGCAAACTCTTGTCCTGGAGCAGGCTCGCTGCCCCTCCTGCCCGCGGCCATCTGTCAAAGCCAGAGCCACGGCCAAACCCAACTGTCAAGGGCAGAGGACAGTTCTGCCCGGAGTCGTGGTGGGCAGACGACTGAGCTGGGCCGTGATCTCGCCTGCTTTGCTGCCCACACGGCTCAGCTGGGAGAGGCAGGTCCAGAGGTCGGACCAGGCAGCAGGCTGCGGAGGGAGCGTCCTCACCGCTCCCCCTATGCGTCCGGGTGACGTTTGCGCTGACTCGGGGCACTCGCACACCCACGCAGACACTCCCCACTCCCTGCGCACACACTGGTTCTCACCTTCCTCTCCTGGGCGCCGTCCTGCCCAGAGACAACCACTCAATTTCCAGTGAATTCTAGATGTTGGGTGATGCTCGAGAGACAGCTGCTCGTTGCTCTAAGAACGGCAGCCTGGAGGGACCCGAAGACACTCTGGGCACCTGGCACCGGGTGCCCAGCGCTGCCTCCCTCACAGCTCGCCTGTGCCCCAAAACTTACCTCGGTTCCCGAGGTGTCTCACCGTCTTCCCAGTCACTCTGTGGGACACTTAGAAGGAGGATCCGTTTCAATTTCTTAAAGCTGGGGACTCAGGAGCGGGCAGAGGGTCCCGCAGAAGGGGCGATGCCGAGTCTTGTTCTGGGACTGAGCTCTCTGGAAAGAGCACCCGGGTATTTGGCGGCCCCTCCTCTGGGCAACAACAACCGAGAAAACTTGGGGCAGCAAGTGAACCAGGAAACGGTTTTGGGGATAGCACGTGAGAGACTCCTCGCAGTGTTGGACACTTGCTGGATGCGGTGGTGTCCGGTCAGTGTGTCCCCTCTCACACCTACGAAAGACCTCACAACATGACCTTGCAATATGCTTTTCCGTTTTCCCTCGTTGGACCCTCACAACGAGCCATTGTGAAGGCTACTTGACGGTACAGACTCGAAAGCCGAAGTCCAGGCAGCGGGATAATTTACAAAGGTTGTGATGGGTTTTCTTGGAGGATCCAAGTCTTGAATAAATTTCTGCCCAAGTGAGGGTCTAAGTTCGATGCTGATCCCTGCAGTGCGATCCACAGCAGGTCACTAAGAAATGGGCTTGCGTGTGTGCCGCTGACACAATGACCCGAGGCCAGAACCGTGCGAACACAGCCCGTGAGCACAGGCTGTCCACACACGGATACTTTCGCCATCACCTGGAACTTCAATGATTCGTTGAGACCTATCTGGGTCTGACTGAAATGCCCCCGGATTGTCAGCCGCCCAGTACGTCTGTAACGATCTTTACGCAGTGTGTTCTGTGTCTTTGGTTTGCTCTTACAGAGAAAACTCAGGCTGCATCGTGCTCACCAATATTCAAGTCATCGGAATAAAACAAATTCACGTGTAAAAAATAAACAATGTCTTGTTTACATATTAGTCTTTGGTATATGAGTCCGGTTGGTAGGAGTCTTTCCAGAGTCCGGGAAAGAATTTCTGGTCGCCCAGTGCCAGGACCCACCCACACCGTAGCAGCCCCACCGCCCGCTGCTTTCGGAAGCCCATTTGGAGGACGGTTGAATCATCGCATCTGCATCATGTCTTTTCTGACTGCTACATGGTTATATTCCTCTTTACCAAGGCAAAAGCTATGTCTGACGTTATTTATTTGTAATCGCATGTCTAAGTTGAAGGGTACAAAAAGGCAAATAAAAGAAATTCTATCCTGGGAAGTAGATGTAAGCTATTAAAGCTAGACTATCAATCAAGGGACCCAGAGAGCAGTGTGTTTAGGGGACTAGAGATGGACATTTTTAAATGGATTTGAGAGAGAGACAGAGAAAGAGAGAGAAAAAGAGACATTGATTGGCTACCTCCCATACGTGCCCTGACTGGGGATTGAACCCACAACCTGGGTATGTGCCCTTCCTGGGAATCAAACCCACCGCCCTCTGATGCATGGGTCAATGCTCTGACCAACTGAGCCACACCGGCCAGGCTAGAGCTGGACAATTTTGTCTTGATTATCATATAAGCCAGTAGAGACAAAAATCAACTTACAAGTACTTGAGCTATTTCAGTTGACTGCAAGGGCTGTTTTAGCCAGGATAGGTTGGCTATGCTAACAATTCCCAAGTTTCTGTGGGTTAACACAGAAAACATTATTTTTGCTCACAGAGTCTACTTGAGTCAGGGGAAACGTAGATGAAGAGAGGGCTCGGCTCCAGGCATGCGCTCAGGGACCCAGGCTGAGGGAGATGCCACCTCTGCACGTCGGCGACTGCTGCCGCTAAGGAAAAGAGAGGCTGGGGAACCATGCGGGGTCTTTAAAACATCATTTTCTCTAACATTTTATTAGCAAGAATATTAATACCGCTTGGCCGGTGTGGCTCAGTGGTTGAGCATTGACCTTGCACCAAGAGGTTGCCATTTTGATTCCCAGTCAGGGCACATGCCCAGGTTGTGGGCCTGATCCCCAGTGGGGGCGTGCAGGAGGCAGCCAGTTGATGTTCTCTCTCATTGATGTTTCTATCTCTCTCTCCCTCTCACTTCCTCTCTCCCTAAAATCAAAGAAAAATAAAAGAATTTTTTAAAAAAGAGAAAGAAACTAGGGTCATGCAGGAGGCAACCAATCAATGTCTCTCTCACATCAATGTCTCTCTCTCTCTCTTCCTCCCTCCCTTCTATCTAAAAATCAATGGAAAAATATCCTCAGGTGAGGATTAACAAAAAAAAAAAAAAAAAAAGAAAGAAAAATAATATAACCCAAGTAACTGCAATTGTCCTGGTCTCCTGCCTTACCTGACAATGTAATTGCTCCCCCTGGCTGTATGCCAGAAGGAAGCCAGAGGCTGAGGAATCGGGGGGCAGAGGGCCAGTGCAGAGGTGGCTGAGCAACCCCAGAGATGACCTGCCTCGGGCGTTCTCAAGCCTTCAGCAAACCGTTGGCAAGTGGGGTTGAGCTGGACCCATTTGAAGACACTCGTACGGGATGAACGGAGAAGAAATTGTGCAGGTGGAGAGTTCTTAAGGCCGTTATGTTTCGGAGTGAGAACAGAATTCACCCGTGGTTTGTGACACCGGTGGATTAACACATTTTTTCCAGGAAGGAAACCTGATTCTCTGGAATGAGAATCGCCCACCAGGTTGCTCCTGTCAGGCCCAACTGTCCCAGCCCTGTGCCCTTGCCACCCTGTCACCGTATGTGGGCTGACAAGAGGGAAGGGCCCGTGCAGACACTCGCTCTCGAGGGTCTGGGCAGCGCCTCCCCATGCCCACCACAAGCCTGAGCCCACAGCAGCCTCCTTGTTGTGGTTTCTGCCTCGAGAGGAACTCCTGAGATAGAGCCAGATCCCAGAGACCGTCTGAAAACTCCAGCAAGTAGGTCCGCTTGGACGGAAACCCTGCCATGTAATCCGCTTAGCTGTGGCCCATTTCTCCCCTCGCTGGCTAGTTACTAAGAGGATTTTCTCCCTTGAGCCCCTTTGCAGGGAATAATGTGTATCATGAGTGTTAGAGGAACCCATGGAATTTTAATATGCATCAGGAAATGCCCCAAATAACAGGGAAGCAGACTTTGTTGGTCTTCAAGAGTCTGTTGGTGTGGGAGGTGAATTAAAGCTTATTACTTGAGGTGGTGAACACGCAATACAATATACAGATGATGATTTATAAAAACATTATTGGACACCTACTGCATGTTCAGTACTTTACATAATCTCAAAATTACCTAGAAACAGTACGCAGTATGTATTAATTTCCTCGCTTTGCAGAGGAGAGATTGATGCTCACAGAGGTTAAATGACTCTCCAAAGACGTCAACACCAGGGAGCCTACGCTAGAGAGAAACCCGTGGGACAGGATCTGCCACAGGTGTCCACCACTGCGTTTCTGTCCCCTAGTGAGTGTGTGGCTTGGCGCAGGAGAGGGAAATACTTGTTGGCTTAATGATGGGTGGCAGAGCAAGGATCCCAAATTCACATACTAAAAGGTAGGTCTTTCCCTTGTATTATGGGAAATGCACAGCATTCAGGAAAAGGTGTGATACCCAAAATGAAAAGCCATGCTTCAGTTTAACCGAACCCGCCAGCTGTGATTCACGCAGTAGAGGCTCCCCCATGCGCGGTGGTGGAAGAGAGCCACCTAGAGGCGTGGTCACAGAATTACTGTTCACCCATCATCCGCATTCGTTTTTCGAATAAGGTGGAAATTCTAGGTTTCAGGAGCCCATTGTGACTGGGGAAGTATTAGATAAATTTTGGCCAAATCACCTGCACCATGGTGCTCAGAATTCTTGGCCTCCTCCCTCTCCAAGTCACCCCCCGAAGAAAGCTCACCCCTGCAGCCCTCTCACATCTTGTCAGCACAGCCCACCTGCTGGTGTCTGACCTTTCTGCCAGAAACTGAGGGGAGGCGGTGTCGGGACAGAACTGAGCGTCTTGCTTGGAGCTTGTGCTCCGGACTGAGAAGCGAGACAAAGCCGGTTCCCGACCTTCGCTGGGAGGCACAGCTCCTGACCACGGAGCTTGCGGACTGGGCTGCGGCAGACCCCTGAGCCTGCAGAGCTTCGACGGCTGCGCTGACCTCCATCACCCGGGATTACCACTAATAGGCTTTCCACTCGGAAGCTGGGACTCTCTTATTCAAAATCCCCAAGGTGGCTTCTTACAGAGGAAATGGCTTCAGTCCCCCACTACTTCCTGCTGGTTCTGGTGGCTCTGGACTCTCAGGCAGCTCAGCCCTCCTGTTGGCCGGGATGCACCTGCTCAGAGGAGGACTTTGGCAGGTGCTGTGCTGTGGGGGTGGGACTTCTCTGGGGATAATTTGGAGTGGGAGCAGGCCTAGACTTTGCAGGGTAAAAAATCTCTATGAGACTCATTCTAGTTGGTACTAAACTTTGGTGAACCGTAAACTTTCACGAGAGAAGATGTAGCTCTTGTTTCAGGTGAATGATACATTTTTTTCTGATTCACATGCCTGGTGCCAGGAGAAGCCCCGGCCCACTTCCAGGTCCCACTTCCCGGTCCCACTTCCCGGTCCCACTTCCCGGTCCCACTTCCCGGGCCCACTTCCCGGTCCCACTTCCCGGTCCCACTTCCAGGTCCCACTTCCCAGGCCCACTTCCCGTCCCACTTCCCGTCCCACTTCCCAGGCCCACTTCCCAGGCCCACTTCCCGTCCCACTTCCCGTCCCACTTCCCAGGCCCACTTCCCAGGCCCACTTCCCGTCCCACTTCCCGTCCCACTTCCCAGGCCCACTTCCCAGGCCCACTTCCCGTCCCACTTCCCGTCCCACTTCCCAGGCCCACTTCCCAGGCCCACTTCCCGTCCCACTTCCCAGGCCCACTTCCCAGGCCCACTTCCCGGTCCCACTTCCCGGTCCCACTTCCCAGGCCCACTTCCCGTCCCACTTCCCGTCCCACTTCCCAGGCCCACTTCCCGGTCCCACTTCCCGGTCCCACTTCCCAGGCCCACTTCCCGGTCCCACTTCCCAGGCCCACTTCCCAGGCCCACTTCCCAGGCCCACTTCCCAGGCCCACTTCCCGGTCCCACTTCCCAGGCCCACTTCCCAGGCCCACTTCCCAGGCCCACTTCCCGGTCCCACTTCCCAGGCCCACTTCCCAGGCCCACTTCCCAGGCCCACTTCCCGGTCCCACTTCCCAGGCCCACTTCCCAGGCCCACTTCCCAGGCCCACTTCCCGTCCCACTTCCCGTCCCACTTCCCATCCCACTTCCCAGGCCCACTTCCCGTCCCACTTCCTGTCCCACTTCCCAGGCCCACTTCCCAGGCCCACTTCCCGGTCCCACTTCCCGTCCCACTTCCCGTCCCACTTCCCGTCCCACTTCCCAGGCCCACTTCCCAGGCCCACTTCCCGTCCCACTTCCCGTCCCACTTCCCGGTCCCACTTCCCGGTCCCACTTCCCAGGCCCACTTCCCAGGCCCACTTCCCGGTCCCACTTCCCAGGCCCACTTCCCGGTCCCACTTCCCGGTCCCACTTCCCGGTCCCACTTCCCAGGCCCACTTCCCGTCCCACTTCCCGTCCCACTTCCCAGGCCCACTTCCCAGACCCACTTCCCGTCCCACTTCCCGGTCCCACTTCCCGGTCCCACTTCCCAGGCCCACTTCCCGGTCCCACTTCCCAGGCCCACTTCCCAGGCCCACTTCCCAGGCCCACTTCCCAGGCCCACTTCCCGGTCCCACTTCCCAGGCCCACTTCCCGGTCCCACTTCCCAGGCCCACTTCCCAGGCCCACTTCCCAGGCCCACTTCCCGGTCCCACTTCCCAGGCCCACTTCCCAGGCCCACTTCCCAGGCCCACTTCCCGGTCCCACTTCCCAGGCCCACTTCCCAGGCCCACTTCCCAGGCCCACTTCCCGTCCCACTTCCCGTCCCACTTCCCATCCCACTTCCCAGGCCCACTTCCCGTCCCACTTCCTGTCCCACTTCCCAGGCCCACTTCCCAGGCCCACTTCCCGGTCCCACTTCCCAGGCCCACTTCCCGTCCCACTTCCCGTCCCACTTCCCAGGCCCACTTCCCAGGCCCACTTCCCGTCCCACTTCCCGTCCCACTTCCCGGTCCCACTTCCCGGTCCCACTTCCCGGTCCCACTTCCCAGCCCACTTCCCAGGCCCACTTCCCGTCCCACTTCCAGGCCCACTTCCCGGTCCCACTTCCCGGTCCCACTTCCCGGTCCCACTTCCCATCCCACTTCCCGTCCCACTTCCCGGTCCCACTTCCCGGCCCACTTCCAAGCCCCATTCCCGGTCCCACTTCCAGGTCCCACTCCCGGTCCCACTTCCCAGGCCCACTTCCCGTCCCACTTCCCGGTCCCACTTCCCAGTCCCACTTCCCAGGCCCACTTCCTTGTCCCACTTCCCGTCCCCACTTCCCGTCCCACTCCCAGGCCCACTTCCCGGCCACTTCCCGTCCCACTTCCCGTCCCACTTCCCGGTCCCACTTCCCGGTCCCACTTCCCAGGCCCACTTCCCAGGCCCACTTCCTGGCCCACTTCCCGTCCCACTTCCCAGGCCCACTTCCCGGTCCTCACTTTCAGGGCCCACTTCCCGTCTCCACTTCCCTGGCCCACTTCCAGGGCCAACTTCCCGGTCCCACTTCCCAGGCCCACTTCCTGGTCCCACTTCCAGGTCCCACTTCCCAGGCCCCCTTCCTGGTCCCACTTCCAGGTCCCACTTCCCAGGCCCCCTTCCTGGTCCCACTTCCAGATCCCACTTCCCAGGCCCACTTCCCGGTCTCACTTCCAGGGCCCACTTCCCGGTCCCACTTCCCGAGTCCCACTTCCCGGTCCCACTTCCCGGTCCCACTTCCAGGTCCCACTTCCCGGTCCCACTTCCAGGTCCCACTTCCCGGGCCCACTTCCAGGGCCCACTTCCCGTCCCCACTTTCCCAGTCCCACTTCCGGGTCCACTTACAGGTGCCACTTCCCAGGCCCACTTCCCGGTACACTTCCAAGGCCCTTCCTGTGTCCCACTTCCAAGTCCCACTTCCAGGTCCCACTTCCCAGGCCCACTTCCCGGTCCCACTTCCCAGACCCCCTTCCTGGTCCCACTTCCAGGTCCCACTTCCCGGTCCCTCTTCCCGGGCCCACTTCCTGGTCCCACCTCCCGGTCCCGTCATAAAGCTTCCTGGTCTCGTCTACAGGGCTCTGCGGTGCGCATCTCTCTCTCTGGGAAAGATCCCAGGGAACCTTTCTGAAGAGTTCAAGCAAGTGCGAATTGAACGTTCATCCTTATTCGAACTGCCCCAAGGTTCCTTCTTCAACATGAGCACCTTGGAATACCTTTGGCTCAACTTTAACAGTGTCGCTGTGATCCACCTGGGAGCCCTGCAGCACCTGTCGGGGCTGCGAGAGCTGAGACTGGCGGGGAACCAGCTCCGCTCAGTGCCGTGGACCGCGTTCCGCGCCACCCCGCTCCTGCGGGTTCTGGATCTCAAACACAACAGGATCGATGTACTCCCCGAGCTGGCTCTCCAGTTCCTGGTCAGTCTCACCTACCTTGACCTGTCTTCCAACAGGCTTACAGTTGTGTCCAGCAGTGTCTTCCTGAACTGGCCAGCCTACCAGAAACACCAGCGTCCTGGCTCCGGGGCCAAGACTCTCTCCAGCCTGGTGCTGGCGTTGCACAGTAACCCCTGGTCCTGTGACTGTCGCCTCAGGGGCCTTGTCCAGCTTGTAAAGTTCACCCACTTTTCGGTCATCCTGGTGGACCCCTACCTGATGTGCCGGGGCCCCCTCTCCAAGGCGGGACAATTTGTTCATGAAACTGAGCTCAGTGCTTGCATGAAGCCCCATGTCTCCACACCCAGCACCAATGTCACGGTCCAGGTGGGACACAATGTAACCCTGCGGTGCCTGGCACAGGCCAGCCCTTCACCAACCATCGCGTGGACATACCCCCTGAGCACGTGGAGGGAATTTGATGGTAAGACACATGCACCCTCTTAATGTGTCTGGGAGAATGGGGAGGCTTGTAGCAACCCTACCCCAACAGAGAAGTTCTACACTGGGGGTAGGAGAGGTTGAGACAGGCCTGGATTACACACAATAAGGTAGTGTTTCCTTATTGGCATTTATGTATTTATTTAAAAAATTTTTTCTTTATTGATTTTAGAGAGAGAGGAAGGGAGAGAGAAAGAGAACATCTATGGGCCACCTCCTGCACGCCCCCCACTGGGGATGTGGCCCACAACCTGGGCATGTGCCCTGACTGGGAATCGAACCGGCAACCTCTTGGTGCAGGGTCAATGTCAACCACTGAGCCACACCAGCCAGGCCCCAGCTAATTCTTAACGTCAGGCAAGGCTGGGAAGTCCTAGACATTGATTCGATTTTATTCTTCCCACCCCTTTGTTGTCCAGACCTTATTCATTTGAGGTTGTGATACTAAGACCCAGGCAGAGTTGGGGTGATGGGCCCCACAACTGGGATTCACACCTGCACCTCATTTCCTGGGGTTCTGTGCTTGCTCTGCTGTTATACCTCAGCTGGGGTCACCTTGATGCCACCCAAGGGCTGGGGCACCTCACCTCCCGCGGGGCATCTCAAGGGGCCTGGAAGACAACCAGTAACATCAGAGTAAACCTTGAGAGATGCAGTCAGTCACCAGACATTTGTATACATGGTGACAAAAACCTCTGAATAATTATAAATTCTAAATTAACTGAAGTTTTGACTTTTTTATATCATTTTTTTTTATCCTCACCCAAGGACATTTTTCCATTTTTTGTTCAGATAGAGTGGGAGGGAGAGAGAGGAAGAGAGAGAGAAACATTGATGTGAAAGGGACACATGGAGTGGCTGCCACCCACCTGACCAACCAGGGTCAGAGACAAACTGAAACCGAGGTACGTGCCCTCAGCGGAACCGAACCCGGGTCTCTCTGGACTGCAGGCCGACGCTCTAACCGCTGAGCCAAACCGGCCAGGGCTCATTTGATCACATTTTATTGGCTTGAGGTTAAACACCAGTGAGAGGAAGCAGGGTTCATTCTGGGGCCCCTGCCAGAGCAGTGGGTGCGGCCAGAGGCTCCGCGTGACGCTCCGGGTCGGTCTCCTCGGCACTGCGCTGGCTGTCCTCCCTCAGTGATAACGGCAGGGGCACTGACTTGCCGCGTCCTCAGGACTGAGCCCTCTCATCACCCCATCTCCTGACCCCATCTCCTGACCCCATCTCCTGACCCCATCTCCTGATCCCATCTCCTGACCCCATCTCATCACCCCATCTCATCACCCCATCTCGTCACCCCATCTCATCACCCCATCTCATCACCCCATCTCATCACCCCATCTCCTGACCCCATCTCCTGACCCCATCTCCTGACCCCATCTCCTGACCCCATCTCCTGACCCCATCTCATCACCCCATCTCGTCACCCATCTCATCACCCCATCTCCTGACCCCATCTCGTCACCCATCTCATCACCCCATCTCCTGACCCCATCTCGTCACCCCATCTCATCACCCCATCTCCTGACCCCATCTCATCACCCCATCTCCTGACCCCATCTCATCACCCCATCTCATCACCCCATCTCGTCACCCCATCTCATCACCCCATCTCATCACCCCATCTCCTGACCCCATCTCGTCACCCATCTCATCACCCCATCTCCTGACCCCATCTCCTGACCCCATCTCCTGACCCCATCTCCTGACCCCATCTCATCCAGAGGGAAGCGAGGCCAGGAGAACCCGCACAGCTTGTCGGAAGCCGTGCATCTAGTAAGGGGGAGACCCGGCTGCAGGTCCTGGTCTCCCCACTTCCTGGGGCAAGAGGGCACTGCTCAGGGTGCAGCTCAGCCAGGCGGGTGGTCTGGCGGAGCCGCGGACCGCGCAGGCCGGAGCCGGGCTTCCCACCCACGCTCGCAGGCAGGTTACTCCGCGGCCTCGGCCCTGGCTCCGGGTGCAAACTGGGTCCCCACCTTCCGGGCCGTTGCAGGCGGACCCCGGACACAGCGTAACCACCTGGACGACCGGCTCTGCTGGGCCCCCGCTGGGTCCAGAGGATGAGCAGCTGGGCCCCTCTGTCCGCAGTGCTGACCTCGTCTCCCACGGAAGAGGCTGCGGTGTCGGAGCTGCTCATACCCGCCGCCCACCCCGCCGACCGGGGCAACTACACCTGCGCGGCCTCCAACTCCGTGGGCCGGGGCGCCGCCGTCATCGCCCTGCACGTCCAGCCCGCCCCCGCCCTGCCCGCACCCCGTTCGCTGCCCGTCCCCGCGGGGGGCAGCGCCTACGTGGACCTGCGGGTCGTCAGGCAGACAGTGCACGGGGTCCTCCTGCAGTGGCTGACGGTGGCCGACACCGCGGAGGAGACGGGGTTCACCCTGCACGTGGCCTCGGAGGCAGCCCCCCGCGCGGAGCAGGTGGTCCACGTGGGCCCCGGCATCCGCACCTACGCTCTGGACGACCTGCTCCCGGGCACCAGGTACAAGGCCTGCCTCGGCCCGGGGGTCCAGCCGCCGCACCTGGGCCGGTGCGTGGTCTTCGTGACCGGCAGGGACAGCGGGGGGCCGGGGTCCCGCGAGCGCCTCCTGCACGTCTCGGTGGTGCTGTGCGCTGTGCTGCTCACCGTGCCCGTGGGCGCCTACGTCTGGGCGGCCCGCGGCCTCTGCGGGCAGGGGGGCCTGCGCTGCTGCCCTCACAATAGGAGAGCCCCCCGGTGCCCCCAGGCAGCCCCGCCGCACAAGGGTGACTCCTACGGAGACCCCTCAGCTGTCTGTGAGGGTGGCCTGGGGCCCAGAGACACCGAGGAGGGCGAGGGAAACCGTGGGCCTCCAGGGCCCAGACTGACCCTCGGCGGCCACTCAGCGTAGCTTGAGCCATTTGTCCGACAAGTGTTTACTGAGCCCCTCTGGTGTCCCTGGCACTGAACTTGACGCGGTGACCAAGGACACACGGTTCTGAGCGCCTCGGAGCTGATGCCCATGGAGCTGTGCCCGTCCCGCTACCCTGCCATCATAGGTGGTGTCTGGAGATCCCGTGTCGCTCTTTCCACACACAGAGCCCTACCACACGTACATGTTCACACGCAACACTCACGTGTAACATCTCACACGCGTTATCCTGTCACAGAAAGGTAGGGCTCTGCCTCTTCACAGGCGGACACCCCGACCCGCTCCGTGTCACCCGCCTCGTGGCAGCCGAGGCTCACCGGGAGAGGTCCTGGTTCCACCGTCTCCGCGAAGGGCCCGCTTAGCAGCGTCTGCGTCTCCTATTGGCCACCCGGGGCCAGTCTCCCTCGCAAGGGCAAGCTCCCCAGAGACCCGCGAGTTTGTTTCAACAAGCTGTGCTCTGGGTGGTCAGAGCCTGACGGGTGCGCAGCTTGGACTGAGGGGCCAGTGTGCCCCCGGCGGTCTGTGCTCCTGAGAGCTGGGTGCTCTCAGCACTGAGTGAAGGTGTCGGCTGCGCCCGGCTGGGCTCCAGGGACCGCTGGACAGCAGCCTGGAGAGAGGAAGCCGGGGGATGACCTGCTTGAAGTCACACGACTCTCTCCCTCCCTCTCTCTTTCTCCTTTCTTTTCTTTTAGCAAAGAGTAAGCTACACAGCCCTGATTCCCACCTGGTCCCATGAGACTGTGAGTTCCAGGCACATTTTACAGCCCTGGGTCCCCAGCTAACATCTCAGCGCTGAGTGTGACACACATTTGCCACAGGAGTGATGGCATTACCCCTTCCCCTTCCTGCAGTCAGTGTTGCCTGTGAAATCCTGCGAGGCGCCCCTGTCCTCCTAGCTGGGCTCACGTGGAGTGGAGGGGTCCCCACGAACCCCAGAGACAGCTCACTGTCCCTCTGGGAAGCCCCCAGGGTGAAAACCAGAATGTAACCCACAGCTGTCTCTGCAGGGCTTCTCTGGGCCACAGGGGATCCCCTGAAGGTTGTTCGTACAAGGTGCCCCCTGGTGGCCTCCCCACAGATACTTTTCCCTCCTCCTCTCCTTTCTACTCATCCTCTGGGCTTCTTCAGTCTCACACCCCCAACCAGCTTCCCTGGACCTCACTTCTCCAGGGAAAAGCAATCTGAATTGAGCAGGACGGGCTCTGTTTTCACTGGTCACCAGCCTTCGGGGAAAGAGATGCATCTTTCTTCTTCTTCATCTCGCCTGAGGATACTTCTCTGTTTATCTTCAGACAGAGTGGGAGGGAGGGAGAGAGAAACACCCACATGAGAGGGACATATTGACTGGTTGCTTCCTACCCGGCCCCAGTCAGGGACGGGGATGAACTGCAACCGAGGTGCGTGCCCTTGACCGGTCGTTGGTCCATGGGCCAACGCTCTAACCACTGAGCAAACTGGCCAGAGCAGAGACCCATCTTTCTTGCTGTGGCTCCAGAGCTCACCCAACACCTGGACTTGTTGAAAATCAATGTTGGTTGAAACAAATTTTTATTTAAAAAAATGTTTTTTCTTTATTGATTTTAGAGAGAGTAGAAGGGAGAGGGAGAGATAGAAACATGGATGAGAGAGAACATTGATTGGCTGCCTCCTGCATGTCCCTCCACTGGGGATCAGGCCCACAACCTGGGCATGTGCCCTGACCAGGAATTGAACCGGCGACCTCCTGGGCACACTGGCCAGGCTGAAACAAATTTTTAAAAAGTGAAGACTGCCCTCTCATATTTAGATTTATTATTCCCTCATTTCTTCAAATTCTCCTGATTTATCTTTTTCTAAGTATTAGAAGAAACAAAACTTTTTAATGGAAATTTTCAGTTATATCAAAAGTAGAGAGAATTTCATTCCTCCTCTTAGTCAGCTTCAGTAATTGCTAACATTTTCCAGACCTATTTCATCTAGTCCTTGCCCTCAACTTTAAAAAAAACCCCCACAAAACCGTAGTATTTAAAGGCAAATGCAAATCTCCTTGGCTTACCTGTAAATACTTTGGCTTTATCTACAACAGATAAGATGATTTAAAAAACAACGCCATTATCACACCTAAGAACATATATTTTTAATTTTATGTACATATAGAGTTATATATAAACACAAACAACACATCTATACACGTATGTGATATGATAGAATTTGTCCCTGAGAAATTCCCTGTAGTTTTTGAAGGAAAGTGGTCAGAGCAGGGCAGGAACTTGTACTTCTACTGGCCTCTGAGTTGAGCGGGTGGTGAGCTGGGCAGTGCCCGGCTGTTCTGCCAACCTGCACCTTTAGGGAGAGGAAACAGGTCTACAGAGGGTTTCTGGGAATCTGGTTTTTTAAGACCCTAGACTTCCCCTTCGAAGACCCTGAGCGGAGGTGCACCACTCAGACCGACCAGCCCCGTGACGGGAGGAGGCGGAGCGTGGGCTCCGGAACCCGCTTTCTTGGGCTTAGAGCTTGGCTTTGGTTTTCACTTGCTTTGGAACCTCAGGCAAGTCACCGTGCTGGTCTGTGCCTCAGTTTCCCCATCCGTGACATGGGGACGGGGATAGTCCCTCCCCCACAGGGCTGTCTGGATGATTATGTGAATGTTCGCACATGAAGCTCTCCGAACAATGCCTGCCATGTAATAAGCCCTCAGTAAATGTCACCACAATAAATGTTAACACCTCTTAGGACGTCCGTGTCAGGGTGTGTGTGGGTGTGTTGAAGGTGACTCAGCATACAGACTGGGCCATTTGGAACATCAGATCTCACTAGGATCACGTATGTGTGAGCATGTGTACATATATACGTAGTAACCTGATACCTATGCTGAAATCCTTCACACGTTCTGGTTAATGTCTAAACGATGCTGTAGTTTGAGATTCAGTCGTCATGCTCTTGGGAAACTTACTTGTTCAGGGTTCTGACCACAGGCTACTGGCTTTCATGGTGAGGCCACTGTTAGTCCCAGCCTCTGCCATCAGCACCTCGAGGGAGGGATTTGGTTCTTGTTTTCTCTTCTGTTTCTGGGTCACGAGAGCCTGTGTCCCTAATGCCTAGAGGAGGGCCTGGCACAGATGATATACTCAGAAGCTGCACTATCAAAGGAACCACTGAGTAAATCAACGGGAGTGGATCTTATTCAGCCAAAGAGAGGCATCTGCAGGACTTCACAGTGTCATGCAAATATCCGCAACACCACCAGCCTATTGCTGCAAAAGAAGGTCCCTTACTTTACTGATCACAAATGATGGTCACTTAAGCCATAACCACCTCATTCTGGGAACTTTCCTTCAAAGCACCATGTCCCTCCCTGAATCCCCTCAGGGGTCCTTCACGTGTCCACCTGCTGGCCTGGCAGCCTCATCCTCACGTGGCTTCTTCCTTCTCCCTCCCGTGGCTGGGGCCCTGAAGACCATCGGGGAGGCCTCACTGCCTGGTGACAGATGCCAACAATCATGCAGGTGGGCTGATCCTCCCAGGCTCTGTCCACTCTGCCGCAGGCCGAGCAGTGGACGGAAACGTCCTGGAGAGGAGGCGCACGGGGCCTCTGCTCCAGCACGTGCTCCGGCACGCGGACCGCCAGCCACCCTGAGGTGCCTCGTGCACTGGGAGCAGCCGCTGCCCTGAGCCTGTGAGCTGATGCAGAGCTGGTGGCAGGCGCTTCGCACGGATTAGCTCCCCCGTCCTACAGACCAGGCTTGTACCTGGTGCCGTTGGGGAGTGAGGCCCAAAGGAACACACAGGTGGCAGAACCAGGATTCAGACGCAGGGCTCGGGCTGGAAAGTACTGCATTGTTCTGTATAATTAGAAGTCTGAGCTCAGCCACGGGGAGAAACACACTACTCTGCATATTTCTTTGAGTCATATCCTGGGTGTAAACGCCAGCCTTAGGGCCCAGGAGGAGGTGAGCCTGCCCAGCCTGTCACCCCTGCCTTCTAGCTCCTTACCCAGAGTCCTAACACCGTGCCAGCGAGGAGTCCGGCCCTTCCCAGTGTGATGAGCATGCAGCCCTGGGCATCCACCGTTCCGTCGGTGGAGATCAGCCCAGCCTTTCTCCCAGGTGGGGTCCCCTCCATGCCAAACCCGTGTGCCTGTCCCCTGTGTGCTGGTGCCCCCTCCTCCTCTTCAGTGTGGCTCGCGCTGGTCACTGGGCACTTCCCACACTTCCCACTGCAACAGGTGCCCACGTGCCCCGTTTTCAAATGCTCTGCCTTGGTTCAAGTTCTCGGGCGTGTCCCCTCCAGGGGCCCAGATGCTGGCCTGAGTTCCCAGCTCAGGGTCTTCATGCCCACGTCAGGGTTGTCCTGCTCAGGAAGAAAGCCCGGTCCAAGCTCATGACAGGCCACACGCCCTGTAAGTGTACTGCCGCTAGAGGTGTCTGCATGAATTTGGAAAAGAGTTTTCAGCCACCCAGAGTCAGATCTGGGGTCGAAGAATGGATCCATCCGCCAGAGGCAGGAGGCCGTGAGCTGGGCTGCGTCTCAGTGACCATCTCTGCTGGGCAACACGAGCGTCCACAGGAGGTCAGCTTGGCAGTGAGTTAAGATTTTATTTACCCGATTTTATTTACAATCGAGGTTGACTGCATGCAGACTGGAAGGCTGCTGCATTCCCTGTGGGGGGAACCTGATCCACCCAGCCCTCTCCTGAGACATGGACGGGAAGGACCTGCTCCCTCAGTCTGGGCTCCCGGCCTCTTAGGGCCTCCTCCACCCTCGGGGTCAGCGTCCGCAGAGGCCCCAACAAGGAGCCTGCACAGCCAGACGACACCTCCAGACACAGGCTCAGGGATCAAGAAACCACACGTGCAGCCCTGGCCCATTTGGCTCAGCGGTTGGAGCATCGGCCCATGAACCAAAGAGTTTAGGGTTTGATTCTGGTTGCAGTTCAGTCCACGGATGGCCCTGGTCGGGGTCGTGCAGGAGGCAACCAGTGTATATCTCTCTCGCTCTCGCTCTCTCTCCCACTCTATCTGAAGGTAAATGGAAAAATATCCTCAGGTGAAAACTTAAAAAAAAAAAAACCCACCTCTGTGTGCCTGGTCCCCATGGCACAGAGGGCCCACAGTCTCTGCCTGGACAGCACTGCCCATCTTCCCAGGGTCAGCATGTTCTCAGGGATCTGTGCCCTGTCCTGCCCATTTGCTCCCCATCGGCCTGCAGTTTGCTGACCTCCCGCCTCAGCTAGCCCTGGACGCCTTTGTCTGCTCCTGCTTTGAGCGGGAGGCCTCAGATCCAGGTTCTAGAAGGTGCTGTTTCGTGTGGCCAGGGCCCTACTCAACTAGTGATGCTGAGCCCCCAGGAGCACCTGAGGGACTCTGAGGTCTGGGGCTGGTGAGGACAAGACAGGCAGGCTGGCTCCTGGTCGACCCCCAGCTTCTGCCAAGTGGAGAGTATTGTGGCTGCCCCAGGGGTCTGGGCAACGGGAAGTATATTCCACTCGTACCCAGGACCAGGAAAAACCCTTGTCCAAGATGCTGTCCAGAGCCCTGAATAGGGGGTTACACCACTGCACAAAACAGGGGTGGCCCTAAGGAGCAGAGAGGGGGAGGTGAGGGGAAGAGAGGGCCACGGGCCACGCTCTAAACTTAGGCCTGATGGGCTCGGCTCTTCTTCTCAAACTTCTGCCTCAGCTCAGAGACCAGGGCTGACTGGACGGGGCTTCCCAAGGCTCTGGGTGTGGGTGACCCGTCAGGCTCTGCGGAGGTGAGTGAGCCGGAGACGGTAGGCACAGTCCGGGGGGCTGTGCCTGTGCCGGGCGCCATTCTGGGTGGAGGGGGGGGCACCGGGGTCCTGAGGGGCGGGGGGCTTCCTGGGCTGGCGCTGCGGTTCCCGTTGGGAGCATCCTCTCTGAGCACGAACTCGGCAGCGGCTCTGGTCCTGGTGAACTTGAGCCGCTCGGCGTGGGCGGCGCGGGCCGCAGGGCTGGGCCGCCGGCGGAGCACTCGGCGAACCGGCCGGACCTTGTTGGACTTGCTGCGCCAGAAGGTGGCGGTGGAGACCAGGACGGTGACGGCCACGACGCCGGCCATGGTGACGGCCAGCACGCCCACAGCCGTCGTGGGGTCGTCTTTGGTCTGCCTCAGGAAGGCGTCCACGGGGCTCTGGGACAGCGCCTGGAACAGAGCGCCCCTCAGGCAGCTGCCCCGGCCCGGCCCCTGGAGGGCACTGCTGGGTTCCTGAGCTCCCTCAAACGGTGGCCTTTAACCTCTGCCATCGGGTCTCCCTGATGAGCACTGTGGGCTTCCCCCCAGAAAAACACACCGGAGGAGAAACACAATGCATGAAACTCCCTAGAAACAAATGCGCACAGAGAGACCGTGACGCGAGCACCCGTGTTTGGACCGAGACCTCCTCACCAGCTGGACTGCGCTCGGGAGAGCAGGGTGCGTTACCGCTGACTCCGGGGCCACCTCTGCGCACACGTGGCAGGAACCCCTACAACGGCGACATTCCTGGCAATGATCTGAGAACTACACGTGACGACTTCACCTGTGCCGTTAACTCGCACGACACGGAGGCACCATCACCGCATCGTGCAGAGGGACGTGGAGGACCGGCCGAGTCCACACCACGAGTGAGTGCGGACACTAGGGTTTCAGCCCGACGCAAAGCCCGTGCGCCCGATGCCACGGGAGCACCCTCCGCGTCGAGTGCCCTGGGGGGCCTGAGCCGCTGCCCCCGGGCTCACACCCACCTCGGCGTCCGTGACGTCGATCCTGAGCAAGGCCGTGGTGCTGAAGGCCGGGGAGCCGCGGTCCGTGGCCTGCACCTCCAGCGACCACGTGCAGTCCCGGCCGCGCGTGATGTTGCGCAGCGCGTCCAGGGAGCGGATGGAGCGCTTGAGCCGGATCTCCCCCGTGTGCGCGTCGATGTCGAACACGCTGGCCGGCTCGGAGCGGGTGATGGAATAGTCCACGCGGTTGTTGGGCTCCTCCGCGTCCCGGTCTGTGGCCTGTGCACAGGGAGAAGCAGGCTGGCTGGGCGGCTTGGACCAGGCTCGTGCGCCTGCTTCACCGTGTCACCGGAGCTGGCTGGGTGGGAGGGTCGCGGCCCTGACGCACTGAGTGGGCGGGAGCTGGGCGAGGACTTGGCCCTGCCACCCCCTTAGCACGGTCTAGGCGGCGGCTGGTTGAAAACAAAAGCTTGGATACTAAGTGGCTTGTCTGAGGACAGACGGGCGGAAGGAGGGAGCTGAACGTCAGGTCTGCGGGTGCGGAGCCCACGCTCTCCCGCGCGGAAGGCAGGGCAGTCAGTGCCGAGGGGAGGCCTTGCTTGGGAAGCGGGCAGACCAGCGACGTGAACTGATGTAAAGCAACACAGCCCAGACTCGGTCTTTTGTAAAGTGGCAATGATCCCTCTTCGCAGAGGTTCTCTCTGGGCTGAGGTGAGGATGGGGACACACCCGGTACCTGAAAGCCCTCGCCCAGAGTGAGAACCCAATACTCGTCACTTTCACGTCAATTCTTACGCAGCGAGGACAGGCTCTTAGGGGGGCGTGTCTGGCTGAGGTGCAAAGCCCACCTCGATTTTCACTGGGGTCCCCAGCACCATTGTCCTCTCCTGGATGCTCTGCGCAAACTGGGGGCAGTGGTCGTTGACATCCAGCACCGTGACGAACACCTCGGCCAGGCTGGACCTGCCCTCCCCGTCCTCTGCTTTCACATAGAAGTGGTGCCGGGGCCTGGCCTCAGCATCCAGGCTGGCCCCGGGCTGGGAGCAGATGACGCCGGAGGATGAATGAATCAGAAAGCTGCCAAACACAGAGCACAGGGTGTGCACAAGGCCATGCACATGTGTGCACACGTGGACACACGTGTGTCTGCTGCAATGAGCCGCCTCCAGGAAGTGGCAGTAACGCATCACGCACCTCCTCCAAGGTCTCCCAGTGCCCTTCCCCATCCTCGCAGTCTGACTGAGGAGGCAGGTCCACCCGTCAACATTAAACTCAACCACCTGAGTCACAGACCTTCCCTCTCCACCCACGGTCTGCCCTCCCGAGCCCAGCACTGCTTGCCTGGCTCCCGAGGTCGTGATGACCCTTCCTCTCGCAGATCCCAGCACCTCACTGAGTGTCCCAGGACCTCTGCCTCGGGATCTCCGGCTCCCCTCCACGCCACGCCCACGCTCCCCTCATGACCAGCTGCTCCCCCCACGCCCACGCTCCCCTCATCACCAGCTGCTCCCCCCACACCACGCCCACGCTCCCCTCCTGACCAGCTGCTCCCCCCACGCCATGCCCACGCGCACCTCATGACCCAGGTCTCATCCTTTCCAGGTGCCTCCTGACTTTGGGACAGACCCATCCACCCTCAGCCCCCAGGTTCCTTGCCCAAGGCCGTGTCTGAAACTGGGTCTACTTACAGGTCTGCCCCGGACCCGTAGATGGAGTATTTGACTTCACCCCAGGGACCTGTGTCCGGATCCATGGCCTGGAAGAGAGAAAGCTCCTAATAGCAGCTGCCCCTTTGGGCACAATGGCAGCTCATGAGGGTTGTTTTTTATGGCAAAACGAGGGATTTGGGGTTTTCCCAACTCTGGGAGACACTCATCTGGGGGCCTGCCCCGGTGCCCTAGTTTCCGCCCAGGAGGTCTCCCGGGTTAGAGGTTCCAGAGGACCAGATCAGCCAGGCACGAACTCCACTCCTTCTTGGGGGATGAGAAGGGAAAGGAGGTGAGCCCTGTGCCTGAGCTTGGGTTCAACACTCACGTCCCCCTGACTGTCCTGGGAGGTGTTGTGCCCATTGTAAAGAAGAAACATGGAGGCACCCTGAGGGCAGGAACTTGTCCAGGGACAAGCTAATGAGTCCAGACGGGAGCCCAGGTCTGTCTGACTCCCTAAGGTCTCCTTTGGTGGGCTCCCACCCGACCCTCAGTCCTGGGGCCAGTCCACAACGCACGGTGACGGCCACCACACTGGAGCCCCCTGGGGCGTCCTCGGGGATCCTGGCGGCGTAGTAGAGAGAGATGAACTTGGGGGCGTTGTCGTTGGTGTCCAGGAGCCGGATCACTACGTCCGCGGTGGCGCTGAACTTCTCCGGGGTGTTCACTTCAGTGGCCAAGAGCTGGGGAAGGGAGAGCAGGGACCCGGCTCAGGTCTCGGCCTTGGCGGGACCCCTGCCTCCTCCGCACCTCCTCCCGCCGCTGGTCCCGGCTCTGCCTGCGGGGCACCGCCTGCCCGCGTCCTCCCAGCCCCGCTGTTTCTGCCCATTTCTTCTGTCCCCTGAAGGGCACGTTCCTTTTGAGTTCCAGCCCTAAAATGCATCGTGCCTGCGACACAACTTAATGTTTGTTAGAGCAAGCCCTGCCGCGTTCTTTTTCCCTGGATTTTCCAACTATTCTTATAGGGTTAGTTCTCCAGATAAAAAACAGCGAAGCTGTGCCCGGTCCCCTCATCACCTCTGAAGGAAACTCTGGTTAGGACGCAAGAGGCGGCACTGGATTCTTTGTTAATGCGAATTGGCATTTGTAACAGGGTTTCCGTCTTTGTATCCCTTTGTTAAATTTCGCATTTTTTGGTCATTTTGATGTTGCCTATTTCTTGTTATTGTAATTCCTAGGAATTTTTTCTGTTGTTACTGTAAAAGAAAATCTTTCATTCTGTTATTTTCATTGCTATTTTTGTGTGTGTCGGAAATCTATTTAATTTTGTGTATCAACTTTGTAACCAATCATGCGAGAAACTTTGCTGTGTTTCTAACTATTTTCTGATTCCCTTCAGGTTTTTCTAAGTGAACATTCACATCATCTAAAAAATGATAGATTTCTCTTTTCCTTTCCAACACGTATACCTCTTATTTCCAGGATGTGTTAAATAATAGCAGTCATAGCAGGCATCCGTGTTTTGCTTCTGGCTTCATAGAATGCTTTTATTTATTTTTTTATCCTCACCTGAGGACATTTCCCCATTTTTTGTTCAGATAGAGTGGGAGGGAGAGAGAGGAAGAGAGAGAGAAACATCGATGTGAAAGGGACACATCGAGTAGCTGCCACCCGCACGACCCAACCAGGGCCGGGGACAAACTGCATCCGAGGTACATGCCCTTAGCAGGAACCGAACCCAGGTCTCTCTGGACCACAAGCCAATGCTCTAACCACTGAGCAAAACCAGCCAGGGCAAAATACTTTTAGACTTTTACTTTTAAGAATGGTGCTGGCTATGTGTATATGCATATATAATTATAAGTAATTATAACAATTTAAATAACAAAAACAAAGTATGTATTTTTCCTTTTCATTAATATATATTATTTATATGTTTATGTATAATAGGTATTGTTTATATGTTTATAATTTTAAATAATTACAAATACAAAGGAGTATTTTTTTTATGCTCTGCTGAAGTTTTTATCAGAATAGATAGCAGATGTCAAATGTCTATGAGATGAGGTGTATCTTGACAAAGCGTCTTCTCTCCACTTTAACAGGGCACATTGCACTGTAGCCGCCCTCAGCCCCTCCCCCAGTCCTGGAGAGCGAGGTCAGGGGTGCTGAGAGGCTGTGCGGGTAGGGGAGCCTCCTGTACCCCTCTCCTCCTCCTCTATTTCTCCCCAAATCAGCAGCAGGGGCCCTGAACTGAAAGAAAGAGGGTAGGGCTGGGAGGGGCCGGGGGTGACTAGGGACCCCTGAAGAACGAATCCAGGTGCTGGTGTGAACCCCTGGGACCCCAGCGCCACTCAGGGCAGCGGGGAGCATCACTTACCTTGAAGGTTAACACTTGGAACTTTTCAAAGTCGATGGCATCTGAATTCTCCACAATGATTGTGACCTGGGCTTCGTTCAGGACCGTCTGTGGGACCACTCGGAAGACGCCCCCGAGTCCCACCAGCTGCAGGTTGAATCTGGCATTGGCCCCCTGGGCAGTCGTTTGGGGACAGGAGACAAGGGAAATGAATAAGGGGAGAACCTCCCAACAGACTCCGAGCCAGCAGCCTTCACCCGTGACCTTGAAGGTCACCTTCCTTCCGACGGTGAGGTGAGCAACAATGAGAGAGAGTTATAGACCATGAGGGCCTGTGGGAACACAGCCCAGACGCCAGCCCTGGGCTGGGCACAGGAGGCACAGGACACATTCAGATGCCTGTCTGGCCAGTCAGACGCAGAGGTGCTTTTGTTTGGCTGACTTTTATTGTTTTTTTTGTTGTTGTTGTTTGTTTGTTTTTTATTGTCATCCAAGGACAATTTTCCATTTTTTGTTCAGATAGAGTGGGAGGGAGAGAGAGAGAGAGAGAGAGAGAGGAATTTCGATGTGAAAGGGACACATTGAGTGGTTGCCACCTGCACGACCAACCAGGGCCGGGGACAAACTGCAACTGAGGTACGTGCCCTTAGCGGGAATTGAACCCAGGTCTCTCTGGACTGCAGGCTGATGCTCTAACCACTGAGCCAAACTGGCCAGGGTTGACTTTTACTTTTTAATTGACTGTGAAGGTCTCCAGGCCAAGCGTCTTTGACTAGCTCCTCTCCCTTCCCCTGTGGCTACACGCTCTTGTTTTGGTCATTTTGTGACCTGCCAGGCCCTGCAACATGGCCGTTGAAGGTTGATGCAGAGTCAACTTGGGGACCTCGGCCCCGCAGGCTCGGGAAGACAAGGTGGAGGACAGAGCCGCGTACCTGGTCTGAGTCATTGACGATGATCTTGAGGCCCCGCAGGGTCTCCCCCTGGGGTGGGTGCTCATACACGGAGAGCTCAAATCTGTTCTGGGGTCCGCTCTCTCCATAGAACGTAGGTGGATGGTTGTTGAGGTCCACAATCCGGATGGTGACAGGGACCGTGGCCTGGGCAGCTGGGCTCCCTGCAGAGCTGACCTCAGTCACCTGGGATGGGGACAGTGGCTCCGGTTGGACAGGCTGACTCCGTGGTGGCTGCAGTGACCCCACCTGCTGTTGCCCGTTACTGAGTGACCCCTTCCTTGAGTGTAGTTTGGCCTAGTGACTTGTTTCTAACTGACAGAATGTGGCAAAGGGGATGAGAAACCCCGTAGAGATTAGAGGACAAGAGATTAACTACTGTTTTCCAGCAGCTGTGATGGAGAGGCCCATGTCTCAGGGAGCTGATGGTGACCTCCAGCCTCCAGCCAGGAAGAAGCTCAGGCAAGTTACCTGTACATGCAGCTCATACGCCTCTCTTTGGAGCTGGGCAGGGCTCCGTGTGACCACGATGGCCCCAGAAGTCGCATTAATTTCAAAGGCTCCATCACTCCCTGTAGGAGGAGACACAGCCTGCAGTCTGAGTAGCGCACAGGGCAGCACCACCTGCTCCTCCTGCTTATCTCATTGACAGCTCCTCTAGAGGACATCATCCTATCACTCTGTCTTACCAATGAGGAAACTGAGTCTCTGGGGGCAACGTAACTCTGTCCAAGGTTGCACAGTAAGTGAAGAGCAGGGACGTGGAGTCACTTCTACTTGGCTCCCACATCCAAGTACTCTGTTTCTCTCATGTGGTGTGTGTGTGCGCATGTGCGCACATGTGTGTGCATACAAGTGTGTGCATGCATGTATGCTGTGTGCGCGCGTGTGTGCGTGCATCTGTGCGCACTTGTGCATGTGCACACACGTGTGTGTGTGCATGTGTGCACATATATGTGTGAGTGTGCATGTGTGTGAGTGTGTGTACATGCCTGCTTCATAGAAAGAGACAGAAAGGAAGAGACAGAGGAAGGGAGATTAAAAAGAAGAGAGAGAAGGAGAGAAAGGGGAGTGGAGAAACAGGAGAGAGTAAAGGAGAGAAGACTGGAGGAGGAGAGAGAGGGAGGGGCACAGAAAGAGGGAGGAAGGAGGGATGTGAGCAGGTTCTGAAGGTTGGAAGTGATGATGGAGGAAGTCAGTGCAGGGTCTGTGCGGGGGAAGGGCAGCTGTGTGCTGATGGGCACGTGCCATGCGAGAGCTGATGGAGGGGGCACCCCAGGCACATCCTAGGGACCGGGTTGGTGAGGCAACGTGTCTGAGAGAGAGTGTGTAGACCCATGGATCAGGTGTGATGTCCCTGCTGAGGGCCGCAGAACCTACCCCGGGGTGGCCCTTCCTGCCCAGTTGCTGCCAAGTTGTGGAAAAAACACAGACTCGGAGCCAGCAGACTTAGGTTCAAACCCAGTGGGACTTGGGATGCCTCCTTAGGTTCTCTGGGCCTCAGTTTTCTCATCCATATATAGGGCTAGTACTAGGAAAACGCCATGTCATCGTTACATTCCATCCATCAGTATATGTTCTAGGCCGAGCGTTTGGAAAGAATCAGAAAAACATAGCAATGTAAAGACAATGAGAAGTGTTGCCCCCCTTGCCAGTGAGCATATGCCCGGGTGGAAGGAACAGGAGTCTGCCCCCCGCTTTGCTCTCAGTTCCTCCGCCTGGTGCTCTTTCCCTGGGCCTGATGACAAGCAGGAGCCGGAGGGCACGGCCTTGGGGACTCTGCCCCCCGGAGAAGCCAGCTCTCTCCCCAAACAGGGCACCTTGCTCTGATTGCCCAGGGAGTTAGAGCTGCTGCCCCGTGATGGCCCCTCCCCACAGGGGCCCAGACTCACCATTCACGAGACTGTAGAGAAGGCGGTGGGGGTTGCCCCTGTCTCCGTCCATGGCGACCACTGTCAGGACCTCAGAGCCCTTGGGGGAACAGGGACAGCTGCTGGGGGCTCAGGGGCGATGCAGGGCTCTTCCCTCCCAGACACTGCCCACGGGGAGGGGAGGGGAGCTCCCAGCCAGGAAGAGAGCGAGGCCTCTGTGTGAAGCCAGCCCTCCTCTCGGGGAGCTCACAGACCGACTGGCCTCCCGGGCAGGAGGGTCCCTGCTTCCTCATCCACACAGGCTGCCCACACCTCTGACCTTTCCCACAAGCCTCTCGGCCCTCAGCTCTGCGGTCTTCCCCCTCCAGCTTCACCCCCTGCCTCATCCATCTTTGTCTTCAGAGACACGCAGAGGGAGAGGCCTGGACTGGTGGGAGAGGGGCCAGCACAGGGGCGCGATGGACAGTCCGGGGATGGTTCGAAGGGTGAGGGCAGCGGTGCACAGAGACAAGTCCTCGGCCTGCTGCCCCCTAAGCTCCCTACCAGGCCCTTCTCCGTGGCCGGTCCACACTCCCAGCTGCTTCGGGGGAGGTACGTGCCTCCTGCCCCAGCAACTCTCCACCCTCAGCTCCTCCGCAGGACAGTGGCCGTCCCCCCGCCCCGTCTCGTCCCCCTGCCCCGTCCCCCGCCCCGTCCCCCCGCCTCGGCTGGCAGCCCCACCAGAAGCTTCCCTTCCCCTCACTCGGCTTCTCTCCACCCTCAGCCGCCAGCTCCCGGAATGGTGGTGTCTGAGCAGCAGGGACTGGGCCTCAGTAGGTGCTCGGCACTGTTTTACAAAGTCAAGAGTAATCAGAGCCTGGGGATGTGGACATGGAGCCTGCGGTCCCCTCGAGAGAGTTCCCGAGCCCTGGGCCTGTGCAGTCGGCTCTGGTGGTGTCTCTCATTGCAGGGAGCTCGTGGTCTGGCTGGGGCGTCCTCTGGGTGCACACCAAGGGGGCTGCTCATGGAGGGGTAGGCATAGTGTGGGAGCAGAGGGCTAGACTGAGACGGGCCAGGCCCATGGGCATGTTTCGGGCAGAGGGCTAGGTGCGGTGGTGACATGGCTGAGGTGGGTAGACGACGGTGCAGGTTCACGGGTGGAGGGCCGGCTGGTCTTTGGCTGCCAGGCTGAGGAGTGGGAGCTTCCCTGAGGGGCCAAAGGACAAGTGTAGCAACCCTGACACGGCTCAGAGCCTGCACTGAAGGGGAGGCAGCTGGGGTCGGCCTTGGAGCTGAGCCCGTGTGATGCCCAGCAGGGTCATGGTGGCTCGGCAGCAAACTGAGGGGCGCCCGGCTACAGGCTTGGGGCTGGGGAGGCACGGAGGCACCTCCCTCCTGTGCAGGTACAGGACAGACCCCACACCACCAGGCTGTCAGCTGCCTCCCAGCCTCCTTCTCAGCCTGCAGCGCCGGCCTTTGCAGTGGTTCTAAGTTGAGTTTGAACCCAGTGGGTGCTCCGCCCATGAGCACCTGCTTCCTCCCCCTTATGCTTCCAGAGGCAAAGGACAGTGACCTGAGCCCCCGAGTCCCGAGCCTGCCTCTGTAAGGAGGGGAACTGGGCTGAGCTCGACCATCGCCAGCAGCTGGAAGGAGGGGCAGGGGGCAGTGGGGTACCCTAGGTGGAGGGGTGTGTCACCCACCGGAACGGTGTCCTCATACACATAGCCGTAGAAGGGTGTGCCCACGAAGACAGGGGCCGTGTCCTGCACGTCCTCCACGTTGACCGTGACCGTGGTGGTGGCCGAGAACACCACCCTGGCCCCTTGCAGCCTCCCTCCGCCGTCCTGGGGAGGAATTGGGGGTAGAGAGCGGCTGGGCAGACTGTGCAGCAGCTGCCCCCTTGGGGTGTGCCCTGTGCCGCCTGAGGTGACCCCCTGGTAGGAGTTCTGGGGACACGAGGGAAGGGCTGCGCAGTCTCCAGTGTCTGACACTAAAAATTGTTCTTCTGGAAACAGGGTTAGTTCTCTCCCGGGGGGGGGTCCAAGTCTTCCCCTCTCAGCCAGGAACTGAACTCCTGCACCTCCTGAGGACCTGCGTCCGGGGTGGGGCTCAGACGGGGGCCTGCACCCAGCCCAGCCCGGAGCCGCTGCAGGTGGGGCTGGCTCCAGTCTGAAGCCAACGTGTGCTGAGCGAGGGCCTCCCTGAGGAAGGCGACACCCTGCTGGGCTGCAGGCCACACCACTCGCTTCAGAAGCAAGGGGAACTCAGCTAAGCCTCCGGGATGGGCTGGGGAGGAGGCGGAGGCTCCCAGAGGGGAACTGGTCCCCAGAGAGGAGGAGGTGGGGTGAGCCAGCCTGGGAGCTGCACAGAGGTCGGCTGTGGGGGACGGGATGGGACACGGGTCTCCAGCCCTAGAGGGGGAGCTGGCCTGTCACCCCTAGGAGGGACCATGACACCAGCTGCCCTAGAGACTGTGTCCGTGTCTGGGCAGGGTCCACCCAACAGACATTGCAGCTACCCCCAGCCACCCACCCCGCCCAGGTCATCTGCTCTCTCAACGGTCCCCTCCACTGGAGACCCTGACTCCAAGGGCAGCTGCTCCTGACAAAGGCTGAGGAAAGACAGATGCCCCCAATTCTTCCCTATTACCTTGGCGACCACGGTGACAGAGTGGGCCCGGGCTGTCTCATAGTCCAGCGTGGTCCCAGCCCGGAGGCGCAGAACACCACTGTGGCGGTCCACGGAAAATGGGGAGGCCTGCGCATCCTGTGAGAGCGAGGGGCAGACTCGGCCTCAGGCTGCACCCCGGCCAGCCCCAGACCGCCCTCTGCTTCCTGAAAGGGGGGCTTCCTGTCCCTGGTCAAGGAAAGTCTGGCCTTGGCGCTGAAGCTCCCATTTCAGGGCATCAGCCTTTCTGGCCTCCGGGGTCCCCCTTATTAGGGCTCTGGGTTCCCCTCCCACCCCTCCGCCCAAACCAGCCGTTCCCCTCCAGGGGGCCTGAGCTCGCCTCTCTGCTCATCTAGAACAGCTGGGCCCAGCGGTGGGCTGAGCTCTGGCCTGCAGGCCCCAGCAGGTGCAGAGAGGGTGGGCGTTGGGTGGGGGGGCAGGAGATGGTCCCTAATCTAAACGAGCTGTTATTGGAGCTTCATATGGATTTAATCCTGACAGCAACCCAGGGAAGGTGTACTGGGACCGTTCCCGTTTTACACTCCAGGGAACTGAGCTGGGACGGTCCGATTACCTTCCAAGGCCCGTGGGTGGGGAGTGGGGAGATTTCTCCGTAACCTGTGTGCTAACCATCACGCCGCACTGCCTTGAAAACTGACAGCGAGTGAGTGAACGTGAGAGAAGAGGAAACAAAGCTGCAGAAACAGCCTCGTGTGAGGGGCTGGTTCCTGGGCCAGGAAGAGGCAGGAGGCACGGGAGGGGCGTGGCCTCTGACGAGATGGGCGGATAGACAGGGGCGGGTAGGAGGAGCCACCTGCTGCCCTTCTTCCTACCTTCTGGGCGGGTTTGGGTGGAGGACTGAGGGTCCCTGAGATCTGGGGAGAGGGGCCAGGGTGGGCCAGTCCTGGAAAGACAGCGTCCACCCAGGCCCCTCCTGTCCTCACCGGTCTGTCCTGCCCCATAGCTTCCTGAGCCTTCCTTTGGATCGGATGCGGCATCGCTGACAGTTCGGGGGAACAGCACAGACACTGACTTACAGGTGATGGAGGAGGGGTCAGCGAGGTGTACCTGCGAGCGTGGCCTCTGGCTCCACCTTGCGCGCGGTCTTACCTGTAGGAAGTAGGCGACGCTCCCTCCGGAACCCATGTCCTTGTCCACAGCCAGAACCTTGAAGACACTGCTCCCAGCAGGTGTGTCCTGAGGGGTCAGAGCCCGGGGTCAGTCCTGGGCCATGCAGAATGCTCAGGGGGCAGGGGGTGTGGAGGGCCATGGAGAGTGGGGTCAGGGGAGTCCCGGGCTAAGAAGAGGTGCAAAGGGTGATTAGCCAGGGAGCAGGAGGGGCAGTGCCGGGGGAGATGGTCAGAGGGTGCAGGGCAGGAGGAGACAAGGAGGAGAAAGCAGATCTGCACCCCCCCCCCCCAGTGCGGCCCCTAGAGCCAGGAGAAAGGAAGACTCCAGAAAGACCAGCTATTCAGAGGAACTGAGACGAGGGTTAGCAGACACAGACATAGTCAGCATCGCCAGGAACCAAGTACGGACAACTTGGAACCAGAATAAATGTCTTTCTCCTACCGAAACAAACACTCGAATGTCCGAAACCCCAGTTCTGGCCGGGGCCAGCCCTCCCCCGCCGGGGCCACACCTCACAGGGGTTCACCCTTCCGCCCTGTCATCTCAGATCTGGGGCTGCATCGTAAGGCAGTAACTCCAGTCAGAGAGAAAGAACTGCTGTGTTCAGAACTTGAAGTTTCTCATGACAACATTTAAAGTGTCTTAAATATCTAAACATAAGGGAACAGTCCCGTAAATGGTGGAATGTTCGCTGAATGGAAGCTATTAGAATGATAATTGTGTAAATTTAAAAATGAATGGAAGAAATGCTTATAGGACCGGAATAAATACACCAACATTTAACATTTAACAATGCTGGCTCAACTCGGAGGAGTTTTAAGTGATCTGGAAACTTTGTTTTCTACATACTTAACATTTCCACAGTAAACATACACTATGACCTGTAAACTGGTCAATGAACATTCCTTTGGAGAAGAAATGAACGTGTGAGGAAAGGCACGTGGGAGAGGACCCGAGGCGGTGAGCGATGAGGGCTCCCTCCCAGGTCACCGGGCTGCCCGGGGTGGGGGGTCACCGGGCTGCCCGGGGACGGGGTCACCGGGCAGCCCAGGGTTCGGGGTCACCGGGCTGCCCAGGGGGCGGGGTCACAGGGCAGCCACAGGGGCGGGGTCACCGGGCTGCCCAGGGGGCGGGGTCACCGGGCTACCCAGGGGGCGGGGTCACCGGGCTGCCCGGGGGTCAGGCCATGGCCTTGGGCAGAAATGCATGAGCCCAGGGCTGCCCAGCCCACCTCAGGGACGTGGACAATGTAAGGCTCCTGGATGAACGTGGGAGCCTCATCGTTGGCGTCAGTCACCAGGATCACGACTTTTTCTGCCACCTGAGAGGGCAAAGGGGATGGGAATCGGGCCTGAGATCCGGGCAAGAGGGGGCAGTGGCTCCTCAACCCCAGGTGTTTGTCTGTACCTTTTCTCCCTCCTCCTTCCCTCCCTCCTTCCTCCCTCCCTTCTTTCTAGTCTCTCGTTATTAAGCGACTACTTGGTGCCAGGAGATATCATTCGCGTGGTGGGTGGGCCTGCCCGGCCCTGCCTGCCCCGCAGGACTCAGGCTCCAGGAGGGCCCTGCGCCCACGGCCTGGCAGAAGCAGCCCTGGGCAGGGGAGCGGGAGGCTGCCTCCGGGGCTCCACAGGACACGTGTACCAGCCCGTGGTGACAGCAGGGAGGCTTTGCAGAGGAGCGGGATTGCGCTCTGCAGTGCAGCACTTTGTGGGGTGACAGCAGAGGTCAAGGACAGCACCGTGGTCAGATGTTGGTGAGGTGAATGGGGGAGAAAAGGCGGGCAGGGAGTGCCCAGTGGGGAGCCCTGAGCACCAGACTGAAGCCTGGGTTTCGTCCTGAGGGTGTGGGGCGGCTGTCAGTGTGTCTGAGCAGGCTGTGGCCGGGCCTGTTCCACAGCGGTGCTCCGGCCAACCCTGAGGTGGACGGGGTCCAGGAGCTCAGGTAGACGCCCCTGTGAGGACCAGGGCAGCTCTCTGGGGAAAGTGCCGGCTGTGGGGGGAAGGAGAGAGAGGCGGGGGTCGGGGTGCCCAGGAATTCAGCTTGGGAGCCTGAGATGGAGACAGAACCGGCTTGAGGAGAGCAGATGTGGGCAGATGTGAGCAGATGTGGGCAGATGTGCACAGCCTGGGCGCTCACCCTGCCCTTCCCTCCTCCCCTCGCGGCCTCACTCGCTGCCGCCCTCCTGTGGGCACGCGGGGCGGGCGGGCCTCCTGGGCCTCAGCTTGGGTTTGCCAGCGAGTCCCCTTCCCCACGGCCCAGGAAGTTGGACGAAGAAGCCGCCCAGAGAGCCAGCCGCACGCTGCCGGGCACTCACCAGACTCAGGCCGTCAGAAATGCTGACGACAGCCTCGATCGTGTCTTCCCTCTGCAGGCACAGGACCGAGTGTCTAGGGGTGACATGCCCTGGAGACCCCAAGGCGGGGGGAGCTCTCCCTGCTCCTGAGCCCACCAGCGGAGGCCTGGTAGGGCAGGGGGCCCCAAAGCTGCCTCTGGCCGAGCTGTCTTCCGGGGCTTTGCACACCGGGGTTCTCATGGACCCAGGGGGACTGCGGGGGACAACAGCACATGCTCCCTGGCTGGAGGGAGGGGAGATGCTACTGTGCCGGACGTCCCAGGAAGGTTCTATTCCTTTTCCTTTTCTCTGCCTTGTCTCTCCCAGGCCTCTCCACATCCCACATCCCACAGGTCTGCAGGGTCTGTCACTCCCCAGGACACAGTGGGACCCCAGTGAGGAAGGGTGCAGGGGTCCCCAGGCCCCCAGGTAGGGCCTGCACAGTCCCACTTCCACCCTGACCCCTGAGGCCCACCCTTTCCCTCCTCTGCCCTGGCCTGTGGCTGCGGGGTCCTCGTCAGAGGAGAGCTGGGAGCAGCCACGGCCGAGGTCGTTACATGGGCAGCCTGGCCGACCATCTGGGCGTGGGGCCCTGCCACCTGCGGGTTCGAGGGGGAGAGGGGCTGTCGTACCCAACTCGGACCCACTCTCTAACCATACGCACCAGCCCTGATCTGCCTTCCGAGCTTTCTGGGGCTCACAGGACCTTTGTAAGGACGATCTCAGGGCACCTGTCAGCCCACAGGCGTTTGTCTCATGCAACAGGCTGCACCCTCACACTCTCCCTACCTCTCTGTCCAGCCCTTCAACCAGGGTGATGTTTCCAAAATCGGGGTCAATGGAAAAGACATGTCTGGCGCTGGGGTCAAAGCTGATGTGGTAGGAGACGGGGTCTCCCTCTGGGTCTGTCCCATTCAGGGTGTATACATGGGAGCCTGGAAGGAGACACAAAGGGGAAACCTAGAATCTGGGACCCAATTTCTCCTAAAAAGGGCAGCGACTCAGAAGCAAGGATGCAACAGTTCACACAGTGGATGTGCACTTCAGCGCCCTGGACTGGGCCCTGCCTCCCTCTCTCCATCTTTGTTCCTCACAGCTCAGTGGGAGGCCAGGACACTGCCGTCCCTCCGTCTGCGTCTGCGGGCCTGGCTCTCGGACTGAGCCTGGCAATGACTCCTGTTCTGGGAACCCAGAGCCCGGGCTACCTGGGGGCGGGTGGGGAAAGGGGTGCACCATCAAGGCCGGAGGAGGCGCTCTGGAGACAGCTCTCCCAGGCCCAGAGTGGGTCCTGGGGGTGCTTGAGCAGGGTGCCCCTTTGCTCAGGCTTCACCACCCAGACAGGGGGAGGGGGAGGGAGTGCAAATCTCTCTCTTCCCCTCTCTCTGTGTGTCCCAGGCAGATCGGTGTTCTTGGGCCATTTTAAAGCCTAAAGATCTGGGACTTCGGGAGTCTGTACAGCTGCTCAAGGTCGCAGCAGTCTGTGCTGGGCAGCTAAGCCCAGGAGTAAGCGTCATGCTGCCACGTTCTGCCTGCAGCCTAAAGCCAACCCTGTCTCTGTGCCCCCAGCCAGGTCTCCTAGTCTCCTGGGACCCGTTTAGGTCTCCCTGGCAGCTGCCGGTGCCCCCCCCCCCCAGCCCTGTGGCTTTCAGAGCACGCAGGGCGCCAGAGGCACACACAGCCTGGTCTCCACAGGCGGGGGACTGACTCATGGTTGGCGCCACCTCCAGGGGAATGAGGGCCCCTCGTGGGTGCCAGGGCCCCTCACCAACAGGAGTGTCCTCTGGGAGACTGAAGAGGGCCATGTTTCCATTGGTGCTGCCGATCCCGTTGTCGAAGAAGTGGGGGGCGAAGTTGGCCTGGGCTGGGAAGAGAAGACAACAGATGGACACCCGGGCGCTCGGCACAGCTTCGCCCCAGCGCGCCGGCGTCTGGCCCCCATCTGGCCCAACACGCCCTCTGACTGGACTGGGAGACTCCGCGAGGGTCCCCTCGCCGCCACCTCCTGCTGGCGCCAGCTTCTTAGAAACGAGGGACACCTGGGTGCTTAGAATTCAAACAGCGGCCACACAAAAACCATCAGTCGGCAAGTGGGGAGCCCGAGCCAGAAGGGGCAGTGGCCAAGGTCACTACAGGCGCGGGCCCCTCCGCTGCCCCTGCAGCCCCCAGAGCTGCCCCCGGCAGCGCCCTTCCAGCCCCGCTCCCATCCCCAGCCGAGTCCCCCCTGCAGGGTCGGCCCAGACGACGCCTCTGCCCGCTGCGCCCACACCGAGGCCGGTGCCCACTCACCCAGGCAGAGTCGTAGCAGCCCCAAGGCCAGGGCGGCCGGCGGGCTGCACCTCATCTCCGCAGGCCCGCGGCGTCCGGGCCACAGACGGGGCCGCGCGCAGGGGCACCGAGCATGCCCGGCCCGCAGGAGCGCAGAGGTCCGGGGCGCTAAGCTGACGACAGGCGCTGGGTCTGCGCTGCCGGCCTGTTGAGACCAATTAGTGCGCAGGGAGCCGCGGGACGGCTTCCCGGGCCAGGATTGGGGGGGCACTCCCCTCTCCTGCCACGCCCCCTACGCTCGGGTCTGCAGCAGGAGACAAGGGGCTCCTAGGCACCAGGTAGAAACACTGGGGTGAGGGGGAGTCCAAGTGTCTTCCCCAAGGGTGCCCTGAGCAGGGCACTGAAAAATTGGGGCTTCTCGGAGTCCCCAAGTCTCTGTGGGGCTGGGCTTCACTAGAGTTTTCCCTTTTTTAGGAACTTCGTCTGTGATTTTCAGGGAGCTCGATGCTCTCCCTGAGCCTGAGCACCCCAGACTGGAAAACAGCCTCAAAATAGAGGGACCCCTCCCAGAGGAGAAGTGAGAGCTGGGAGCAGAGGGGGCAGGGGCTTGGGAAGGGCGGAGCCCAGCAGGACAGACGAGGGTTCCAGGATAGGGTCCCGGAAGGCGGAGATCAAAGACAAAGAGGAGGGCGTGGTTTGGAGAAGAGCAGCTGGTGGGGAGTTATCCCGACTCCTCTCTGGGATCTCAGCCCAGACCTGCCCAGGCCAGGCCAGCTCCAGAGGGCTCGGCACTGTCCTGTCACTAGTGGGGGCCACCTGTGTGTGGGCAGCGGGGACGCCTTCCGGGCTCCACGAAGGTGGGAGGCAGAAGGAAGCACGAAGGACTCCCCTTCCACCCCAGGGTGACCACAGAGCTCAGCTGGTGACCACGGAGAGGCAGTGATGCCCCCAAGCATGGCGTTCCCAAGAGGCAGAGGTTCAGGACAGCAGCAGATGAATCGGTGGTCCCAGAGTTGGGCGATTTTCATACCCAATCAAAACTGCTCCTGCTGAACCGCTTGACCTTGGCCCTTTGGCTGGAAAGATGCACTTTGAATTGAACAAAACATTTCTGCTTCTTCGAGTCACTAAATGCCAGGACAAAGCCAAGCAAGTGTGTGTGCCACAGTCCTATGCAGAGATGAAGACTCGGGCCTTCTGAAGGTCACCCGGTGATCTGGGAGCTGAGAGAGCCAGCCCTCGGTGTTCTCTCTGCCCGTCTCTGCATCTGGGGTTCTGGGGTCTTTGACTCCTCGCTCCTCCATTCACTAGTGGACAGACAGCACTGGAGAGGGATAGTGGGGGGGGGGGCTCCACAACATATACGTGTGCACGTGTGAGTAACTATCACTCATATCGCGTGTAACCAGCACGGCCTCTCCTGGCATGTCTGCCTCTGCCTCTGAGAGAAGTTAAAGCACAGAGAGGGTGAGCCACTTGCTTCCGCTCACACAGCCGCTGAGGGGACAGCCTGGATTCACAACCAGTTTTGGCTGATTCCCAAAAAGGTGGAAACCCTTCTCATGGCAGAAGATGACTGATCAACTTTCAGCTCTGAGCTCCTCACTGACACATCCCTTCCACAGCACTAATTCTGTCTTTGTAGATTATGTTATGTTTTCCCAGAGAGATTGTCTCCTTCCATTGTACAGGTTCACGTCTGCTCGTGTGACTAGCCTCCCCGGTTTGCCTGGGACAGGGGTTTCCAGGGATGTGGGACTTTCAGTGCTAAAACCAGGAAGTTCTGGGGTAAACTGGGGGGAGCTGGTTCTCCTAAACTGGCCCCTGTCCTTGAAGCACCTGAGGACCTGGGAAAACAGCGGCTCTTCACAGAGTCTCACCACAGACCCCAATCCTGACCGTGCAGTACGGAGGCCTGGATGGTTAGTCTGTCGTAGCTGGGGGAGGGCTCAGCTGCTGTGGGGCGTGGGGCGGCCTCAGGCACACCCGTCCCTGGTCTCCCACATGCTCGTCACCCTGCAGTGATGTGCCCTCTCTCCTTGGGTCTGGTGGTGAAATACCAGCTCAGGTCATCCCAAGGTCAGGTCTGACAGCTCTTCCTCAGCCAGACTTGCAACAGCTGGCCCAGCGGCTGGACAGGCATGTGTGTTCCTGTGCCACCTGCCAACGTGGCAGCCCAGCCTCCTGTGACTCTGCCCACATTTGATCCACCCGAGTGTGCCAGCCCACAGTGCACTGCACACACATTTCCACAGCTGCCCACAAACACACACACGCTCCAGTCCCATGTGCAGAGCTGTCTGCACACACACGCACACCAACAGACATGTGAGTCAGTGCACGCTTCCTCGCGTGCACATCCATGCCCAGCACAGGCACGCACACCTGCACCCAGAGAGCTTGGGCAAGGAGCTCTGCAGGCTCCTTCTGCTGCTGTGTGGTGAGTAGCAGGTGTCTCTTCAGGCTCGTCTTCCTCATGGCCTTGACCTAGAAGGGGAAGGGCAGGAGGTCTCTAGTGCCCTGCTCTGCCCAGCAGTCCGGGATGAGACCTGGCAGACTGACCCCAGTACCTGACATCCTGAGCCGTTCTGTCCAGTTGCCACGTCGCAACAAAATGACTGCTTATGACAGGGAAGTCCTGGTCCAAAGTGGGATTTGGTCCAGGCCAGGGAATCCCCGTGGGCCTGGATGAGCCCTCTCTGGACATGACTGAGCCCACCTGTCCCAGACCAGGCAATGTCCGGAGGACTGCCCTCTGCAGGTCCAGGCCGGCCTGTGCCCACCTGGCTGGAAGTTGGGAGCTCTTTCCCACAGCAGCGGGCTCAGGAGTTGGGGTCTCCATCTACTTGGAAATGCAGCCTCCCCTCCCCCTACGGTATCCAGGCTGCAGGTGCTGCTCAGGTTCCTCTGACCCCGCCCTCTCTGCCTAGGGCCCTGCCTGTCCCGCTAACTGGGGGACTCTGCAGGAGCCTGGGGCTGCCACCTGTGCCCGGGGCCCACCTAGCTGGCACTAGGACCCACGCTTGCATTCTGGGGTGGAAAAGGACCTTTTCAGTTCCGATATCTTGCAGTGTGACGCCCCACCCTCTGGTCCGCACTCCAGGCCCAGGAGCGGTGCCGACGGACAGGTCAAGGCACAAAGACCTTGTCCAGGGCGCAGCAGTTGGCCGCAGGCCCCCGGCTCCTCCGCAGCTGCCCACGTGTCACCATGGCGCACTGCCAAGGACCAGCCCCTGTCGGAGACCGACGGACGCCCTGGACACACCCAGGCCTAGAAAGCTTATGTTTCCAAGGAAAACACGGCTGCAGTCAGTCCGGGGAGCCCTGGGAGGGTCCCTGGTGAACACCGACCCCACGGGACTGGCCTTTGCAGGGCCCCAGAGATGCGCGCGCAGGTGCGTCCGCGCAGTGGGGGGCCCACAGCGGCTGTGCGGTACCGGGGATGAGATGGTCCAGGGGGCCTGCTCTTGAATGGGGGTAGGGTGAGGGGGAGGCCTGGACCTGAGGCCCTTTCTCAGAGCCAGGACTGTCTCATTCCCCTTTCCTCTCGCTGACAGCTCTTGGTGATAGGTGGTCTCAGGCCCACTTTGCAGATGGGAACTGAGGCTCTGCGAGGTCCCCCGACGTCACACTGTGGGCACACGACAGCCATCGTGTGAGCCCAGCTGTCTGCGCAGCTCGCAGCCCACAGGGTCATGGGGTGTGGGTCTGGGCCCCCTTAGTTGCCATGGAGACTGCCCACGGTCTCTAATGAACCACTGTAACCTGCGGAGGTACCTGGACTCTTCAGGGAGTCAATTAGGACAACCTAAGAATTCCAGTTTTCTAACTAAAAGTCGCTCCCAGATGTTCGGGGTTTCCTTGTAGTCTCATCGGGTCCGACTGGCCTCAAAGAGCCTTACGCATAAGGTGCCTGTAGACTCAACCTACCCACGTGGCAGTTCTGGAGGTGCCCCCACAGGTGGGGGGACTGTCCCTGGCACTTGGCCTCCAGCTCTGCGTGGGCAGCTCTGTGGGGCTGGGAGCCGGTCTCGGGCTTCCCTCCACTCCTCAGAGGAAGGACAGGATGGGCAGGCAGGGACAGGGCCTCAATCCCTGCGTGCCTCTCGCGGTTGGCCTGGGCTGCTGCCTGGGCTGCTGCCCCTGGAGAGCCCCTCAGAGCCCCTGCCCAGCCCGCCGGAGACTGGAGTCCTTAGGGCACCACCTCCCGAGGGCAGCGGCTGGGGCTGAGCACAGCGTTCCTGCAGCTCCTGGTGTCTCCGTCTCTGTGTACATTGGATGTGTGAGCATCCCTGCCGCACCCCTGCAGAGGCCAGGCCGGCCCTGCGCTTCCTGAGCACTGAGAGGGACTCCGCTCCCTGGCCACACACACGACCTTTGGGTTGCTCCTCCTGGTTGACCGAGCACAAGTGCTGAACTTTGTGTGGGATTTTTTCTTTACCTGTTTGGAGGATGAGGAGGGAGAGGGTGAGAGAAAGGTCTGGAAGGGCAGCATTGCTGGAAGGTGGAGGGTTCGCCTGGCCAAGGACATTCCCGCTGGGAGCCCTGTACAGACAGCGCAGGGAGAGTCGCTGTGGACTCGTCCACACAGCCCCCGGTGCCAGATCCGCTGGCTCCTTCCTTCTCTACGTCCCGCTGCCCGTCAGCCAGCAACTCCCCCTCCTCCCGATGGCCCTCCCTCCCAGCGTTCCCTCCTACGTGCAAACATCTGTCTTCGTCATCCTCAGAGTAAACTAAACTTCTGATGGTATTCTAGGTGCTCCCATGGCCCCAGAGGGAACCCCCTCTTTTTGTCCTCAGCTTTGCTGTCCCATTGCTGACTTTTCCTCAGATATTCATGTTTTCCTGCCTGGTCCTTGCTGCACCCCAAACACACACACACACACACGCACACACACGTGCACACACATGTGCACACACACGTGCACACACATGCACACACCCACACCCACACACCCTTCTGTCGGAACTCTCCCTTAACTCAGCCCCAGCACCAGCTTCCCCTCTCACGCCCTTTGCCCACCGGCCCTCCTACCTCAGTGCTCACAGCTCTGGGACTAGGGCTGCTCCTCAGCCCTCAACACCATGTTGTTTGTCTCTGAGCTTCACCTCCCATAGTCTGACCCATACCTGCCCTGTTATAACCCAGCAGTTCTCCACCCCCTAGAAGAAGAAATTCTCCTGGGTTCCTTGAACCTGAGTTGTTTTTACCAGAAAATTCTTGAAGAGGGAGGTGTGCATCAGCCATGACCACAAGGGTAGTGACCATGAGCTTAACTAATCAGGAGATGCCAGATGGGGGCACCGTGAGCTTAATTAATCAGGAGAATGAGACATTCAAGGCTGGGGACTGGTAATGTTAAGAAATATAAAATAAACAACTTGTGCAGCTGCTAACTACTGATATCCACTTCTGTACACGCAGCTTGCTCTGCTAAACTCCTATATAAGCAACCCTCCGCCTGAGCTCGGGGCTGCAGTTCTCTTCTGTGTAGGTTGGCTGCAGTCCCTGTGCAGGTAATAAAGCTCCTAATATTTCAAATTACTTTGTGTCCGAGTGAGGTTGATTCTCCTGGGTTACAACATACCCCAGGCTGGGATGAAGGAGGGGGGGGCGAGCTTGTGAAAGAAGCTGCCCGTGTACGACAAATAGGACTCTGGCCGCCTGGGGCCACGTCCTGAGAGGCCTGCACCAGAGAACCTCTGCCTGTCGGCTTGCCCCGGGTGGGCCTGGCACTCTGACAGGTCTGTGGGGATGGTGTGCGGAGGGGTTCTCAGCTTGCTGAGAAAATCAGATTAGAAGGGAGCTTTACTGAAAGATAAGCCTCTTAAACCTGGGCCATCTGCACCCTGTGAGCTCTGCACCCACTGTGGGCATAAACACTGCCCGCAGGGTGGAGGCAGGGCAGCAGGACTTCCCTGAGCCAAGCTCCTCTTTGTTTGTGGGACTTTACATCCATCTACCTTCTGGAGCCTCACGTCAACCCTCTAAATAGGTCCTGTGCTTTTTATTTCAGAGAAGAGGGGACTCCTAGGCAGGCCTGGGATGTGAATCCTGGGATGTCGGACAAAGACCTTGCCACTGTCACTATTTCTCCTTCTTTCTCGCGGTTAGAGGTGCAGTGCTGAAGGGTGGGCTGCAGGGGGCGCTCCAGGGCACAGGTTTCCTGTAGCAGAAGGTTGTGTTCAGGTCCTGCCCCACTTCCTCAAACAAGGAGGGTGCCGTGCATTTTGTTTGCTTTTTTTAACTTATTATTTATTTGAATGTTCTTTCCAGTGGACCCTCATCCGGAAGATAGGAAGGGACTCTCTTCAGGGGCCATTGGATACAAACGGTTAGGGGCTAGGCCTGTCTGGAGCGGCTGGGCCTCAGCACCCTGCACCCCAGCAGCCTCAGAGGGCTCTGAATCCACAGCGGCCACAGTGGACTCGACTGTCGGTTCTGAAGGAGCCAGGGAGGGACTGAGGCCAGGTGGGCTGAGCTGGGCTCACAGTGACTCTGGTGGCTGGTGGCATGTCTGGGACCAGGGTCTGAAATTCTGGAAGTTTCCCAGGGTCCTTGCTGCCTGATGAAGCCCGCCAACACCTCTGCTCACTGCCGCGAAGGCTGACCCAGGTGAAGGACACAGGTGAAGGGCACACACAGGTGCAGGGCACACACAGGTGAAGTGCACACACAGGTGAAGGGCACACACAGGTGAAGGGCACACACAGGTGAAGGACACACACAGGTGCAGGGCACACACAGGTGAAGGGCACACACAGGTGAAGGGCACACACAGGTGAAGGACACACACAGGTGCAGGGCACACACAGGTGAAGGGCACACACAGGTGCAGGGCACACACAGGTGAAGGGCACACACAGGTGCAGGGCACACACAGGTGAAGGGCACAGGTGCAGGGCACAGGCGAAGGATCTGCACTTTGGAAAGCGTGACTAAAGGGCCTTGCTGAACACTTCTTTTTCTCACCAGATTTTGTATCTCTGAAGCCAACATGAACCCAGAGGTGCTAAGTTACTTGTCCAAGGACACACAGAAAGACAGACATGCTGAGCTCTTATTTTTTATGTTGTGCTTTTCAGAAAACTCCAGTCCAGGACTTGTTAAAGGCAGCATGACACCACCCCATGGCGGCGAGAGAGCTGCTGTGTCTTTAAGCGAGGAGGCCGAGGTCCTGGGCAGAGGCTTCCACGGGCCAGAAGTGGGTCTTTGCTTCAGCCGGAGCTCCGAGGGGGGGTCCTGAAGGAGCTGGGCTTCTGGGTGCCTCCGGAGCTGCGCCTTGTTCTGGAAACACTAGACCTGTGGGAGCGCCCCAGGCACCACCCAAAAGGGCAACTTGGGCTTGCATTCTCGGCAGGTCCTCACACGGTCTCCTGGGAAGGAGCAGGGGCAGCAGGCGAGGCAGGAGGCAGAGAGACAGGCAGACCAGAGATGGAGAGAGGGGAAAACACAATTCAGATTCATTTCTAGACACAAAGATGATTATTTTTTAATCAAAGCATGAATCAAATCCTTCCTAGGGGCTCAGAATGGGCCTGTCATGAAAAACATGATTGGAGAGAAAGCTGATTTACCAGCAGAAGATGGAGGGTTAGGGTTGTCTACTCAGCCGGCTCCCTCAAGAGCAGAGTCCACTGAAGTCGAGGGCCAAGCCGGAGGATCTGCCCACATGTACTTGCAGACCTCAGACTCCCCAGACTGTCTCCTTCCAGACAGCAATGTGTGTGTGTCTAAGCTACATTTGCATGTTTTGACAAACCAGCCCCATATATGGGAAGAAAAATCCACAAAAACAGAAAAAAAAATGCATGCACTAAGCTATTCTGCATAATTTTTGTTTTCTTTTTTCTTTTTCATTTTTTAGAGGGAGAGGGGGAGAGAGAAACATCATTCGGTTGCCTTCTGCACTCCCCCTACTGGGGATCAAGCCTGCAACCCAGGCATGTGCCCTGACCGGGAATCGAACTGGGACCTCTCAGTCCAGGGGATGACGTTCAATCCACTGAGCCACACTGGCCAGACCATGGTTTTTTTTCCAATAGTGGAAAATTTTTCTGGAAACCATCTGAATATTCTCCAGTAGAAAAGTGGTTAATTAGTAAAGGCACTTCATGATAATGGAAATATTCAATACTGATAAAGCACTGTGATTATGAAGACTATGTTGCAACACGAAGAACAATGATTATGATGTAATGTTAATTTAAAAAATTAAGAATGATGTACAATTAAAAGAATAAAACCAGGAAAACATTTTGCATAAAAAAACAAAGGAAACACAAATGAGAGAGTTATTAAGTTATTGTGATGAGATTATCTTCCTCTGTTTCCAGGCTATTGTCATATGCAACACAGCGAGACAGTTACGAACACAGAACCTGAAGCCAGATCATTTGGTGCAGCCAGCTTTACCACTCACTGGCTGTGTGACTTTCAGCAAGTTATTAACCTCTCTGTGCTCTCAACTATAAAAATGGGCATAGTAATAATACCGAAGTCTTAGGATTATGAGGACGAAATGAATTAGCAGATGTAAGTACTGTACAGTAATTGTTATATAACCACTAGCTGTGTAAAAAATAAATTATCACAGTTCATCCATAGCCTCATATCTTAATCATAAATAAGTGCTAATATCAGTATGGTTTACCTTCTACATAATTTCCTATTTTAAGGTGCTTTTGTCTTTTTATAGCAATAATCACCGTAATATACAGTAGGAACTACTCCTTTATGCTAATAGATTGAGAGATTCTCCACCAGCATTTCTGATGAAGGACCCTGATTACTGACCTCTGCTTCCTCTCTACCTCATCCCCACCCTTAGATCCCAACACTCTCTTTTCTGGCTCCTAATCCTATGGTTGATTGATTGGAAATATGATCACAACTCTCCACTATTTCTTTGCAATGTGACTTTGCAGCTTTTCCCATCAACGTGGTGGTGGTGGTGGGGGGGCTGTTCCCTGCTCCTTGAAGCTGGGTTGGTCTGGCGACTTGCTTTGGAAACAGGATGCAGCGGACAGGAAGCTGGGCCAGCTCTGGGGCCTCACGGGGGTCAGGTGCTTCTGCTCACACAGGTGGAACCCACAACCCATGAGAACAGGTCTGGGCCAGCCTGCTGGAGGCTGAGTGACCATGTGGCGGCCAGTCCAGCTGCCCACCTGAGCCCAGTCCTAGACGCACAGACCTCTGGTCCCCAGGATGCGAGAGAGCCCAGCCTAGACCAGCAGAGCTGCCGCCCAGCTGTGGGAGACGCACGAGCCGAGCAAACCTGGAAGCGCTGCCCACTGACCCGCAGACGCCCGGAAATAATAACTACTCTCAGGCCTCGAGGGCAGTCTGTCTCCAGGGGCCTTCCAACAAGACCTCCCCAGTTTTCTCTGGGAGCCTCACCGACAGCCCAGGACACCAGGAAGGACGGAGGCCTGACAGCTCCCAGCCGGTAGGGCTGAAACCACTGTCAGTCTGACCCCAACCTGCAAGTGCTGACAGAGTCAACAGAATGAACCTTTCTTTGAAAAAAAAAAAATTGCTGCTATAATAATGCTGTTCTATAGATTGCTACAAACTTTTCAAACACTTGAGAAAAGACATGTTTTTTAGTGAACTGCTAAATGTAAATTCAGCCATTGGCCACTCAGCACATTGATTTCTGAAGATGGCTACGTTGGCTTGATCAGGGTCCTGTGCTGGCACCTCCGGTCACCCCCATGAGCCGGGCACAGCCCTCTCGTGTAGAACGACGCTCGGGGAAGACCCCTGAGATTGAGGAGTAGTTGATGCCAGCATGCACACTGCGTGCACAGTGCAGTGTAGAGTTGTCAGCTCAGGGACACCGTCCGGGCAAGCCTACGTTATTGTCTCTTTCCGAAGACAGGTGCACACACTCTAACGTCCACGAACTGTGTACAGAGGCTGCACGCCCAGCACTGCTGACTACAGGGCATTGAGGGACCCGAGGGTCGGCTCTGGACGAGGCCAGCGGAGCCACCGAGCCTGGGCAAGAACGCCTGGGCTCTGGTGTTCAGTGTGGAAAGCGACGGCCTCCGGACTCAGCTGTCCTGGCCCAGCTCACCGTCCTCCCAATAAACAGCAGGGCATGTTCCAGGGTACTGGGGGCCAGCCCAGTGCCTGGCTTCATGGTCATGACCCACTGGCTCCTCGCCACAGCCCAGTGAGGTGGACTCTGTCAGGACACCCGTCCCCGCTGGGGAGACCTCGGCGACCAGCAGGTGGCGCGGCAGGCATTCCACCCACGTGGTGCTTCCTTTCCTGGCCGACCCTGGGGCACAGGCGGGTCTCCACAAACCCGCCCCTGGGAACTGGTCTCTGTGGAGCGGCAGCGGTTGTGGTGGGAAGAGGAGGCTGCACCGGTTTCTGGCTCTGCCTCAGATTCTGTCTGAGCTTCGGTTTCCCGTGAGAAATGGGGCTTCCCTAGGGCGGTCCAAGGATGTAAACGAGCCTGCTGCTAAGGACCCTACGAATGTTCTGCTCTTGTTCTCGGTTGTTTGCAGATTTCTGCAGTGGGATTTTAAATGTGTCTGCTCTAAAAGAAATCCCAGTCCGGCACGAGAACCACGGGTGTAGGTTCTTGTCAAGTATTGTGTGACTAACGGAAGGCCCTGTGCACAGGGCAGCCTGGCTGTCCCCCTGAACTGTGCCTCGTCCCCACCCTCTCTTCCTGCCTGAAGCAAGGTCGTCCCGGGAGTGGTTTGGGGGAAGGATGGGTTTAATCGTGCCCTTCTCTCCTCAGGGGGATGGACGCTGGCTGTTTCTCTCTTCCCGGGACTTCTGCCTTATTTATTTCATGAAAACGTTCCTCCTCCAGCAGGCAGCCAGTCAGGGTGCTCACTCTCCTCTGCCTGGGAGGGCGCCGCACACTGGTGTCCAGCAGAGAGCTGGTCCTCCGCCCACCTGCAGCCATGAGCTGCCAGCTTCTCCAAGGAGGGCCTGAGGCTGAGCCATGCAGCCTCCCTCTTGGGCACAGGCTCTGGGAGGCCGGGAGGGTGTGGAAGCCCCGTCCTGGTCAGGGTCATGGCCCCAGAGGAGCCAGCAGGGCTGGGGCTTCTCCCATCCTTGAGAGGGGGCCTTAGGCTGCAGACAGAGGGGGCAGGAGCCCTGGGCTTGTGTCAGGACGGCGGCTCCAGGCTCTGCAGCTTTCCCTGAGGACTGTCCCCGGCTCTAGGGCCTCCTAGCAGAGGGCAGCAGAGCTCCAGCTTCCCGACTCTCGCACCCTGGGCCACCAGCTCCCACACACCAGTCTGCCCTTGGCCTGGAGCACCGGGAGCTGGGTGCCTGCCGCTCCCCCTGGGCCTGCTTCTCTTACCACCCAGGATCCTCCAGGCCCAGTGAGAGCGGGCAGCCCTGCTCTGCCGCACCCACCCCGTGCGGAGCCCAGATCTGCCACCTGTCTACCCCTCTGGGACTCGGGACCTGCCTCACCTGCTCTACCTCCTGCGCCAGCTCGTGAGACCGGCCCTGCCTGGGTTCGTCGCCCCCGTGGGTCTCTCCAGCCACCCCATCCCTCTGCCTTCCTCCTGCGTCTCAGCCGCCCCTGCCCGCTGCTTCTGGTTCCTGCACCTTCTCCCCCACCCTCTCTGTTCTCCTTTTCCTGACTGCGTCCTGTTCGTCCTTGTGCCAGAACATATTCAGTTCAAAATGGTTACTGTGTTGACTTTGGGGGCAGCGACCGGTTTCCCCACTAGACTGGAGCTCCGAGAGGCAGAGCTCAGGTTTGCTTGCGGCCCCACCACGCTGGCCTCCCCAGAACCGCTCCTGCATCGGCACAGGGGGTGCTTACCTTTCTGGGTCCTCCGGACAGGATCAGGAACCGGGGGACAGCAGGGCTTGCCTTTCCAGGGCTTGGCCGGGTGCTTAGGGTGCCTTTTTCCTGAGGGTGGACACAGAGGGGCAGACCCTTTCTTAGCATGTTTGGGGACACCGTGGGGTTGGTCTGTGCATGAATGATTGGAGTGAGCTTCAGCTGTTGAGGCTCAGGGTTCAGAAATATTTGCTCAGGATGGACCAGGCTATGGGAGGGCCCAGGCAGAGGATGGACCTTGAGATGATTTATTTTTCAGAAATAACAAAGTCAATGCAGAGAGATTCTCTGCCCCCAGAAGGTCTTCCTCGTGTTCTTGTCTGAGAAACAGTTTACTCAGAAGTGTCTCTGCCTTTTGACACCGTGATTCTTCCCTTGGCAATCTAGCCTAAGAAAATAATTTCAAATATATAAAATATTTTATGTACACCTATGCCTTTGGCACATACTGAAAATAGTGCAGAGCTGTGACCCCTGTGACTGTGTAAGCACGTGAATTCATCATAGCACGTTTACCTGATGGCACGTTCTGCCTAAAAAATACTAGTTAAATAGCACGACTTCGGAGAAGCAGCTGGAGATACTCTTAAATGGACGGGAAACGGTATGAGGAAAGGTGTCCCCCGTCATTAAATCACCATGAGGCGAACAGTGCGACCTCTGACATGTCCGGATGCGGTCTGGGGCGCACTGCTACGGACGGTGCCCATGAGGGGCCCTAGTCACCGTCCCCCACATTCTGTCTGCAGCAATGCCCAAGGCAGAGCCTTCAGAAAACAAGCACGTCCGTAACCTTTTGTTCAGAGATCGTTGCTGCTGACAGTCCGGTGTAAACGCTTCCTGAAGAATTCCAATCGTAAGTACTTTGCTGCGTGCAATGTCGCGGTGATAAGTAAAAAAGGTACGACATCAAACACACAGATTTATCAATGACAAAACTAGCATGTAGTACTTCAATGAAATAAAGAAAATGTTGAACATGGCTATTCTCGCATCATGAAATGATGGGTGTTTTCACCCCTATATATACTTCTTTATCCCCAGCTCCAGTAAATGTTGAACTGCTAACACAAGAATACAAGTAGGCAGTTTCTAGAGGGTTAGGCAAAAGAAAAAGGTCAAAATTCTCAGCTATCTGATTAAAAGAGGCAGGAGAGATAAATATTCATATCCTGAGAGGAACAAGGATCTAAACACACACGAACACCACACACATTCATTCCATCTGCGACAGGGTCCACTGTGCGTGAGTTTGGGGGATGTTCAGACTCAGGTAATCCACTAATTAATTTATTCATTCCCTCAACGCAAACTGTTTCAAACACAATGAAGACAACACAGTGGATCTGGGGCCTACAGCTCGGTAGCACCTGGACGCACGAGGCCGTCTGGCTGGGCAGGCACACCGCTCCCCTCGGCTCTAACCCTTTGTGCATTTGGAGGGGAGACGGTGGACCCGGAGCCCCCAGCCTCCCTGGGTGCCCACTGAGGGTGCAAGTGCTCCACAGGTTCCGGAGTAAGGACCCAGGACTGCCTGCCAGGGGCCGCCCTCCAGCTCCCTGACCCCAGCCTCCCCAGACACTGCCAACCCTGCTGGGCAGCACCCGGCAGCCTACCTTCCGCGGAGAAGAGACACAGGCCGAGAAGTACTGTGCAGAGCAGGCTGCAGAGGACCAGAAGCCTCATGGTGGGGCAGGGTCTCGTCCTGGGAGGCAGCTGGGCCACCAAAGTCCTCCTCTGAGGACTCCCAGGCACTTATAGTGACGGGAGAGGTGTTTCCAGATGGGCAGGGCCATAGCAACCTTGGAATTCTCATACAGGGAAGAGCCAGCCCCTCCCAAAAAGAAAAAACCAGCTTTCTGAGAAGTTAGGAGTATTTGGTGAGCTGTAAACAGAGCCGCAAGGCCCCAGCCCGGGGCGCTCCCAGTTCCGGCCTCTGTGGTCAGAGCAGACAGTTGCCAGGGAAGAGACACTTTGTTGAACATTAACTTTTAGTGTCAGTAATAATTCCATCCAATGCAGACCTTCCTGCTCACTCCTCAGATGTGGCAGGGGTGGGGGGCATAGGTCCTTCCAAAGCCTCCGGGGAGGGTCTTGAGCAATGAGGGAAACTGGGGGGCAGAGGGTCAAGAATCAGATGACCACAGAGCAGAGACCTCGAACTTGCTGTTGAGTGTCTCCAAGTCTGCTCCCCTGTGCAATGGGCCCAGCGCCGCCTCCCTCAGAAGTCTGCATGAGAAGCCACCTGCCTGGGGACGGTTGCAGGATGCTCAGCTGCTACCTGTTCACTGGACATGTACGTGGGCCACAGGGATACGGAGACACTGCGCCTGGCCTCAGGGGGCTCTTAGTGGACACAGCGATGCGGATACACTGCGTTTCCCCTTGTGATGTCACGTCCTTCTGTCCTTTGCCCTAACAAGTGGGCCCTTCTAACAAGGAACAGGCTCCGCTCCAGCCTCAGGGGGCACGAGGGGAGGTGGTGGCGTCTGGGGCGACCCTCCAAGAGATCCCTGCTTCTTGGCGGCCAGTTCAGACACTGCCCTGCAGCCCGAGACTGGCCGATGGTGCCCTTCACTGGCCCTGCTCTGTGGCTGGAGAAGCAGGTTAGACATCGTCGGACAGCTCAGTGAGCCAGACAGGGTCCCGGGGATATTTCGAGTCAGCCTGCATGCTTCTGTGTGTATATGAAAATGTTAAAACCAATCCACACAGAGAAACTGCTTGGGGTTGCTGGGCTTAGGGACTGGACACCGTGCTGTGTCCGTCACCCAGGCAGACCCAGCCTGATTCCCTCTCCAAGCTGCATTCTAGATCTCGATGTTGGAGCTGCGTGGGCATCGCCGCAGCAGGGACGTGGGCAGGAAGACCTGGGGGTGGTGATCCGGGGACAGCTCCAGTGCCCAGGAGAGACATGGGGGCTGCTATTGTTGAAAGGAGGGTCAGGAAGAGGGTGGGACCTGTCTTGAGGCTGCATCTGCCAGCCAGTAGGCTGTTCTTAAACTGTATGTTACAGGTGTTTCCTGAGGCTAGAATTACATCCATGGTTCATATCAAGAACTATTACCACCATTTATATAGTTTGCGGTGCGGCCACCAAGTTCTCTGGGCATTAGCATACCTTTGGCTGCCATGTACTCATTACCTGTTGTAACAGGTCCTCTTTGCGTTGTCTTGGTTCTTTTTACTTTTTTTTTTTTTTTATCCTCACTCGAGGACATTTTTTCATTTTTTTGTTCAGATAGAGTGGGAGGGGGAGAGAGAGAGAGAGAGAGAGAAACATTGATGTGAAAGGGGCACATGGAGTGGCCGCCACCTGCACGACCCAACCAGTGCCGGGGACACTGCAACCGAGGTACATGCCCTTAGCGGGAACCGAACCCGGGTCTCTCTGGACCGCAGGCCGACGCTCCAACTGCTGAGGCAAACCGGCCAGGGCTCCTTTTACTCTTGGCAAAGCACCACTGGGGGAAAAGAACAACCTACCTGGCAGAGGGGGCAGCGGTTGGTCCAAATGTTAAAGCCAAATTCTAATTGCTTTGCAATGATATAGGAATTAGGGGAGACTCCGGCTACTGAGGAGAGACACCCGTCTGCATCCACTCTCCAGCTGGGCCAGGACTTGGGTAATTTTTCAGAGCCATAGGGCAGTGAACAGGAAGAACTGGGTGTCTCTGGGCTTCTGGTTGCTTACACAATCACAGATTCACAGATGTTCCTGGGGCCCTGTGTGTGACGGGGAGGGTGAATTCAGGTGTAAGATTTCCATCTGCTTTGAAATGCTCATGAAAAATGAGTGAAGCAATCTCTGCCTGGATTCATTTAATGACACAGGGTATAAAGTGCAAGTTCTTCTCAAAGCCCCACTCCCCAAAGACAAGCCCTGTTCCTGGATGTTCACCTGCTTTTGTAACATTTCAAAGACAGACAGCTGCGGACATCTCACAGTAAAAAAGCTCTTGAGAGTATTTGAAATCGCAGGTTGAGCTGAGAGGTGAAAATGACAAACACTTTTAACAGGAATACCTGTTAGCTTTAAGCAATGCATGTAGGGTACAAAAATAACCAAGTTTGGGGTTTTGAATAGTTTCCGAAGATGAGTTTGACACTTGGCAGCGTTCCTGAGAAAGTCCCCAGAGGCACGCCTACCTAATAAGCAGGAAAATTTACGAGGGATAAAACACTTTCAAGTCCAATGTGTGATTTCTAAGATAAATTAGGAAGTGCCTGAGGCCACCTTTTCGGTTAGAGCACGCCTGGCATGTGTCCCTCCCCCGCCACACTCTTCTCCGAGGGTGTTTTATGGGCCCTGTAATTGATCAGAAGTTACTCTCCCTCCTCTATTTGCTTAGCAGATTGCGGATGGATTTACAATAGAAGGAGGAGTCGGACTCCGGTGACCACTCCCATGACCCTTCAGTCTTCTCTCTGAATTCTTCCTCAGGCTCCGAGATGCACCTTCCACGTCCGTCCAGTAACCAGGGAAGGCAGCTGCCCTCCACTCCGCACAGAACCGTGGCAGCTGCTCACTGAGCCCAGTCTGCCCGACCCCGAAGCTCAGGCTCTTCACTGACACTGGCTCCGTGAGAGTTTACGAGATGGACAACCTGCAACGTGGAGGTTCATGTTACAGGCCCCCTCATTGTACAGACACGAATTGCTTCCTGTTTTACAGTGAACCTGAACTTCCATACCAGCCTCTGGGCGTCTGCTCCTCACCCCTGCCCTCGGGGCCTCCTGGCTGTCACTGATCTGCTCACCCGGCCACTGTTGCTCAGGTCTCCGCCCTGTGGGTGCGTCTTCCCTTCCTGCAGACAGGACTGGGCTCACCGTGGTGGCTGCCAGCAGGACGGTGGGCTCCTCCAGGGCTCGAATGTGACCGTGTCCTTCCTGACACAGGTACCTGGGGAGACCAGGTGCTCTTCTCTAGCCTGTGGCCACTTCGTGCGGCTGCTGGAGCACCTGTGAGGCCCCTGCCCGAGCCCTTGGCTTTCTGCTTTCTCTCTACGGAGCATCTGGCCTTTCACCCCTACGCCTTCCGCAGTGAGCTCAGGGCCCTGGGCTTTTATTTGCCTGCCCACCTCCCCTACACTTCCAAAGAGCACAGACTTCACAGCGCATGACCCGGGCTCTGTGCAGGGCAGTGAGAAGCTTGGACGATCCCAAAGGCAGACGGACAAGTTGGAAAGGGCCCTTGCAGGGAGCCTGAATAACATGCCTTTACCTTCCCAGCCAAGGACCCCAGGCAAACGCTTGAAAGCCTCCCAATGAGAGAATGCAGGACAGGAGGGGGCAGGGAAAGGAAAAAAGGGGGAAGTTTGATTTACGTTTTTACCCCTTGAGAACCCAGCAGTCCCAAGGCTTGGCAAGACAAAATTGCCAGGTGCTTCTCGTGAATTCTGGGAGGGCCACGTGAAGTAAAAAAGGACCTTGAGAATTAAACTGTACTAAGGTATTTAGCAGAGGAACTTCGAAACCTGTCCACAGGAGGGTATGCAACACCTCAACTCCCGCCCTCCAACTCGCTCTGCAGAATAGCTGAGAGCCCGTCTGCACTTCCTAAGCCAGATGTATAGGTCTGGTTGCCTCTTTAATAAATGTGCTTTAATACATCGGCTGTATCACGATGCCGTCCTCTAGTCACCGTTTAAGTTCATTCATAGGGGCACGACAGCCAAGGGGGGCAGCCCTCTCCTCCTGACTCAGGGGGCTGTCTGCTAACTCCTTTTATGAGGTCTCTGGGCTGCCTGTAACATAACCAGAACTCTGCCAGGTTTTAGCTGTGTAACCCTGAAAATGATGTACAACTTTTCTGTTTCTTAGTTTCTCTGTTTTTCATGAAAACAGTGGCTGAAGCTGGAGGAACAGACCCTTTTGATGCTAAAGCGTCCTGCTACCTGAAACTAAGTTCTTATATCAGATGGTCAACTGCTGTAAGTGGGGTGCATAGCTTTCCATCTTTCCTACAGCAGCCTGTCTCCAAAAATAGCAATCCTCCTACTTGTGTTCAAGGATTTATGGTGCTTCTTTAACGCAGAACAATGACTGTGTTTTCTTGCCACAATTCAGGAAAATTCCAGTCAAAATGACTGACGCCAACTCCATTTACAAATGTGGGTTTTGACACAGAAGGGTGGGAGGACGCGACTTGGGCATTAGGGAGAAGGGGGTGCCCAGAGTTCCTGCGTTTGCCAGCCGAGCTGGAGGACCACAGGTAGGATGGCAGACCCTGTTGGTCAGTGTCTGGTGTGACGTGCCGGTGTCCCAGCAGGCTTCCTTTCCTTGTCACCCCCACACCTAGCACCACCAGGCAGGGCGGAGGTGCAAGGTGCAGCCAGGGCTGTGCAGTCCAGGGAGACTTCAACCCTGTGTCCCTGCAAACACATGGCAAGGCTACAAGGACCTTGAAGGCTCTGGGTCCAGGTCCACTCAGAGATGAGATGTGCCAAAGGCCACAGGGTGGAGAGACATTCTGCTTTTCTGGGTCTTTCCACTAAATTCCTAAAATCTGAAAAGTGTGTTTCAATGTTCAATTTTTCTTGCCACTCAGAATTCACAGTGAAGATCTTGTCATAATTTGTCCAGCTTCTTTTAAAAGGACTTTTACTTAAATGAGGTAGAGGATCATGTTCATCGTCTGAGGCCCCCGTGATGGTGAGGGGCTATCATTTGCGAGCGCACAGCAGTCACAAACATTTGGTTTGCGAGCAGAGAAGCCTGGGCCCTCTGCAAAGTAGGTCGGGGTCCTTCCCATGATGCTGCACAGGGGGGTGTCTGACCTTCCCTTCCCACTGAAGACAGTCCCTTCCAGCCACCGACCCTTCGTGCTGGGGTGTGCGTAGGACACCTGTGCTCCTGGGGGCACTTGGCACAGCTGTCCGCTTCCTCTGAACTCCTATAGCAAGCGGTCAGGATAATGCTTTTGCAGTTTCTGGATAGCGATTTCATAATTACCTTGGGCCATTTGTCGCTATTCTCACATTTTAATTGCATGGTACCTACTACAATAGCTCTTAAGAGTGACTTGTGGTGATCAACACTGTTGTGTTTGGGCCCCAAATTCCACACCTACAGTGAGGGCCTCTGCCCCTGCTCAAAGGGCAGCTGTGTCTCAACCTTCTCTCACTAGATCTCTCTTGGCGACCACCCCTGCCCATCGAATGCCACCTTCTCGACTGGCCTGTTTCTAGCCAGGCTGATGACAGGGCAGAAACAAGAATCTGTCTTGTTTCTCACTACAGCTGGTGCTAACAGTTCTTTCGAGGAGTCCCAAGCTGAAGAAGCCAGTAAACCCCCCCAGCCCCCCACTCGGGTGCTCAGCTTCCCCTGGTCTTCCTGTCTGGGAGCCGTTCTGCATGCAGCTGTAGGAAACACATAACTGGGTGGGGCCAGGTTTGTACTTTTTTTGTGAAAGAGTCCCTCTGGGTCAGGTTTGTACTTTCTCATGAGAGTCCCTCTGAATCATCAGTAAAAGTTGCAACTAGCAATTACCAAAGGATTATCCTTTAGATACCTGTTCTTACAGGACAATGAACTATTGGGAAATTATGAAAAACAAATTACAGGAAACACTGTAATTCTTCAATTTTAAAATGTCACTGATCTTAAGATATGCTAGTTTTGGGGAAAAAAATCATAAACTTGAAACAAACATTTCAGAAGCAAAGTGTGAAAACTACTGCACCTGAGCGTTGAGGTAACATGACTGGTGAGTAAATGAAACTGACATGTAACCGCCTCGGAGACGCCGTGACCTACTTCAGCAAGTGCTCCGCACACCCACAGTGGGCACGTGGGGAGCCGTCCGTGTTCCGGGCACGCGTAGGGCCAGTCCGGAGGAATGCCGGCCAGCCCACAGCGTACTTACGGGTGATCAGGTCGCTTTTACAAAGTGCTCAGCGGAGGGCCTTTTCTTTTAAGGTTTAAAAATTGTTTCTAGGCTTGTGCGCCCAGTTGTGAGAACAAATGTCAAACCGGTTCTGCAGCTGATATAAATTCTGCATTTCCGGTGTAGCCTCAGGGGCTCCCAACCTTCCAAATGCTTAACACCCCACCGCCCATCAACCTCTCAGTGGAAGGCGCCCTAGGAGGGCTGACACCCCGCAAGCATGAGCGAGGGGAGGGGAGGCTGAGGCTGGTGGGCAGTGCTGGGCCTGCCCTCCTGCTAACTGCCAGCAGCCCTGTGCGGCACTGCCCAGAACGGTCTGCATCAGCCTCTCCCCCATCCGACTTCCAATTCCACCTTTGCTTCTGTCACAGACGCTCCTTTGCTGTTTTCAAGTGTCACTACTGGGGGCTGTCTCCATCTGCCCAAACTGCTCCGCACAAGGCCAAATCCTCAAGGTCACAGCTTCCATGTCTTCCTGAAAAACGGCTTCCACTCTGCCTGCTAAACTGAGCACACCCAGGGAGGAGTTCATCTTACTGATTACACTGACCTGGACAAAATGGCTTGATTTGTAGCTCTAAGTGGAATGGGAGTTTCTGGTACTCAATATAAAAAATAGGATCTTGGGGAAGTAAAACATGATCACCATTTGACTGAGGTCAAGTCCTTTCAATAAACACTAAAATTCTAATCTAGGTATACTGAACAGAAACCCAAACCTATCTAATTTGCACAGTGCTTTTGATTCTCAAATAGGATTTCAGCTCTCTGCATTCATCAAACTTCCCAGTATAATGTGTTAGTGGATCACTCAATTCTACCTTCTCCTTCCTGCCATGTGATCTTGTGCAGACTAAACTCATGGGCTTCAGTTTACTCCTTCGCAAAATAAAGACAGCAAGCAGTACCTAGCTGAAAAGAAGGCTATCATTTGTGCAAAGGGTTTAGCACACTATACAAAAAAATAAAAAATTCAATCATTAGCTATTACCAGCCTATCTGGACTCTCCTCCCTACTGATGCATCAAATCTTGGGAATCCTTTAGTTTCAGGAACTCTGATGTGACCCATTCCATTCAGATGAACACTTTTCAGGGAAGTACGCCTCTGACATCGTAAATGAAGATCACAGGAAATACCCAAGGCTCAGAGTTCTGAGGACAGAACACAAACTTGTTGTGAGCTGGAAATCAGGCTTCAAGGCCACCTCATTTCTCGCCCTCTCTCTCCATATCCCTGCTCTTCCCCGTCACACTTCTGCTGTTGAAATGCCTCTTCGCGCACTGTAACTGCTGCGTTGACTTGAAGACTTCCTGCTGGAACATCTTGGACACGTACTTTGTTCACTCCTTGTACTGACTCACCACAATGAACTGAGGTTGTGTTCACACGAGGACGCCACTCTTTAGAAGGCAGTTTTTACTCATCTCTCCTGGATCTGGCTAGCATGGTGCTTACCTGTTAGACACTCATGTTTTCTGACTGATGTTCATTAGATACCACTCCAAGCAAACTGAAAGGACCTTTACTTCTGTGTGTGTGATTATTTATAACACATCTCAGTTATCTTCTAACACTTCAGATAATGTTTTAGAAAAATGAGAAATGGATATTTTTTTTTGCCTAAAAACTATCAATCTGCAGGTCTACACTCTTGCCTGTGAGCTACAAGAGGGAATAAATCCCAGTGGTATGTTAAAGGAGCTAAGGATCCAATGATGATTTTTCTGTTTATTACTGTAGACCTAGTATATTTTATTAGTATTCATTTTATATAACTCACTTTTACTGAAAAGTCTTCACTGTTGTAACAAAGTAAGAAAAAATATTAAGTAGTTATGTATTTTTAAAAAACACCCTTGATTTTCTAGATAAGCTTCTGCCTAATACCATGGTTGAAATGATATTTTCATTTTGTTCTGTGTGTGATTCCATCCAAACATAAAGATAAAAACTTTGATATAAACTTTGGGTTCCAAAATGTGACTGAAGACAAAAGGACCTTTGAGATTTCATTTTAAGGTCATACACTAACATTGTATAGGAACTAAAGTAAGGGACAAAAACAGAAATCTGGCAATTAGATTTTTCTTGGGGAAAAAAAACAAATCCCCAAACAAACCAGCAACGGCTGCAACTCACTGAGCAGCAGCACTTCCCACCTGCAGGCAGGTGCTATCATCTCCGTCTCCAGATGAGAAGAGGGCAGAGAAGTCAAGTAGTGGGAACACGTGGGAGAGCTGGGTCAGATAAAGGCAGTCTAGCTGCGAGCACATGGTCACAGCCACAAAGCACTAGACACACTGTGTCGGTAAGAGAATGAGCTGCTTTCTTGAACAACTCCCCTATTCAAATAGTACGCATATGGCTCAGCTGAAGAATTACAGACCAATCACCATCTTGCTGGAACCTTTAATAATTAAAAAATAAGCATCCTATGTAATCTGAAGTGGTCAGAATAGTTATTTCTGGATTACTGTAATAAACTCTTGTCAAAAACAGCAGTCATCTCAGTAATCATACACACTATTTCACTCATTAAGAACTTCCAAAAATAACTCTTTCTGTTAACAAAAAACTTACAAATGTCACAAGAGAGCTAAGTAATGGTCTCTGCAGGAGAAAGGGAAAATTCTGCTACAGGACACTCTAATGAAGTGTCTGCCCATCACAGTTCTGACTGACACAGTCCACGAAGAAAAGCAGCTGCTCCCCCTTCTCAGTGCTTCATCCGAGAGGGAACGAGCAGCCGGGTCCCAGGGGAACTGCTCTCACCGAGTGAGCCACAGGCAGGCTTTTCTGATACAGCTCCAGAGGTCGGAGAGGTGAGAAGAGCAAGCGCATATTCTTTAAATGTTTCAATAAATATGCAAATATTTAGCAATTATGAACTACTGTTTGTATACTTTGACTATTTTATACTGAGAAGGTATTTTAAGGAATATTTTGTTCTAGAATATTTAAAAGTAGAACCTGCACATACACACGTGCCAGGAATTGTCCATGACGGAAACTCTGGGGTGTCCTAACAATGTCCCATATGAGGGGTCACACCTGGTCACCTCTCACTGCTAGAGAACGGAAGGAACGCAGGAAGGCGCATCACCTGTGTCTGTATTGTACTCTCACTGCTTCTGGGAAGGTCAGCAGACAAATGCAAAAAGTGATGACTTGTTTCCAAACAGCAAGTCCTGAGCTCGGTACTCAAGGAAAGAAGGCAGGTGACCCTTCACTTCTCTCTGGTCCCTCTTCCAAATCTCAACATCACTTACATTTCTGCACTCCAAAGTATATACAGGTAAACAAGTTTGCTAATTTTCACTTAACCAAAAAAAAAAAAAAAGAAAATTAAAAGATAAAATACTTAAATTCTCACAACACAAACCTCAGTTTTTGCATTCATGAGAATGTTTCAGAATTACTCAAAAATGAGAATTGAACTTGTGTGAGCTTATTTGGCAGAGAGCTACTGAATTTATTCTCCAGAAGAAAAAGCAGACCTCAAGCATCACATTACTGGGACATTTCAGACATGTGGACAAGTTCTTATCTTCTAAACTTCAATGGAAGCTGCTTGAACAAACTGTTGAATGAACACCTGCCCGAGACGAGCACGGGTCTGGCGCACTGAAGACGCAGGAGCTGAGTCACTTTACTTCTTCCTATTGCCTCCAGTCGCCAGAATGGTGGCAACTCGCATAAATATATTCAGTGTGTCCATGTAGATCCCCATCATCCTAGAGAAGAAAATAATGCCCATTTAAACATGATGTGATTCTAGTAACAATGATATAAACTATTTCTTAAGCTAGAAAAGAAGAAAAAGCAATATTAATTATTTGTCCTAGGTATGTCAGATGGGAATTTTAAAACAAGATGCCAACTAAGGGAGTCCTAGCCGAGAAAACAGTCAAGATTTCCTTCTGGCAGATTAATCTTTTAAATGTAAAGGGCAGTTTAAAAATCATTCCTTTCCCCTCTAACACCCTGCTGTGAGTACAGTATCTTATGGGGGAAATGGGTGCTGGGCAACTCAAGAATCAAAAACCAAACCCAAAGAAACACCTTTACAAAACTGTGTTACACACAAATCTGCTATTTTAAAATATCATATGCCCCCTGAACATCCCACCCCACTTCACCCAAACACAGTTACAAATCTGTAAGCATTACAGCAGCATTTTAAAAATCATTAACTTTTTAAAGAAAGAAAAATAGAGTTGTATGAGGTTTTTATATTTTGAATATAAGCCCTTGTCGAGCTGTTGTTTGCAAACATCATGGCCCACTTGGCTGGCTGCTGTTTGTGTTGCTGGTTTCTCGTGCTGTGCGGAAGCATCTCCATGAGACAGAGCCCATTCTTTTCCTTTGCCTTTACTTGCCTTCCCTTTGGGGTCAAATTCCTAAAATGTTCTCCATGACCAAGGTTCTTGAGTTTGGCACTTGTTTTCTTCTATGTACTTCATCGTTTCAGATATTATATTTAGGTTTTAGATCCATTTTGAATTAACTTTTGTACATGGGACACTAGACAACAATCCAATTAAAAAATGGGCAGAGGGTCCTGAACAGACATCTCTCCCAAGAAAACATACAAATGGCCAAAGATACATGAAAAGATGCTCAATGTCACTAGTTGTCAGGGAAATCAAGTCACAACCACATCCTCGCACCTGTCAGAATGGCTGTTATCAACATACAGGTAATGACAAGTGTTGGAGTCATTGTGGAGAAAAAGGAACCCTCAACTCACTGCTGGTAAGAATGTACAGCCACATGGAAAACAGTATGGCAGTTTCTCAAAAATTAAGAATACAGTTACATATGACCCAGCGATCCCTCTCTTCCGGGTATCTACCCGAAAAACTCAAAAACACGTATTTGCAAAGATGTATGCACCACTCTGTTCACTACAGCATTACTGACGGTAGCCACGACACAGAGACCACAGTGTCCTATTATGACAGAGGATTAGACAAAGATGTGGTACATATACACAATAAAATTCTCCTCAGCCCTAAGAAAGGATAAAATATTGCCACTTGTGACAACACGGATGGACCTGACATCACACTAAGTGAGATAAGTCCATCAGAAAAAGCAAAGAACCATGTGATTTCACTAATATGTGGGATATAAAATTGAAACTCAGAAGCTCAGAGAGACAAACAGACCACAATGTGGTGGTTACCAGAGGGAAGGGGGTAGTAGAGGGTGAAGGCACCCAAATATATGGTGGTGGAAAATGATCTTTGGGTGGTGGGCACACAATGCAATAAACAGACCATGAATCATAGAAATGAATGTACACTTGAAACTTATGTGATCCTATTAACCAATATCACCCCAATAAATATAATTAAAAAAGAAATTACTTTTTAAAATGTGGTAACACCAGGAAACTCAAAAAAATTGTTTAAATAAAAGAACTTACTTTGGTGAGAAGCCAAGAAAAGAAAAGTGTTATTATCAGTTAAATTTGAGTATCTCCAAAATGAAATTCCAATGTTTAATGAAATAAACTTTTCTATTAAACACTTCAAGTCAATTATTTACACTTTCCAATGAATACCTAAGACATCTTTTCTTCGGTTCTAAAGTCTGTTAAATATAAAAATTAATCGACCAAGAAGAGTACCATAATGCTAATTAAAAATATTCTGAATTAACTGAATAAATACCTAAACATTACTGAGTAATGCAATCACATTTCTATGGATACTAGAGAGACAACAGACCAAACAGCAATAGAAATAAAGTAGTAAAATTCAATGAAGCCATTATTGTGGGTTGAGTTAAAAAGATATGTTGAAATCCTAACCCTTACCCTTGGTTACCTGTGAAGGTGACCTTACTGGGGAACAGATCTTTGTAGACGTAATTAAGGCGTGAGTTACAATGAAGAGTGGAGCATGGTGGGTCTCAACCTAACACGACCCCTGTTCTTGTGAGAAGAGGAGACAGACACAGGGAGAACGGCAGCGAAGACAGCGGCAGGGATCAGAGATGCACCTACAAGCCGAGGCATGCTGGCTCGAGTAAGAAGCTAGGAGGGTGCAACAGCTTCTCTCTTAGAGACCTCTGAAGGCTCAAACCCCGATGACACCGTGATTTCAGACTTCTGGCCTCCAGAATTGCAAGAGAATAAATTCCTGTTGTTTTAAATCACCCAGTTTATATAATTTGTTACAGCAGCCCTAAGAAATGAATCCAGACATAAAACAAAACAGGACAAAATAAAACCAATGTCTTTATGTAACAAAGACATCCAAGTCTACTTACGAATTGATGGGATCATATTTATGAACTCCATATACTGGCACTACTTCTGCCCGCTTGATCACTTTCTGTGTGTCATACAGAAGGAACATGCTGAAAAGCGCTAGCCCACCATAGATGGCCACCGAGTACAGAGTGGCACCAGCCACAGAAGTAGGTGGAAGAAACATAGATCCTGAAATCAAAATGGGAAAAAAGTTCTTTTTAAAAAAGGGACTGTTCTATAATCGGATTTGTAATTAATGTTACTTAAATTTTTCTTTGGTAGACTGCACAGAGAAGAAAACATCTGAGTATAAGCACGGTCTACTCTTATGTACATTCAATTCAAACTCATGACACTCGTTTCTGCAAAGGCCCCGCGCCCACATGCAGGAAAGCTGCTGCCTCAGAGCGCTTCTCATGTCTCCAGGCCATGGAAGATGCACTTGGTACAACCGACAGTAATGGTTTTCCATGATGCCAAATAAGAAAATCCAGTCTAACTAGCATGTATCTTTTAAACAACTTTTAAAAATGACTAAGTATTTCCCTCCAGTAGGATACCCGAGCACATAAGATGACTGTGGCACATCTAGAACCAAGACCCAAGGGTCAAAGCGCAGTGGCTTACCCAGTGAGGACACAAAGACGAGGCCCAGGCCCACTCCCAGGGGAGCTCCCATGTTCAGAAACTTCTCACTGGGCGCACACATGGCCACTGTGGAGAGGCCTCCCACGATGCCTGCCGTGTACCATGCAGCTCTGATGAGAAGAGGCCCCCCTAAGACTGTCAGAGGAGCCACCACTGTGCCCATCACACCTGGAGAAAGAGCATGTGGTCACTTTTTACTAAGTAACAACCAAAGGGAAAACGCCACTTCTGGCTAACATGCTATTTGAACATATTATTGAACAGTATGATACAAAAACTCTTCTTATTTAGGTAATACTACCCTCAAAATTCTACAATAAAACTTGAGGTTATCCAGATTCTAAAGTCACAACAGTAATACTATTCCTACTCAAACAGCCACAACTCACAAGTATAAACAGTAATTTAAAATTTTAGTAACGTGGTCAAATTCTGTGTAATTCATTATTTGGTATCTGAACCTAATTTTATTTTTTTATAACAATATTCATCGTATATGTAAGAACTAAGATAAAAAGACTTAAAATGATTAATTCAAGGTCAAACCTACTGCTGCCAAAATGAAACAAAGTAAAATGAGAAAATAAGTATATTATGCTAATCTTATTGTTGACTGGCAATTTTATGTAGAAGTTATCGCATGTCACCAGCAATTTTTTTGAGTATGAAAGTGAAACAATCTAAATAAACTTCAGTATAGTTTACTTATACATAATGAATTTAAATGAAACTTTGTACATATCTGCCAATTATATTTTATACATATTATATATTTTAGTAATATTTTTGGTGTGGCGTACTGGATGGCGATCACCTACATGTAATGGTACGCAACGTTTGCAAATATATCTGGTTTCGCTGCACTTTCATCTAGGGACAACTCCTGCTTAGGTACAAAGACTAAAATTTTGGAAGAAAGTAATCCTAAAGAGGCCTAATTCTATACAGTCTTCATTAGATGTATTTTGTGAATTATCACTAAGACAGAAAAATGTAAGAATTTCCTCGAATGCCATTCTGCTTATAGTTTTAGAAAATATTGGAGCTTCAACCAAAGGGTCCTTGACCAGTAAACCCTCCAATGTGATTTTTTCCCCTCCCATCAATATCAACAAACCGAGAAACTTCTGAGTTAACTCGTGAGCGTGAGCGGTTAACAATGTGTTAAATGTAGAAACTTCAAGGACAGACACTGCTGTTACAATGTGTAATAGGGAATGTTATCTCAACTTGTAAAAAATAACTTAAGTTGTCAGATATTTATAAACATCCTCATAAATACTACAGTGAAAGTTACCAATATAATTAACAAAGGTAATTAGAGCTCCACTAAACATTAATCTTAGATAAGGCAGGATTTCAGTGGTCAGTAGAACAAGTTACCCTTTTCTTAAACATTGAAAGTACACAGTTGAACTCATGGAATAAGCACAGAGCTGTCTTCATACTAAATGTCAATACTAGTGTGTTTCTTTTGTGAGAATAACGTTTCTAGATCAAACTGTAAGAGAATTAACTGTATTTCATGATGATAATTTAAAAATATTTGTTGGTCTAGGAAAGACACTAGATACAATTCCTCTGTACATTTCTGCTAGGATTCCCATTAGTTTTGCATTTAACAGCAACGTTTTTTTCAAAACTTTTAAGGAGACGTATTCAGAGATTTTTCAGTGATACCTTCTAATAAAAATCTTAAGTGGTGATAGATGTTTGCTGCTTAAGGACATATCAATGATAAAGCTAACGTGGATAGTTCGTTATTATTGTGAGTTAAAACTGGCATTCAAATGCAAACTGGTGCAGCCACTACGGAAAACAAATGTGGAGGTTCTTCAAAAAAGTAACGCTGGAACACAGTACGGCCCGGCAGTCCCACTTCTGGGTTCACACCAAGATCAATAAAAACCCGGACCTCACAGAAGGGGCCACGTGTCTGTGTTCACTGCAGTGTTACTCAGTGGTTAAGATGTGAAAAAAAACAAGTGTCCACCCATGGATAAATGGGTAAAATGGGGTATTTACATATACAACGGAGTATTGTTCAGCCTTAAAAAAATAAAATCTTGCCATTTCTGACAATACAGATGGACCCTAAAGGCATTATGTTAAGTGAAATAAATCAAGACAGAGAAAGACAAATACCCTATGACCTCACTTACATGTGGAATCTAAAAAAGTCAAACTCAGAGAAACAGAGTACAGTGGTGCTTACTAGAGTTGGGAGGGGATGAGGGAAATGGGGAGATACTCATCAGGGTATAAACTTCCAGTTATAAGGTGAACACATATGAGGATCTAAAGTGCAGAGTAGTGACATAAATAAACAGATGGAGACCAGCACTAGCTCTCCCTGTGCAGACAAAACCAGCTTAGTCATGCAAATAAAGCTCGATTTGATTTACTTTGCAAGACTAACTTGACCCGGATAATTTCTTGCTTATGCCTCTGGAAACCATAAGCAAAATCCGAACTGTCTCCCAAGGTTGACATGAGGCATCCACAGAAAATTCTATTATAACCAATCACTGTAAGGAACCACTAGCCACTGCTGTCTTACTACATAAGTTGCTTTATAACAATATACCCGAGTCTCATTCCATATTTCTGGGTAAGTGTTCCCAGTCTGCAGACTGTCCTTTTGGTGTGTGTATAACAAACTTTTACTAATTATTATTTCAGTAATCCATAGGTTTTACTTGTTATGTCTAAATTTCTGACAGTAATTAAAGCTAATAATACCGCACCATACACTTGAATGTTGCTAAAAAGTAGATCTTAAATACGCTCAACAGAAAAAAAAGGTAAGTATAAAATGAAAGTGTCATTTAGTGCTATGGTGGCAATAATTTTGCAACACATCCGCCTATCAGATCAACTCTGCAAAGGCCTGCTTGCCGGCCAGTCCCTGACTCTGACCTGATCTGAGGACTTGCACCTGACATTCTCTAACTGGCAGGGTCAGGCTCTCTGTGCAAACACTGAGACTTATGCTGAAGACCTGCTTTCCTTCAGGGGGTCTGGTTTTTGACAGCTGCCAGGGGGTGATCAGCTTTCAATAAAAACCTTGGACACTGAGTTTCCACTGGGCTTCCCTGGGCAGAAAAGTCACAGATGTAGCTGCACTTTCTGTGTTGACCCCCAGGAAGGAGGGCACCGACAGACTGTGTGCGCCTCTCTCCAGACCCCAGACTCTGCCTGCATCTTTCCCTGTGCTGATCCAGCCATGCAGCCTTTGGAGTAATGAACTTTACCTCTGAATACAGACCCACCACTGAATGAACTGGTAGTCCTGGGGCCCACCCCCACCACACACATAAAATACTCAACTGAAGTAATTTATGTGCTACAATGATATCAGATTAAAAGGCATTTTCTAAGAAACCCAGGTAGAAATACTTACTCTAACTTTGAATTAAAACTACATAGCTATTTTTTTTTTTTTTTTTGTATGTGCCCCTAGCGGGAACCGAACCCAGGACTCTCTGGTCTGCAGGCCGACGCTCCAACCGCTGAGCCAAACTGGCTGGGGCTACATAGCTATTTTAATTCAGTATCTACTATTTACCAGACAAAGAGACACTGAACTTGTTTTCTCAAGGAACTCACTGTCTAAAATGGGAAACAGGTGCAGAACTCTACTCAGTGGCCATTTACTATAATCCAGACAGTGAGGATTCTCGTGTTTCAATGAAAGGATACATTTTTAGCAAATGCACATACTATGATTCTAAATAATTTTTTTTCCTTAAAAGCAGGTTATTGGTACTAGAGGAACCATCTCCCTCTGAACCACAAATGTGGTCCTGCAAAGCTCCATGGAGAACATCCATGACTAAACAACATGACACCTAAGAGAGACTTGAAAACCAAGGTTAGGAAATCATGCTGTCTCATATTACCAAAATAAAGTTAGCACATGAATAATATAAATGACCTATTTTACACCAGAGATGCTACTGATTGCCAAAAACCTAATTTCCATTTACTAACAATTAGAATTTTTCAGACTCTGTCTCCCTGGAGGTTTCAAGGACATGCTTATAAAATGTCTTGTCTTGTGGTAGAGAACATGCATCTAAGAAACATTTTTCTTTCTGGGTCTGGTTGGTTCTTTATTCAACCCAGAGACAGAATATCCTGGGATACTTAAGGTGGAAAACTTTGTCTGAACTTTCAAATATTTGACTTGCAACAATTAAGGAAAAACTCATAACATATACCTAAAAGGATATAAAAACTGTCCTGCAATAGCAGCGTTGAACAGCCTTTGCCCTGCCCAACACAACCTTGTGCCAAGAACTATCTTAACACTGACCCAGCTAGACGCATCAGACACAAATGTGCAATTCCAAGAAATTCTTGGCTGCTCTCTCCAAATGCCGCACTGCAAAAACCTCCTCTCCTATTCTGTCACATGTCTTACCTCCTTTTCACCATTTTTATTTTATTAAAAAAAATTTTTTTTTCTTTTCTTTATTGATTTGAGAGAGAGAGGAAGGGAGAAGGAGAGAGGTAGACACATCAATGACAGAGAACGTTGTCCGCCTCCTGCATGCCCCGCACTGGGGATTTGGCCCACAACCTGGGCATGTGGCCTGACCAGGAATCGAACTGGCGACCTTTTGGTGAAAGGGTCAATGCTCAACCAGTGAGCCACACAAGCCGGGCACCATTTTTATTTTTTTTAAAGATACACACCATAAACAATTCTTAAGTGATGTGTATGTATCGGGTTTGAAATCCTCCTGAGGCTTAAATTATGTACAAAGCATTTATAATTGTGAAGAGCCATCAAGAAGTATTTAAGATTTATTTAAAAACAATTGAAAATTAGAACATACCAGAATGTAGTAACCAAGCAAGATGCTTTGGGCCTGGGCTCTGGTCATATGGTATTGATCGGACCAACATTCCAGCTCCAATCATGGCTGCAAAGGTTGCACCAATTGTCTGAAAGATACACATTGTTATAAGAAGAGTCCATTCCTATACAACTACAAATCAGACAACCACAAGTTCTAATTTCAGTTGTCCTTCCAATAAACCACATTTACAAAGATAAAGGCTAATAACTGGAATCCTGTATTTTTTCCAACACATTAAAGGCCTTTATTTCAGTTTGGCCAATTTAGTAAGAGGGCCCCTACTGCCATTCATACTTTTGCAGACAGCTTTAAGTGAGTGAGTTAAGATTTGACTAATAACATCACCTTTTAAAAATTCTTTTTAGACGAAGATTTTTAAAAATCCCTTTAAAATCTCAGAATAATTATTTTTAATAATAGTATAGCACAAATAGCATTTAAAAAATGAGTCACGATATACCAGTTAGCATACATATAGCACATTGTCTTGAACTCTACCTGCTTAAAAAAAACCCTGAAAAATAAAAGCACATGGAAAAAAATGAGAAATAAGAGTTTCTATCCTTTCAATTTTCTGGCTGACTTGGTACTCTTCCCTTTTCTCTGCCTTACATTCCCACTGCTACAACATCTAAAGATTCCTTATGTACGTAATGAGGAAGAAACACAGGTAATGGAAAAAAAACGGTAACAAATTTTCAGGAAATTTAGAGTGCAACCTCTGCTGTTTTCATTCACAGAAACACAGAAAAGCATGCTGGGTTCTAGTCTACCATTTTCCTATGGTCAAACAGTTACTAAACAATACTTCATATAACTCTGTGCAAAGCATTTTCAGGTTATTTATCACAACTACGTTTTTTTTCTTTCAAGGTCCTTCGTGATCCAGTTCCGCTCTCTACCACAATTGCACGGCCAGGCAGGGCTACACACGTGCCTCGGGCCCACGCCCTTCCATCCTGTTCACTGTACCGAGGAACTCCTTCCTGCCTGTCTGACTTATCCCAGGACTTCCTCCTCGTCTGGGAAGTTTTCATGGTAGGTCCCTGGCTGCCCAAAAGTGTCAGATGACTCTCCTGTTCCAAAAATACTTAGTACAAACTTTGACATTATCTGTGTGTCTGTCACCACCCCCTTCTCAAAAAAGGGTACATCTCCATTGCTGTGGCATCTGTCTGGCTTTTCAAACTATTTTACTTAATTAGGAGAGCAACATCACATGAGAGTGATCTTATGCCCAAGGGAGTTGAGAATATGACCCATGCACAAAACTTCTTTGAAATCTTATTTTAGGGCTAAACTCTTTTGTATATTTTAATCTTCTTCATACAGTCATGTTTGCTTTATTACAAAAAGCACTGTTTTAAATTATTTACTACTGATTAAGACTAACATTCCTGGTGAGAATGCACCAGGTTAGTTCTGTGTCTTCATGAACCTCTAGGCTAGGCAATTCATGATACTCACCTGAGAAGCAATACCCTAAGAATACTGGACTGTCCCAATGGCTAGGCTACTGTGATTCTCCTTTTGGAATGTATAATATAGCTAAAATATTACAGACTTGGAGTTAGATGGATTTGGGTTACCTGTGGGTTTCCCATTTGCCATGGGAAACCTGTACCCATCACATAAACTCTCCCACCATCCCTTCCCACCCAGCCTCACACTCATTGCTCTAGTTCACCTTGTCATCCCTGTCTCAGATCTTGCACAGCCAGCTTGTCTCTTCCACGTTAGTTCTTAACACTCAAACACCCTTCAGACTTTTTCTGTTTCAGAACCTACAATATCCTCTCACTCCTGAGCTTGGCAATCACACACGCCCTTCTTCACACTCCAGCCCTCAAATACTCTACTGGGATTGTAAAGTCACTGTTAATAACTATTTCTTTGCTCAAGCTGTTTTGAAAACTTGGATTACCCTAGTCCTCTCCTAAAATAAAAAAAATGCTAGGCTTCAATGGCCCTGATGAGATAAAATTGTCCTTCATGGGACTTCTTTCAACTGATTATACCCTTTACCACATACTCCAGCTTATTTTTTCATCCAGAGAATAAAAATAGGCACATTTGAAATCAGTTTTTGGTATTTAATAAAATAAATGCACAAGCAACACTCACTCAACATGCCTTACATAGGGACCCAAAAACTCAGAATAGCTACAGTACTGTTCTACTCTTAACAGTATAGAACCCTTGCTTGTTTGTGATAGGCTTTTTCCATTGACTTCTCAGATGGTTTTTGGTCTGCCTTATTTTTAGTAAATTGCTCTAAAATAGATAAAATAGAGGCTTTTGATATCTGCTTCTAGATAAATAGGACTTTCCTGTAAGTTTGGTTTCCAACCCTCTGCCACAATAAAGTGAATATTCAACAAAGAGCAACAGCCAATGTGCCTCACAGTGCACTTCCTACTGTCTCAGCTGCACTAATGATTCATATATTTGAATAAAAACTTGTTCAATTAGTAAGGTATTCTTTCCATTTATCACCCTGTCCCAATATTTTTTGTCTAATCTTTTGATATGAACTAGAAAAGATGAACAAAAACAAACTGACTCACCACCCAAGAGCCTCTCATCATGAAGTTCATGAGAACAGGAGTTCTGCTCACTGCCAGGGCAGACAACGCTGTTAAACCAATACTTCCTGCTAAGTACATATAGGTAGAATGTATTCTATCCTTCACATACTGAGGCCAAATTCTGTAAAAAGCACAATATGGTTAATGTATAAGATTCTGGATGTGAATTTTGGTTGAATCAGACTAGCTGGGAGGCCTTGGGAAATACCACTTTATTGCTCTAAATCTTATTTACTTCATTTAGCATGGAAATAATACATACACTGAAGTTACTGCAAAAAGTAAATGATAGGCCTGGGCGGTGTTGCTCAGTGGATTGCATGTCATGCCATAGACTGAGAGGTCCCAGTTCAATTCCCAGTCAGGGCACATGCCGGGTTTCAGTCTTGATCCCCAATAGGGGGCGTGCAGGAGGCAGCCGATCAATGTTTCTCTCTCAAATCGATTTCTATCTCACTCTTCCTTTCTCTAAAAAAAAATCAATAAAAACACAGTTAAAGTAAGTGATAGAAGACATATAAAGGTGGGAGAGGCTATAGAGGGGATAAATGGTGATGGAAAAAATTTAAAAATAAAGGAAAAAAAGAAAGGATTGAAATACTTATACATGCTACAAAATGTCTGAACTCCAAAAACATTATGCTAAGTGAAAGAAGCCAGACCCAAAGGACCACACACAGCTTGATTTTATTCTGACTAAATGTCCAGAAAAGGTAAGCCTATAAAGACAAAAAATAGATGAATGGTTTCCTGGGGTTGGGGGTGGAAAGGTTACAACTGGGCATAAGGGATCTTTTTTAGGGTGATGGAAATGTTCTAAAACTGAGATGTGGTGAGTTAACTCTATAAATTCAAGAATCATTGAATTGTTCATTCAAGAATCACTGAACTGTACACTCATAATAGGTAAACTTATGTAAATTATGCCTTAATAAATCTCCTTCAAAATTAAACACAACCATACTAAAACTTTTTAAAAAAGACATATAAGCACTTAGTTCATACACAGAACAACACATTTTCTCCTTACTTGAACATGTATTACCTTGGAAAAATAATTTTATTTAGGTTTGAATAAATATATGTAAAGGAAACAAGAGATTCTATCTTTACTCATGTATATTCTACACAGCTGGAAGACTTTTTTTTATTGTTTAAAATATTACAGATGTCCCCCTTTTTCCTCACTGACCCCCTCCTTCCTGCTCCCACCCCCTCCTGCCTTCCCCAGCCTAGTCTAGTGTCCATGTCGACTGGTTGTGTATATATGCATATTAAGCTCTTTGGAAGATTAGATGTAAAACATTCCAAAAGTGGCAAAAGGTAAGAATGAGAAGAAAATTGGAGCCCTTAAGGCTGGAATAGTTTGGGAACAATGTACTTACACAGCCTTTTCGATTGCTCCAATCTCATTAGACATTCCCAAGCCATAGTAGCACAAGGCTCCAAGACCAACAGCAGCCCCTCCAGCAATAAACCATCTTCCCATCTGATCAACTGTGGAACACAGAGGAAATGCAAGTTAACACTTCCATGTTTGGACTAAATCAAAATACTGGTGGTAAACCCTTCCCAATATTTAAATGAGGGAAATCAAACTATACATCATACTTCTTTATAATAGCTATAATTAGTATATACAGAAATGGCCTTAAAATTAGGGGACCAATGAAAAAGAACACTGTTGAAACACAGATGTAGTTATCAGCACAAAAAGTATCAGACTTGATTAACCTTTAATCTCACGCCAAGAAAACTAGAGGAAATGCATCTGTAGATGTGGGGAGACTGACTTATGGGATGTATGTTATCTTACTCATAAGAATTTGGGGTGTATTCTCATGACACTTAGAAAGTAAAGATGAGAAAGAGTTCTGGCTGGGTAGCTCAGCTGATGAGAGTATCATCCTGATACTCCAAGGTTGCGGGTTTGATCCCCAGTCAGGGCACATGTAAGAATCAACCAATGAACGTATAAATAAATGGAACAACAAATTGATGTGTTTTTTTTCTCTTTCTCCCTTCCTCTCTCTCTCAAATCAATCAATCTATGTTGTTGTTGTTTTTTAATCCTCACCCGAAGAGATTTTTTGTTCAGATAGAGTGGGGGTGGGGGGGAGAGAGAGAGAGAGAAATTGATGTGAAAGAAACACATCAAGTGGTTGCCACCCACATGACCCAACCAAAGCTGGGGACAAGCTGCAACCGAGGTACGTGCCCTTAGCGGGAACCGAACCCGGGTCTCTCTGGACCACAGGACGATGACGCTCTAAATGCTGAGCCAAACTGGCCAGGGCTATGTATGTTTTTCTACAAGATGAGAAAAAAATAAATAAATAAAAGATGAGAAAGAAATGTTAACAGTTGTATCACATTGTGTCTAAAGTGCCATTAATAAAGATAATGTTTTATATGGAATCAAGAAAAAAAGGAACCAAAGGAAAAATATGATCAGTGTTTATGCCACTGAATTAAAGGAACAGGCTAAAAAAGAAACAACTTATCAACTCTAACTGGATGACAGCACTCATAAAGACCATCTTAGCCCCTTTTGTCCAAATTTGTTCACTAACAATGTTGCTATTCTGTGGCTATAGGATTATTATAATTTGGTTTCTAGGGCCAATTTACTGATTAGAAAGACCCTGAGAGATACCAGTTACAACTGTCTCCCACTATACTATATCGACATTTTCCAAGGTTAAGGAGCAGTGGTGTTCTTTGATGGCTTTGGGTAGACTGACAATCTCTCTTCTCAATTTGCGAAGCTTAAATCCACTGTGAACCAAAGGCATTGCTTCCTGAGAGGCCCTACGGGGCAGCCAGTTAACAGGACCCTTGCTGCACAGCTGAGTTTTTACTAACATTTGTGGTTTGGCAATTTACCCTTGACCTGAAACACATACAAATATTATATGCCTGAATAAAGTCTACGCAACTAAAAGTAAACTTCCTCAACAAGCTGTACCTTTTAGAAATGACATTTTAACTAATAATACTTAAAAAAAAAATGGCGAAAGCAAAATTTTCTTTCTTGAAACTATGACTGGGAACCACTCAACCCAGTGTGAAGTACTAATATTTTCTGGGTCATCAGATCCCTGAGAATGATGACAATGATTGCCTTATTCCCAGAGACTGCACAGATACACAAGCTTGCATATATTTTTAGGAAGCTGTTTATGGACCTCATTTAAAAATTAAAATCTATTACCTACTTTTAAATATTTTTTCCATCGATGGTTCCAATGCTGCTTCCTTGAGTTCTTGGGCAGTTTTCCCACGCCGCATCCCAAATCTTGTCTTGGTGGCATATTCCTGATATACACAAAAACAGACATATACCGGCCACAACAAAACAGGATGTTAACAATAAAATGAAACAGAGGACCTTGTTATCCTAGAAAACTCCATATCATTTGGTACTTTATATATATGTAATTCCACTATGAAAGGATGTTGGCCAACCTAAAAATTTAAATGGATACCCTATTTGTGCTCTATCTTCAAAGTGACTTCATTACCACTTAACTTCCTAGTGTAAATTTCAGAACTGTTTATTTCATAGACTACAGATATTTCTACTTCTGGAATTATATTTAAAACACTAACTCTTTAAAAACATGCACTGATTATTAGCTACAGTTTTTCATCTGGGAAATGGGCTCAAGAAAGTTTCCTTCTTTAACACAAACCCAAAGGGAGGGATGACTCCTTCCAACAATGAGACGGTTACTTTAAAAGGAAAAGCGTCTCTTCTAGATTCTGTGATTTCCTTATCTACCTCACATTCCGAAATTTTACTTCTGCTCTGAACGCCAGAGGAGAAGTCTATGTATCAAGGGAAATGGGTGGCTCTCCTACCTGACAGATCTTACTATTTCCTAAACCAGAGCTGAAATGACACACCAAAGAGACAGATAAAATAAAAACACTCAGATTGCCTTTACCCTGCTGGGTGTTAAAAGCCATTGACTCTTCCTGATGGAACTCCTCAAGACAGGGCAGGCCTTGGTGAAACCCGGATGGAAAACTCTTGAAGGAAGTGTCTGCAGACACACGAGTCTTGCGGCTAGCATGGTGGGACACCAGGTTTACCAAGCAGATCTAAAATGCTAGTTAGAAACAAAGACAGAAAGTAACCCATTAAGCAGTGGAGGAAAGGACATAGGGGTGGGGGTCCAGAAACGCGAAGGGGCCAGTCATTTTTTAGTTGAAAACATGGACTAAAGTGAGCTTTTATTTTATTTATTTATTTATTTATTTTTTATCCTCACCCGAGGATATTTTTCCATTTTTTGTACAGATAGAGTGGGAGGGAGAGAGAGGAAAGGAGAGAGAGAGAAACATCGACGTGAAGAGACACATCGAGTGGCTGCCACCCGCACGACCAACCAGGGCCGGGGACAAACTGCAACCGAAGTACGTGCCCTTAGCGGGAACCGAACCCGGGTCTCTCCGGACCGCAGGCTGACGCTCTAACCGCTGAGCCAAACTGGCCAGGGCTAAAGTGAGCTTTTAAATGTTAAAAGATAAATCTTCTGCTAGTCCCTTGTTAATAATTCAAGAAATCATCCTACAAAGTCCAGTCTGAGATGGATCATCCAATTAGCTTTAAACCAGTTTTCACAATAACAAAACATTTGACTATGTAAGTCATGTGATTGACCCAGAGTGGATGTTAATATTCTAAGAGTATTTACGGGCGTGTGACTGCTTTTATTAACGTGGGTTTGACGTAAAACTTACACCAACATTCAATGGGAAATCTAACACTACAGTAGGACTTTCGAGCAGAGGAAAAACGTCATCCAAGATGAACAACTCGTCAAGGTCATATTGACTGCAAGGTGATGACATCACTGGGAAACAAACATACATTTCCGCCAAACAGGCCAAAAATTATTTTCAAAAGATGACACGAAATTATTCAAGCTACTGAAAGCACCTGGGAGGCACCTTAAACTGTAGACTCCTGAGTCCTACTCTGGTCCCAAATGATGCAACCTCTGGGAACGGGAGGGAGGAACATGTACTTGTAAATAGCAGCCCCAGTTAGGGTCCTGGTTTAAAACACCGATCTCCGCGCACGTCCAGCTCTGCCGCCGGACCTACTACGCCAGGAGCACAACCCTGGGCGCCTGTCCCCCGGGGAACCGCCGGTCCCCCCGCAGTCCGTGCCGCCGAGCCCTCTGCCCGCAGGCGCCGGGCCCCACGGAGGCTCACCCAGCGCCACCCTCACGAGCCCGGGGCCTCCAGCCTCCCAAGGTCGACGCGCGCCGACAGCACAATGTCTGCGGGGCGGCGGCGCGGTGACTCAGCAGCCCGCCGTCCGGGAGCAGAGGGCAGCGAGGGCCCCGGGCCGCTACGGAGCCCCTGGCCGCCGCCCCCTCACTGGGACGCCGCGGGGCGAACCCGACGCGCCGCCTGTGACGCAGCCCGCAGCCTCCAGCCCTCCACAGGCGCTCCCAGCGGCTCCCCGGGCCGGCGGGAGGAGTCCGCGGAGCTCGGGTGCCCGCCGCCCCGCAGAGCAGTACCTCAGCCCGGGCCCCTCCACCGCGCGGTTCCCGTTCTGGGCCAACGAAACGCAGACGCGCACCCTCAGGACGCCCACCCGACTACCACAGTCTGCGCGCGCGCAGTCCCTCCTCCCGCCGCGTGACGCAATCCCGCAGAAGCGGCGGACACGCCAAACAGCCAATCATAAGGAGCTTTCTGACGAAGGGCGGGCACAGCAGGGAGGCGGGGTTCGGGCTGGGGGCGTGGCCAGGGACGGCGGCCGGGAGCTTCCGGTGAACGCCCTTGCCGGGGGTGCGCGGAGAAGGTTCTGGGCCGTCCTAGGCGTGGGCGGGGAGCGCCGCAGTGACGACATTGTTTACAGGTGGGAAGCAGCGGTGGGCGAGCGAGAGTGTGTGCTGTCTCCGGCCTTTGCTCTCGTCGCCTCCTCGAGACGGTATTGTGAGGTCAGCGGTCTGCGGACGTGAGTCTCGGACGGGCGCCCACGGGCGTCTTTGGTTTGATGCCAAAGGTTAGCGCCCGAGACCCGGAAAAGGATCGGAGTCGCTGGAAGGCAGGGCGCCCGGGAGGGTCTGGGTCGAGCTCCGCGCGGCGCGCCCCGCGGTTTGCAGCTTGGCCGGCAGCCGGGGCAGCAGCGCGTGCCTCCGCCCGGCTGCCCCAGGGCTGGCCCCGGGCTGACCCCGGGCTGACCCGGGGCTGACCCCGGGCTGACCCCAGGGCTGGCCCCGGACTGGCCCCGGGGTGACCCAGGGCTGACCCCGGGCTGACCCCGGGCTGGCCCAGGACTGCCCCCTGAGATGTTCACTGCGAGGTGCAAAGCTCTTCTCCTATCCGAGGGAAGTTTCTGTTTTCTCCACTCTACTTACTGACCCTTGACTGCGGCTGTGACAGACGCGCGTGCCCTCTGACGGCCTCACACGAACAGCGCCTGCGCTGGTGCTAATTCACTGGAGGAGTTTGGCTTGAGGCCTCGCAGCCCTTGCCAGCTGAGCGGCGGGGACCTAGGACAGAGTGATGCATGTTTTTCAGAGATTTACAGACGTTTCCAGAACCTGACCCAGATCATCAGGAGTCAATGGACCCACCAGGAACAAAGGCATTTAGATTTGGAAATTTTGTGATTGGCCTTGGATCCCTTTGACACCCAGCTGTCCAGCTGTCTACTGCTCCACCCACCTCTTGCCTCTCCCCTTCTGCCTTCCTTCACAGTGAAAGATGCCTGAATCTTGAGCTCTCATAAGATGGATTTGTGGAAGCCGTAAGACAGTCCCATCTTCTCGAGCGAGGTCTTCTCGATCAGTAACCCTTTCATTACCCCAAAGTGATGTGTTGAATATTGGCCCTTCTTTCTTTTGAAGCCTCAGGCACACAAACCTTGCCACTGTAACAAGGCTCACTTTATACAAGCAGACAGCCCTCTGAGTCCAAGGTGGGGGTGCTGTCCCCTCATTATTCTTCTCAATCTCCTAAGAAAGATTTCTGACCGAGTCAGCAGCAGCATTGTAGCAAAGCAAGTACATTTACTAAGAAAGTATGGTAAGCAAATTTATTACAAATAAACATGCCGAAAAGTGCAAACAGGCAACTCAACTTTCTGAGCACCCTGCCCAGTAGGGGTTAAAGAATTTTATACCCTCCTTTCTATTGGTTTCAAAGCTTCCCTGTGATTTATTAGATGGCTGTAAACTGCTTGGTTGTTTAACAGGCTGTCTCAGTTTCCCTATTTCACTTGTCCTGGCTTAGCCTCTCTCAGAAGGACCTTGGATGGGTTGGTGCTGGGAGAAAGCCCCAATGGTCTATGTTCAAAATGGGTTCAGAAGAACTGACATGGCAGCCTTATTCAAATTTGTAAGAGCTTTAATAGGATAAACTTACAAACATGGACAAAGCAGCTGCTCCCAATGGTGGCAGCCAGGAAAAATACATACACCTCCCAGGACAGAGTCCCTTTTTAAAGGGGGTTAATGGCAAACCACATGGTGGGTAGTCCACAGGCCACTGGAAAAAGCACTGTTTTTTTTTTTTTTAAATCCTCATCCAAGGATATTCTTTCATTTATCTTCAGATAGAGCAGGAGGGAGAGAGAGAGATTGATTGGTTGCCTCCTGCACAGCCCCGACCAGGACTGGGAACAAACCGTAACTGAGGTGCATGCCCTTGACTGTTTGTTCCGAGGGCCGATGCTCTAATCACTGAGCCAAACCAGCCAGAGCAAGATCAATACATTTTTTTTCCCCATTAAAAGGGAGGTTTTATTTATTTATTTATTTAATTTATTTTTGTTACAGATGTTTCTCCTTTTTCCCCCACTTTAAGTTAAAAGGTAACATCAGGCACTCATTACAGTCCATACGTTCATTAATTCCTTTCCCAGGGCATGACGTTCGTCTTTGGGTGGCATCCGAGCTTTCCTGGCAGTCGGCTGAGCATGAGGTTGCAGAGAGGCAATGCCACGTCTGACCTCGGGACCAGCTGCATTGAATAATGACTCCCTGTGATAGCACTGACCAGTCAATCAGTGGAGACCCTGACCCTGAAAGGACACACCTGAAAAGCTGCTGAATAGTCTATTGAGTTCTTCCCCTGGGACCTCCCCTAAACTCTCCACCTTGAAACCCTTAGCATGGAGAACCCAGAGTGCTCCCTCCCAGGAGCATGCCCACACCGTTCCCTCCCCTTTCCCTCAGGTGGGTCACTTTTACTTCCCTCACTTCTAAACTCCATGGGCCCTTCCTTTGCCTCTATAACTTGTTTCCTAAGCCCATTTCTCCTGCAAGTCACTTGTACCTGTGTGATTTTCTAAATGTCTGAATTCTTTCCTAACCAGAACTCAAGTACTAAGATTGTTGAACATAGGTCCAGTCTTCTGACCCCACCAGTCTATCACCTGGTGCCGTTCCCACCACTGCCAACAAAAATACTAAATAGGAAGTTCCAGAAATAAACAATTACTAAGTTTCAAATTGCACACCATTCTGAGTAGGGTGAAGAAATCTTACATTGTCCTGCCCAGGAAGTGAATAGCCCTTTTGATCCAGCGAATCTGTTACTGACTGTAGGGGAATTCACTCTAGAGATGCTATGTGGCTCCTTCAGCAAAGGCATCTGGGAACTGCTGCACTCTCTGTGCCTCTCTGCAACCTCATCCTCAGCTGACTGCCAGGAAAGCTCGGATGCCACCCAAAGATGGACGTCACGCCCTGGGAAGGGGGTTAATGAATGTATAGACTATAATGACTGCCTGATGTTACCTCTTAAAAAAGCAGTGCTCCTTCCGGTGGCCTGTGGACTACCCACCATGTGGTTTGCCATCAACCCTCTGTAAAAAGGAACTCTGTCCTGGGAGGTGTGTGGATTTTTCCCAACTGCCTCCACTGGGAGCAGCTGCTTTGTCCATGTTTGTAAGTTTATGCTATTAAAGCTGTTATCAATTTGAATAAGGCTGCCGTGTCAGTTCTTCTGAATCCATCTTGAATGTAGACTATTGGGACCTCTCCCAACGCCAGTCCATCCCGGGGATCCAAACCAAGGTCCTTCTGAGATAGGCTAGTAATCCAGGACAAGTGAAATAGGGAAACAGAGACAGATAGTTAAAGAACCAAGCAGTTTACAGCCATCTGCTAAATTACAAAATTCTGTCCTCTGTAACCAAGGACACTGAAGAGTAAATGATTTACACTTCACCACCACCACAGGATAAATAGCTTAAATCTCCCTTTTCAGGGAGCTGAATAGCAGAAATCCAATTAGTGCCATTTACCAACCACACTGAAGCACGGATAAAGTTAAGAGAATAAGTGTTATTTTGGCATGTTAACATAAAGCTGATGAATATTCTATTGAGGCCTTCCCTTAAGACCTTTAAACTCCCAGGCTTTAAAACCCTTCAAAATGCAGGTTCCAGGGTGTACTCTTCCTTCTGGGAGCTAGCTCATCTGCACCTTTCCTTTCCCTTTCTTTCCCCACAGGCATGGAACTCCTAAACTCTAAGGCAGTGGTTCTCAAACTGTGGGTCCCGACCCCTTTGGGGGTTGAACGACCCTTTCACAGGGGTTGCCTAATACATAACAGTAGCAAAATTACAGTTAGGAAGTAGCAACGAAAATAATTTTATGGTTGGGGGTCACCACAACACGAGGAACTGTATTAAAGGGTAGGGATCCCATAAGGCTTGCAACCAAGGGAGCGGTGCGCAGCAGCAGCTCATCCCAGGCTAATCCCCTGAACCTGTCTCCAAGGCCCCCTTTCCTCTGACTTCCCAGAGCTAAGCCCAGTCCTGCTGCTGTTTCTATGCTAAGCCTTTCCTTGTCTCACTGACCCCAACTCTAATAAATGTGCTCTCAAAGTCACCTGGACTCAGGTTGTGAAACCCTGAATGAAGTCAAGAACACACACTACTGGCTGGCCCTGTGCAGGCCCCCTAAGGACCAGACCCCCTTTCCCATAACACTTCTGCCCAGTGCCATTTGTGCCGATAGAATGAGTTCTGTAACACAGACCAAAAACTTTATTCTCTGATCAAGTAATGAACTCATGTTTTAACAGCATCTTCTCCCTGACTGAAAAGAAGCCTCCTGTATTTTTAGGCTGTGGTGTGAAGTAATTACATTCTTTTAGGCGTATTCTTCAGTTTCATTTGGTCCATTTTACCATGGTCCTTTTTGCACCCAATGCCTCATTACCATCTTGGTTTTTGTGCTTGGCACTTTGGTCTTTGCAGTCTGGAATTCTATTCAGTTTCTGTAAGCAAACAGTTTGTAACATAGTTTAGGTACTGAGAAACATTAGGGTCTTTTGTATGGTAACCCAGTGACATGCATGTTGTCTTGGTTATCAGATATTTTGAGAGAGGGAGACCACATCTACATAGTTTTTATTGTACTATATTATTATATTTGTTTTATTTTACTAATTGTTAATATATCATAGGAATGAAACCACCATATGTATATTATGTATATGTATGTGTGTGTGTGTGTGCTATATATGGCTCAGTACTATCAGGCATACACTGAGGGTCTTGCAACATAGTTTCTGAGGATAAGGAGGGACTACTGTAGGTAAAGGACTGACGCACATGTAGTACAATTGTCTTTGCAAAATAAAGTCCTTGCCCTCAGGTGCTTACTTTCA